TAGTGCAACATCGTTTTCGGATAGTAAAAAGTGAACGGGACCAAAAATGACTTTTGAAAAAGGGGAGGGAAAGTGTTAATTTATGGTTTATGATCTTTATCTTCACACAGAAAACTCATAATTGACTGCAGCGACCAACGTTACCCCATAAACATAAAAACTAATTCTCAGTCCTCTTTTATTGTAGTTTAATTGTGTAGTATAATTGTAGATAATTAATTGCTGTAATTTTTTTTTTGTAAATACTTAGTTAATTATACTAACTTTAAAATGTCAAAAGACATTTTGCATGGTGGTATCTCTGCTGCCACCCTCTGGTTTCTGAGAGAACTGCCCGTTCCAGAGGGAGGGGAAAAACAAATCAACAGGCAGGAGTGGCCAAAAAGGAGGCTGATCTCTCCAGGTTTTATTTGTTCACATGTTTTTTTGCAACAATAATAAAACAGAATTCCCTCCATTTTCTTCTCTTCATTTTTCAGGTGTCTCTGTGCTTGAACTTCTCTCCTGGGACTCATCTCTCATCATCTCTGAACTGTAAAGTGCCTTGAGATGACGTGTTGTGAATTGGCTGCATATAAATAAATTGAATTGGAACTGAATTGAACATTGAATCTCCTTCTCTCTCTTTCTCCACTGGATGATGGCCTCATTGCAGATGTTTCAGATTTGAAGCTCCTTTCCTCTCATAGACCCCCCCCCCTCCCCCTTCAGCTCAACACATTTTTCTCATTTCTTTTCTTTTGATGAACAGGGTGGATAAGTGTTTCCACCTGTACCTGATCTTTGACTCTTTCCAGGTTCTATGTTAAAAGGAAGGTCTACGAATACCTGGAAATGTCTTTACTATTTTTGGGGCCTCTTCATGGATAATATTTGCCCTCCTTTTATTCTTCTTTTTTATGTGCTTAAGTTTAATTAGCCTTCAGAGGCTCTGACACCCTCAATTTGGTAGTGTGACAGGAGCTACTATAACACCTCACCTCCACAGTTTTACACATCCAAGTCCTGTTATTCTTCAAAATCCCACCAGGTACCAGACAAATAGATATTAGTTGCTTTGTGTCATGATGGTTTGATTTCTGAGACCTCCATGCTGTCATACAGTTTTCCTAATTTTACAGAAACATCTCTTATCAGACCTTGGTCAGTTTCAAAGTCGTTTCGTGTTCTGAAACGTTTAAACAAACAAAAAGAATAAAAGAAAGAATACATCAACAATTAGGAAAATACTTTTTCACTATATTGTTCTATGATACATAGAAATGCTTTAAATACTGGACCAAAATGCAGACAGGACCACAGGATTATATTAAGTTGAATTAAATTATGCAAGGAAGAAAAGTGCAGAAAACTGAATGGGAAGAGGAAACAAAGCAGGGAAGAAAAAAAAGCTTAAAGGAGCAAAGTATCATAGTATGCTTAGACAAAAAAACAACAAAAAAAATCATTTGGCCACGATTAAATAATGTTATATATTCCAAGAATCTTTAGTCCTTTTTTTTTTTTAGCTTAAATGCAATTCCAGCACCAGGCTCAATGAGCAAATTTAAACAGACGTGTCGCCATCTGCTGGCAGCACCACAGAAATACCAAAAAGACAGATGGTGGAAACAGAGCCTGATGGAACGTGATCATCCTGCAATTTCTCATTGTGAAACTTGGTATTAAGGCCATCCAATGTCAATAAAATAAAATGACCTACAGCAGAATAAAAAGCATTAAAATGCTTTCCTCCCTGTAAGCACAATGTTAATGAGCCTGAAATGAATTGGATTTTAATTAGTTTATTAGATTTCAGCAGCTGTGGAAGAAGATTGTCCCCCCGATTTGTATGTTTCAATCAATAAAATCAAATAAAAGTTTTTTTTTATATGTTTATGTTAAGAAAATACAATTTGAAAAATGTTTCTCTCTAAATTTGTTCTTTTGTAATCAGGTGTATTATTGTATACTTTGAAATAATACAATATGCAAATAATCAAATAATTATCTGATTACATCATTTTAAACAAGTTTTTTTTCTTATCAAAGTCAGACTAAAAAAGGTTTAAAGTAACTTTTCTTACTCTAAAATCAAATCTTACTGAAATCAGTGCAAAAACAGACATACTAACCCCTCTGACTTCTATTCACAGTGAAATACGCTGCAGTTTCTCAGCTATTATATACAGAAGAGGATTAGGGCCACTGGAAAAAAAAAAAGTTAACAAATTTTTTAATTTTATTTCAGTTTAACATGGAAAAAAAGTCAGAATTCTGACTTTTTTCCTCAGAATTCTGACTTTAATCTCAGAATTCTGACTTCTTTCTCAGAATTCTGTGATTAAAGTTAGAATTCTGAGAAAAAAGTCAGAATTCTTAGATTAAAGTCAGGATTCTAAGAAAAAACTCAGAATTCTGAGAAAAAAGTCAGAATTCTAAGAAAAAACTCAGAATTCTGAGAAAAAAGTCAGCATTCTGAGAAAAAACTCAGAATTCTGACTTCTTTACCATACTAAACTGAAATAAAATTTAAAAATCAGTTAACCTTTTTTTTCCACTGGCCCTAATCCTCTTCCGTAATTATAAGCAAGAGATGACCAAAAAAAAAACATCAAGAAAGTCATGTTTTCTTCTTTCCGAATTTATTGACAAAAGCAAACATATAACATACAGCAAGCCTTACCTTTTAAAATAAAAAAATATATTGAGCCCAGTGGAAGGAGGTAAAGACTGAGAGCAGAGCTTACATGTAGCCGCCTGGAGTGGGTTTTCACCTTAACTTCCTTTCGTTTTCACAAGTCTGAAAAATGTGGCTTAAAATCAAATGGGTAAAACCCATCTGGAGCTGTGACAGCAGCACGCAGCATCCATAAGTGGGTTGGTTGTTTTATAGCAGGCATCATGCACTCGACTCCACACAAAGGAACAGAAATAAAACCCAGTGCTTCACACTTTTTAAACACTTCGATGCCGTTTGTGCATCAGCTGTACATCTTATATATAACACATCTTTAATGTACAACTCTTCACACAGCAAACGGAAAAGCCCCTGAACCTGGGCAAAGCAGCGGGTAAAGCTATGGGGCAGATGAAGTGTTGTCTTGTTGCATAGCCCTACTTTTTAACATGTTTCTTTAGTGAACAGTCATCTGCAACAACAACTTCTCGTACCTGTGGGTTTAACTACAGGTCAGTTCACCTGCAAACCCTCAGTAGTCCTTTCAAAATCAAAGATATGAGAAGGAGGAAAGCCCAGAAAATCTGCGCTTACAGTATATGGCAGAGAGGATAAATTTAATACACACTCGAAGAGGCAGGTGTTTCTGAAATATTTAGGGTTTTTAGATATTTTTTTAAAAAATGGCACTTTTTCTCCATCCATAGACCATTTCTTGTGAATGACTGGCAGTAGATCAGAGAGAAGAAAGGCAAATGCTTACCACAAACCCTTCAGCCAAAGTACAAACACTACTTTTTGACAACCCTCATCATGCACTACATTACATACTCTGAAATAATTGTACTAATTTGAATATACCAACCAGAAGAATTGTACAAAACGAATGTATTTTTCTGCATTTAAATCCGAACAAGAAGTTTTGTCTGTAAAGTTTTCCCCTCCCAGCCACAGTTCCTCTCTCTGCTGTCTGAGTTTGAGTCCTTCTGAGTCGAAGCGAAGTGGAAATCTTAGCAAGTCGTGGTAAACGAGGCACTTGGTATTTGGCCACTTGATGCCAGAAAGGAGCTCCTCTGGTTCCGTGTGAACCGAAATCTTTTACATCCTGTACAGGTTACAAAAATGTGACAGTGGAAACGTGGCAGAAAAGGTGGGATCTCAGCTACTAGGGGATAATCGGTTGACTTGCTTTGGATTTAAAAAAAAAAGCCTTCAATTAGTGTTGAAATTGCCTTGTAATTTGCATTTCTACAGAAAATAGCCTTACAAGCCTGATTCTGCAGACCTCAGTAGGCCGCTGCAGCTGGTTGGTTTTCAGGAAACATGACACCAACAAGGGAGCATTCAGTTAAAACAATAGAGGATAATCTACACTGGATTGAAGGAAGGGCAATGTTGAGACGATGGAAGCGTCCGAAAAGACATCAAACCATCAGGACGGAAAACATGCTGCAAGTCAGGTGCTGCCTCCCAGTCTAGCACTGCTGCATCTAACTCCACATGCATCGCAGTCACCCCAACATGGCTGACATGATTAAAACATTGGTCCAATTAAGGAACTGTATAAACCCCAGGTGTCCTGTCAACCTAATATTATATTTTACATTTTTGTTTTTTTTCTGATAGCCATCCGTCAATTTACCACCCTGACCACTTGGTGGCGTAGGATGTAATAATTAGCTGTTTTAACCAGACCTGGTTGTTTTGAAATCTCTTTTTAGTCTATAACCTATGGATTTAAATAAATGAAAAGAGATGCTTTAGATGGTTTGTAATCATAATAAAAAAACCAAAATGATAGATAAAAGCAGATTAGGGCTATTTTTTTTTTAAACTTTTTATGACCATTATTATAATAAAAAAGACTAGCACCTGTCCCTAAACCACCTCTTGTAAAGATCTCTACATTGCAGATGGAATCTTGACTGTTAAAAGCTGAGTTAAAGCACTCTGAGACCCAGGTCCATTCTATGACAGAACAGAACCAACACGATTTTTTCTGTAGTTATCTGAGGAAAAAAGGAAAACTCTGCACATGTCATGGTGCCTTAAGTCTGGATAAAGTCTGGTGCAACTAAACACCGTCCTTTTAGATTTTTGGTGTTTATTTCAAAACATTCAATCCAATTAAGGTCCTAATTTGACCTTCTTCACAGGGTTTAATAAATCTTTTGTATTTTTAGTTGAATGCTCCCCAGCTGGGGGCCACGATTCCCTGGAAATAAGCTTGTTAAGATCTGCATTTGTTCTCGTAGCTGTAGAACTTTTTGAAGAATAGGACCTGTCAAGGCATCTTTTTAGAAAGAAATAAATTAAAGGGCAATTCACATGTTTTTATGTCTATACCCTCTCTCTTCATGGCCTGAAAAAAAGATTATATTGATTACAACCGTATGATTAAATTGAGGTATGTTAAAGAAAGATATTTTCTGTTTTAAGCATAAAAAAAAACAAAAAAAAAACAAAGATAATCTACGAGTAGAGATTCCACATTTCCGCCTCATTGGTTTTAGTCTTTTTCTAATCATATCTATAGAAATATTAGATGCTATATAACCATTTTAATACCTGAATGAAAACATTTCTTCCCTAAACTATACCACAGCAGCAGCTAAACCAACAAAGAGATGCTGTCCAGTGGATTAAATATTTTACCTATTGTAGAGATGTGACAAACAAACTGAGCAGCTATGATTTAGCATCAGGAATGAGGCATTCTGATTGGTCTTAAACACAGTTTACAGCTTGACTCAGAACATTTTGGCTTATATCTTCTGAATTTACCAGCCAAGGCAGAAGGTTTAGGGTCTTCACGTGTGCTATAATCTCAGTGCAAGTAAAACGGGATAGAAAAAGGTGTTTCTTCTCCAGTAAAGAGATCGACACTAAAAAGCTGGAATGACCTGTGAACTTCTTCAACAGCGCAGTCCACTGACTCTTACCGCCGGACCGGCCTCGGCCCGGCCGATGTCAGCACTCAGCGGCGCTTGTTTAGCCTTTAGTTATCCTTTCAAAGCTTTCCACTCAGCTAGCACCAGTCTTCCTCCTCCTGCTCCCTGAGACCCGCTGTTCCTCTGCTACCGGGCCCCGATGCAGACCCCAGAGTGAAGTGGTACCCGTTCGGAACTCCCGCTGCCCGCCCCTGCATGGCGGCTGCGGTAACGGGCGTAGCAGCGCTTCCCTGCGAGGACGAGGTGGGAGCGGAGCTTCTGGAAGAGTGTCCCCCTCCGTGGCTGCTCACAGCGTCCTGGAAGTCCTCGCCCTCCTCAAGGAGGGCCTGCTGAGGGGAGTCCAACTGCTGCCTGTTGGAGTTAGAGTCCGAACTGACAGAGGTGACTGGGGTTTTAGACTCTTCGTGACCCGCCAGCAGGCGGTCGTGCTCTGGTATGCCACGGCAGAAGCGAGCCTGAGGCCCAGCTGTGGAGGTGCTGGCGCTGGATGGAGGAGCCGAGGAGGTGGAGGTCTTGTAGGCTACAGCCGGGCGAGGTGTGAGCGGCGTCTGCGGGAGCTGCCTACGACCACGGCCATGCATGTTGTTACCAGAAGACAGCTTCACCACAGAGCCTCCCTGCTGGGAGACAGAACCAAACTGTAGCATTAAGGATGTCTTAGTGAGGTGGGGTCTAATTCCTGAACTTTTGACCAAAATTACGGTCTCTTTTACAAACTAAGCAATTCCAGTCCTGGAGGGCCAGTACTTTGCAACCTTTAGAAGTGTCCTTTGTCCAACCCACATGAATCAAGTAATTTGATAATTCAAATGACTCTAGAGAAAAGAACTGCATACTAAGGAGGTAATTATGACATTTGATATGTGTGTGGAAGCAAGTACAGGTCTAACAATTGTAGAAAACCGTCCCTTAAGGACTGTAGTAGCACACGCCAGCTTAAGAGCCTGTGCAGAAACCCCTTAAGACTAAACAGGTCATCCATATTCTCTGCTTTACAAACCTTCATGCACAAAGCTCGATGTAAACTAGCACAGAACGAAAGCTAATTATTGGGTTTTGGTCTAAGACAAAGGTCAGAAGTCTTGTTGGTTACATAGACAGGCTATTCTTCTTGAGTAAATCCTAGATAGTGTTAAATGTTCTGAGGTTAAATCAACTGATTTAAACCTGGACTGGTGACCTGTCCAGGGTGTACCCTGCCTCTACCTGTAGACACCTGGAGATAGGCACCAGCACCCCTTCGCGGCCCCGCTTGAAATAAGCGTGACGGAAAATGGATGGATGGATGATTTAGACCAGTGGGTTCAAACTGAACCTTCCTCGCAGTAAAACCTGCGACCAGGCTGACCAAGCTGAAGCTCTGACTAGCTACAGAAATGTTGGTCAAGAGAAAAGAAGACGTGGGTTCAAGCGGATTTCTGGGATTTCTAGGGCCAAACTATCATCCATGAGAATAAATATAATTTTCCAACCTGCAATAGCCCCTCTGTTTCCTTGTGTTTCTGGTTTACGATGTTTTCTCCAGTCAAGCTAGCATGTGTTTGTTGATTGATTTAAATCTGAAATGTACTGGGACTCTTTCCTGTCTGAATTATTTTCCTGACTACCTTATGTATTCCCTGGGACTGCTGCAGCTCCTGTCCAATCAGCCTTTTTGTGGAGTCATTCTGTTGAGCCGCATGGCCTTGCTAACCTGAAACCAACCAGTCACACCGTAGCTGGTGCAGTGCAGCTTTGTCCCTCTACCTACAGGTGATTTTGAAGACAGCCAATATTCACTGAGCTGAAGGATTAGTTGGGCTTTATACAAATAGAAAGGCAGAACCTTGACCCGAATGAGGGCCTTCACAATCATGAATCTTCACCTGATCTACGACCAGAAGGTTTATAACAAACAGACTCGAGCCGTCATGAAGCTAAGAAAACCAACTGCTGAGAACCTCTTAAGTTTTCACTTAACCGATTAAGTATTTGGATGATTCTATTTTTTATAAACTTACCTGCTCCATTCCTTTCTTTTTTTCTGTTTTGAAGCTGAATTGACAACCTGATAATTTCCAACCACTGGTAATCCAGTGGAACTGGATTCCAGCTTGAATGATCTCACCTGTTTGATAAGACCAGTGTCTAGGCTCTCTCCTGGAGATGCGGACCGGCTCGGACCGGCCGACCTGGCCTGACAATGCTCCCTGCTGCAGTACCGCTCGCAGGAGTAGTACCGCTGCTTCTCCCCAGCAGAGGAGTGGTGCCTCCTTTCGTGAGGGCGACTGCGGTCCCGCTCCCTCGCTCGTTCTCTGGACAGACCATCAGCTGACGGGTCCTCAAATGACCCTACAGTACCAGAGTAAAAATAAATCAGGTGTCGTAAACACTGCATCATCATGAGCTAACAGATCGAGGCTACCACTATTCTAATTTAATTGTTTCTGATTAACAAATAAACTTTAATGGCAGAAAAAGGTTACATGAGAAAAACACAGTGAGCATCGCTCCAACCTCCTGTTCCTTCATCTTTCAGAAAGAACAACACTATTAATTGGGAAGGAACTTTGTACTGCTGTGCTAAATCAGGGCAACTTTATTACACAACATAAACACAAATTGGTGAAATTGGGACAAAAGTCTTCCGGACAACAACTTAAAAAAAAGAAAAACAAAAGAAAGAAAGAAAGACACGTGAATACAGTGAACAGCTGAATGAGCCACTATGGAAACAAAGGAAAATATAAACAAACCAGTTGCGTACATTCATAAACGAGCCGATAGACATACAGACAGATTGGTGTCACTAGTTTTTTTTTGAAGAGCTTAAATTAAAACATAAACTAGTTTAAAACAAACTAGTTTAAAACATAAACTAAGTTGACAATGACTAATCATTATTCTGACTGATGATTAGGATATTAATTGAACTACTGTATTTCCGCGACTATAAGGCGCATATAAAAAAATTTTTTCCCTCAAAATGTGCGGCGCACCCTATGTGTTACTGCGGACGTTGTTGAGACAGCCATAAGGACGTTAAAGGGGGAATGGTGGGCGTGGATTGGCTGCCACGCAAATGGACAGAAACTGCCGCCTATGGGGAAAGTGGAAGTGAGCGGCTCACCGGCTGTTCTGGACGGCTGAACGGAGGACGGATTGTCCAAAGATTTCTGTTTCTTGTCCTTGTCCCTGCGCCGATGGCAGCGGTGATGGTGGTGATGATGGTGGGCTCTCTCCTGACCCTGGCCCTGATCCGTGCCAGCAGGAACCCGGTTCTGATCGACCCGCTCCAGGTCATAGTCCCTCAAACCTGCCTCCTGTTGGGGGCGCTGTGGCGTCAGCGAGGACAGCGAGCGTTTGATGGGGCTGAGATCAACGATTGGCTGAAAGGGGAAAAATAAACAGATGAAGTTTGATGAAAGGGGACTGTCAGGTGGCAGCTTCACCCAAGTTACTTAAAAATCAACAAAACATTTATAACACAAAAATAGAGAACAGGGGGTCGACGTGAAACCTGTTCTTCAATTATCAGGGGAACTTTAGAAGAAGGAAGAGATTTCTATGGCATAAAAAGAATCAAACAGAAAACAAAGAAGGCAGAACTGGCCTTTGATTTCAGCTTTTATCCTACTATATATGGAGGTCCAATTTATGTCTGTGACTGTAATCGCTCCTTGTCTTAGTAAAACTATGGTGTCAACAAATCTGTTATAGATCAGTTGGATTTCAGAATTCTTTTCTTTTTGCCAAATGGGAGACTAATAACGAGAAAGACGGTCTTTGTGACTGTCTCTGAATTAGAAATTTAGTTAAATCTCTTTAGCATCACAAGCTTTATGACTTTGGTCCAACCTTTGGGTTTCTTTCCACTAGCTTCTCACAGTAGTTTAAAGAACCTTGGTCAGGTTCCCCTCTCCTCACACATTATTTTTTAGCTCAGGCTATATATATTTAATGGGACTGAGATAACAGTCCTTCCAAAGGGCTGACTTATGTATCCTTAAGCCATTTTGTAGTTAACTTGACTTAACTTAGGATCAGCGTCCTTTTTGACGATCCATTTATGTCCTATCTTTAACATACTGGCTGATATCCTAAGATGTAGCCTTAATATTTGTAAAAGTTTTCTTTTTTCCACAAAATACCTGCCATGGTATTTAATGAAGCGCACCTTTTTTGTCTCCTGGAGCAGAAAAAAGACTATATAGATATATATATATCTATATATATATAGATATATATCTATATATGTGTGTGTGCGTGTAGAAAATATACATACAAGCCACTATAATAATGCATATTCTCAATTCTAAATACTTGATCTAAATGTTTCTATCTTCTTTCAAAGAAATTGTAATAAATGAACACATTTCTGGCCTTTTTAAAGATATAAAACAAGTAAATAAATATGTGTCTCGCTAAAACTGCTGAGAGATTTAACTCTTTTCTCAAGACTCAAGGCTGTTCTTAGCAGCTTGATTCAAAAAAGTTATGGTGCATATTTGTTTTACTTTGAAATCTATTTTTTTTACTATATGTTTTTTTCATTTTCTTATTGATTTTTATCCTTTTTTATTTTTATTGAATTGTACAGAACTTTTGGCAGCATCTGTTGTTTAATTAGCAAAAAATAGATGCAAATATTAATTCATGTTAATACTCCTCACTATATATGGACCTTCTGTGTTTGCTTCGGGCCTCTACTGCTTTCTTACAATAAAATAGTTTTGCAGCTTTTAAATGTTCAGTTTCTTCGACCCATAAAGTAGCTGCTATTTTAATCCACTTTTGTTTTTGCAACATATCAAAAACATATCAAAATGCAAGTATGCATTAATGTGGAATAATCACCTTTATCCCTAAAAAAGAATAACAACTTCCTTAACTTTGTTTTGTTCAGCTGTAAAGACAGTGCTACTCACCCCATCTGATTCTTACCTTGTTGAGCAGCTGGGATTGCAGCAATCAAACTGGTGAGCTAAAGAAATGGAACAGGAACCTAAACGCACCGTCCAACCTCCTGATAACTGATTTAAGCAATGATTTTAAATAAAACGGCCAATTTTACTGGTTTAAAATGATAAATTCTTTATGTGATTAGATAAATAAAGGATAATATCTTCCATGTGAGGTATGTTAGGTGGTTTAGGTGTTCCTCTAGCTCACAGTTTGAACTGCTGCTGCAGTCAAAATCCAAAGGTGACGAATCATGTTAAGAAACTAATCTTAACACAACCATTCAATTAATAAGCAGCCTTAAAATCTTATTTTGAAATAACGAGCAGATTTGCCCGAGGAAGAATCTCCAGACTGTATTTCTTATTTCTGTTCCTATCTGAAAGATTGATTCCTTCAAAGCTTAATTTAAAGTCTAAAAAGAATCAGACTTCTTAATACATTTTAATTAAATTAGGCAAATAAGATTTTAGGGCTGAAATCAACACAAATGATGAAATCAAACATGTTTTAAGTTTTTCTTTCAAACAGAAAAGCAGCAGTACCGTCTCTACCTTTCACAGAACAACACAAACACACACGACCAAAAAGTGTAGCACTGTACTGCTGTAGCAACTGGTTGGAAAGCAGGAAAGAGAGCTTGACGTACCCTGAGAACACATACAGATACCTTTCCAAGGATGTATGGCTTTAATGGGTCATGTGAATGTGTTTGCTGTGAAAGCCGCTTTTTACCGACATTTATATGAAATGATTGGTGCATTGTGGAGGGCGTCAACTCTGCAATGTGATGGGGCAAACACAGACAAGAGAGGAAAGGCAAGAGGAAAGAGAGGAGGGGAGAGAAGAAGCGACAGAGAGGTGGCGCAACAGGTGGTACATACTGCCAGGTGGGTCCCGGGGGCGTGGCGAGGGTGGCTCCGCTATCAGACAGCACGCACAAGAGGAGGTGGGCAAAACATTAGCAGTGAGCATCAACAGAAGAAAACAAAGGGCAGACAGAGTTGGGGGCTGGAGACTTGAGAAAGACGAGGCTGTTACCGAACGTCCAAAACTCCAACAGAACTTTGAAACAGATACGATTCGTAAAATAAACTCATGTTACATATGGAGTTCCTCAAGGCACTCTACTGGATCCTGACATGATTTAATTATGAAAGCTGCCATTAAGTTACATTTGTATGGTATACAGGATTGCTCAAAAGTCTATACCCTCTTTTATCCCATCCAGCAGATCTTTCTATAATCTTTTCAAAAGGTTTTGGTTAATAATTTACCCAGATTTTCTGAAGTGTTGGCTTAATTATTATCTGTAGAGATCCTGACTTTTTAGGAGAAGGATTATCTGTTTATTCAAATAGTTCACTCTCATCACCTGATGACCTAAACTGATTCCTAAAGCTATACGAGCAACAAGTTTTGTGCACAAAAGTTATTTTGAATACAATTGGTTTTACTGACTCTTAATTACCAATGAAGTGTCAGGAAGTAGAGACATTCTAGATGGGAGTGTCCAAGGAAACCTGCAAACTGCTCATTGTGAAAAGCAGCAGCACCATCCTGACCTGGATGACAAGGAGGGGACCAACCATCCAAAGCAGGAGGATTATTTTAACCCCTAAATTCTACGATTTAACCCTTTCATGCCCCTAGGAGTCCCAAGGAATTAAGTAGTGGTTATAAACTTTTGAACAGTGCTCTCATTCAACTTCATTAATTTGCTCATTCAAACCTATCAGATTTTTATTTGCAAAATAAAATTTGACAATCAGTGTGTTGGTTTATAACACAAAATCAGTCTAGCAGATTTATCAATGATAATCTGTGAAGCATAAGAATAATTTGCAGGAATCGTGGAGCGACGGCAGCCTGAGTTCTTTAAAGGGCTTAAAAATGCAACGTAAACAGCAGGAAAGCACATGTTCAAGAATCATGGGGGAAACACGGATGACGGAGAAAAACAAGACAGACAAGACAGTGAAGACCCTAAAGCTGGACACACATGATTCGACAGCTGGAAAAATCCAGAAACAGGGAAATAAATCCTTTATACATGATGCTGGTAGAACTGATTTATCTAATTATTTGGATTTGGAAGTAAAAAGCAAAACGAAGAAAGAAAAGTTTGAAAAAAAATGTCTAAATTGTTAGATATGAATTTAATTGTCATCTATTCAAATAACCCATTTTCTTTAAAGGGTTTGATGAAGTAATGCTTATGATTGTAAAATGTGTTTTTTTCACATATATTATTAAACACAAAGAGTAATCCACCCAATGTGTCACCAGTTTTATGTTTCTAGCTAAAAACTCTATGCCTCCTTCCTTTAAACATAAAAAAGAAAACATAAAAACGTAGAAATTAGCAGTACTTCTGACCTTAAGTTTTTTTTATTACAAAAGAAGGATCAAAAATTTTGTCTTAAAAAAGCCTTAGAAATGAACTTAATTTAGGTATTAAATCAGGAAGACAGTTTAATTTAGAAATGGCACTACATTATAGAGTTATACTTGACAATTTTTTTATATTTTTACATTTGGTCTCTTTTGAAATTCCATGGTTTTATATTTTGTGGAAATATGTGATAGAGAAGCATAAAAGCAGTACATGATTTTGAAGTTTATCTACCGTAGTTAAATTAATTAATAAACACTCTGGTTTGAAGTTATAATGATACAAAATGAGAAAAGACTTGATGTCTGTTCCAGACTTATGCTTACTTTAATGGGGCAATTTATATTTTTGTAAATTATCTCTATTTTTAATCAAAGGAATGGCAAAAAAGTGTGCTGATGCAGTGCTATGATCCTAAGTTTGACCTTTTGAGTCTAGAGATGAACTGCTTGCTGCCGTCCGTAAAACAGAGGAAAGGGCCAGGCGGGTTTAGGTCGAGGTCAGCAGGCTGATTTATGTGGGCAGACAGGGAGCTGCTCTGCCTCCATTTGCTTACGGTTGATTTCACTTTGGCCTTTTATCAGTCCTGTCCTCTATTAGTCCAGCCGCTTATTTCACTTTCCCGCTAGGGAACAATCAGAACGTCTACAGTGGCAGCATTTCTAAGAAACATACACTGACATGGAGAGCACAGGAACATACGGAGATGCTTTCAACAGGGGAGGAGCTTACGTGGTACTCGGCATTTAGGCGAGGGAGAGATGCAGCTCTGGTATGGCCCTCCAGGCTGGGATACCCCTCTGAGTCTGAAACATTCTCCACCGGCTTCGGATCGGCCCGCTGCTCCTGGAGAAAACACAACACAAGCATCTGTGGGAAGTTTTAAAGGAGGGAAATTGAAATAGGAGAGTCTTTTTCTACCTGTGCTCTGGTGGAGCACGGCACATCCTCTGACTGGCCTCTCTGCAGCCTCCGCCGGGCTTTATGCCTCTGAGCTGCCTGGGAAAAATCTCCAGACTGGGAATGTTTTATGTTGCTCCTCTGGTTCAGCCTGTGTGGGAAATGAAGAAGCTTTATGTATTTTGCATTAAAATAGGTGGTGAAAGGATGACAAAATACATGTATTAAATAGAAAGCTATGACTGTCATGTTTCTTTCTACTTTCTGTCATGATTAAAATGCTAGTGAGAAGGGGGACGATCCCTCTTTTATTAAAGTCCGTTCCTGTAACCAGAGTAAGAAACTGGATTCCATCTCAGCTTACAGGCTAGTCTTGATCCTGGTTAGCGCTGGAATCCAAAAAGGTAGTTAATTGTCACCGGTTTCCGAGTTCAGCCTCGAGTTCAGGCCTCTAGCTTGGGATCGAGGTGTTGTCTCAGATTTAAGTTGCTTGTTTCATGCAGCTGATGTGGTTCTGCTGGCTTCTTAAAACAATGCAAACTATTATTTAACAGCTAGCTGTGGCTCCAGGGGTTTCCAGAGGTCCTTTATTGCTGTTGCCCTCAGACTCTTCAACAACTGTTTGCAATAAACGATCCAAGATCTTCCTCGTCGCAAAATGGTGAATGAAACTGTGCAATGATTGTGCATCAATCAAGCACCAGAGCATCTATCTGTGTTTCTACAAGACAAAAATCTGTTTTACTTTATATAGCTGTATAGCAATGAAAAATATTAGACTTTTTAAACTTTTAAATAATTATTTTTTATTTCCATCTGTTTTAGAAAGTATTTCCCCTGTAAAAGCTAAATAAAAAAGCAAACTCTATTCTATTCTATACTATTTTATTCTCGTCTACCACATTCTACATTATAGTATTCTATTCTACTCAATTCTACCCTTCTATTCTTTATTTTACTATACTGAAATTAAAATACTCCTTTAGAGTAATGCCAATAGCTCATACATACACTGATCCACAGACCGGTTGGCAGTTAAGAGTCAAGTGCCTTGCCCAAGGGCGGATGTGAACTTGGCAGCTAGAGTTAAACATATTCTCTTAGAACTTTCCATAACAACACCATTTGCTGGGTGGTTAGCATTAAGTGAACAGTAGGTGTAGCGGTCTTACGCTGTTGCACGTTTGCTGGAGCTGTTGATGGTGGTGCTGGGTGGGACTTCTGGTTTGGGTTCTGGCTCAGGGTCTGGTGGGGGAGGTGGTTTGATTGGCGGCGCTGCCTCGTGTAAGTGAGTGAAGGGAAGCACAGGACGGAACAACGCGCTCAGTTTACTCTGCAGGACAGAAAAAAAACATCATTTAAATCATTAAATATTTAAATTAATCAATCCTCTGGATAATTTACAATATTAGTAAAACATACAGTAAATAAACTCATAAACCGCTATTTAGGTGGATTAAGCTTTAAAAATTGCTTTTATTCAATCTAGTGCCCAATAAACACATTTTTAATTTCTTGCAAACATTTTTCCAACCAGCTTTCATTGAAGGTTCTAAATGTTTCTTATTTTTTAACACTGAATTTCAATTCAATCAGAAGCTAATTGCAGCTCAGACAAACAAGCAGGTGTATAAAAGGTTGCATTTCACTGACACCGTGTGTCATTTTCACAGCAGGTTTATAAATATCCATGACACATAACAGGAAATACTTAACATCTGAGACAGGTGTCAGTTTGATTTATAGTTATTTAAAACATGACATTTTTAGCTGGTTTAAAATCATTTTTTACTTCTTTTTTTTTATATTTCATTGTGTTTTTCCTTTGTTTTTTAAGAGTCTCAGGCCCAAGAGAGCATTAGCTACAAAACATTAAAAAATATCTTTTGTGATTAATATGACGCACATCTTTTGCATGAAATGTTTATAAAGGAATATTAAATGAAGAGTTTAGGGGTTTTTAGAAGTACATGAATCCATGATTACATTAAGAAAACTTTCTTAAAGTTTTCTTAATGTAAGAAATGTAAGAAAACAAAACTGGAATTATATCGCAAAGATATTATAAACTCTTCAACTTTCCCAGATTTAATTGATTTTTACTGGAGCGTTATGTAGTAAAACAATGCATAGAGGGCTGTTCTTGTGAGGTGGATAGAAAATAATACTGAAAGGCTTGATCTACATTTGTTCTTCTTCTTTAAACTAAAGCTCTGACTGTAAATAAATTCCTCTGCCTTCAGGTTTCACATAATCAGAAACTAAAGAACGTTCTCTGCTTTAGGAATGTTCTTCTTTAGCATGAATATAGTTTTTAGGTCCTGTTTCCTTTTAAATTAAACATGCATTGTTTTTCCCCCCCCCTCTGTTTATTTACAATTATAATGAGCGTAAACAAATGGTCTTTAGATATAGAACATAAAAATCTGACCTAAACGAAAGAAAATCTTTTATAAATCCCTGTATTTTTTAGCCATGAGTCTTGAGGCGTCAATGCTTTGTTTGCAGATCATTTCATGTCGTACCAATTTCCAAACAACAAAGAATAAAAACCACTAATGCTAAAAACATTACTATGTATTTTTTTCTTTCAGTTGGATGATTTTGACATGATTTTATTCCTGTTTTTAAAAACCTTTTAACAAAATACCAACTTAATCAGAAAAATGTTCAAGCTTTAAATAAACACGTAAAACAACTACAAACATACACTCACCGGCCACTTTATTAGGTACACCTGTCCAACTGCTCGTTAACACTTAATTTCTAAGCAGCCAATCACATGGCGGCAACTCAGTGCATTTAGGCATGTAGACATGGTCAAGACAATCTCCTGCAGTTCAAACCGAGCATCAGTATGGGGAAGAAAGGTGATTTGAGTGACTTTGAACGTGGCATGATTGTTGGTGCCAGAAGGGCTGGTCTGAGTATTTCAGAAACTGCTGATCTACTGGGATTTTCACGCACAACCATCTCTAGGGTTTACAGAGAATGGTCCGAAAAAGAAAAAACATCCAGTGAGCGGCAGTTCTGTGGGCGGAAATGCCTTGTTGATGCCAGAGGTCAGAGGAGAATGGCCAGACTGGTTCGAGCTGATAGAAGGGCAACAGTGACTCAAATAACCACCCGTTACAACCAAGGTGGGCAGAAGAGCATCTCTGAACGCACAGTACGTCGAACTTTGAGGCAGATGGGCTACAGCAGCAGAAGACCACACCGGGTGCCACTCCTTTCAGCTAAGAACAGGAAACTGAGGCTACAATTTGCACAAGCTCATCGAAATTGGACAATAGAAGATTGGAAAAACGTTGCCTGGTCTGATGAGTCTCGATTTCTGCTGCGACATTCGGATGGTAGGGTCAGAATTTGGCGTCTACAACATGAAAGCATGGATCCATCCTGCCTTGTATCAACGGTTCAGGCTGGTGGTGGTGGTGTCATGGTGTGGGGAATATTTTCTTGGCACTCTTTGGGCCCCTTGGTACCAATTGAGCATCGTTGCAACGCCACAGCCTACCTGAGTATTGTTGCTGACCATGTCCATCCCTTTATGACCACAATGTACCCAACTTCTGATGGCTACTTTCAGCAGGATAATGCACCATGTCATAAAGCTGGAATCATCTCAGACTGGTTTCTTGAACATGACAATGAGTTCACTGTACTCAAATGGCCTCCACAGTCACCAGATCTCAATCCAATAGAGCATCTTTGGGATGTGGTGGAACGGGAGATTCGCATCATGGATGTGCAGCCGACAAATCTGCGGCAACTGTGTGATGCCATCATGTCAATATGGACCAAACTCCCTGAGGAATGCTTCCAGCACCTTGTTGAATCTATGCCACGAAGAATTGAGGCAGTTCTGAAGGCAAAAGGCATGGGGTACCTAATAAAGTGGCCGGTGAGTGTAATTAATAACTATAATGATAAAAAGGATACAAGTATTGTAGACTTTATGGAGTGTGTTTTTAAATATTTTCCAAGTTATGTGTTCATTAAATAGCTGTGTGCTCTTTTGATTATTTAAGAGGAATTACGTTTTTAGATTTGATGGAAGATGACTGTTGATGTCTGCGGAAAAAAAGACCATACACTGAAAAAATCGAATTCTAGATAAGTCAATTTTTCTTAAATTAGGTGCATTCGTTCTTAAATTTAGGAGGTAAGTGAGACACTTTGTCAATGGATCAAGACAATTTACATTTAAAATAAGAAAAAAACTATTGCATTGCCTTATTTCAAGAGCATATTATTTAATTTTCTTGTTTTAAGAGTAAAAATGCTAATTCCATTGGCAGATCATCTTATTTACCTACTCAAATTTAGGTTAAATACACTTAATTCAAGACACTTTTACTTATTTCTAGATTGTTTTTTGTATACATTTTTCACATGAAAATTTTACATTTTTCATAATACATTTTTCACAAAGACAATTATTAATTATTTTTTATAAACTCGTCAGCTTGAGTTTTTACTGAAAGTTGTGTTTTTTTCCCTTCTGGAGTAATACATCAGAAAGAGGAAAGTTTTATCCTGAATGAAGAAAGTCTTTTGACTGTTTTCTATAATCTTTTTTTTTTTTTTTGCTGTTCTGTGGTCACTTCAGCTCCATACCTGTGAGATCCCAGATGGGTTCTGCTGTTGGAGTTTCTTTGCTCGATTCTGTTTGTAGTAATCAAAGATCATGTGAGCAGCATAGACCTTTCCCACTGTCAGCTCATTATCTGCAGAGAGGAAGAGGACAGAGTCAGGCAGTTTCTTATTGTAGCCACTAGATGGTGGAAGAGGAGCAAGAATGTACAACTTAGGGATGGAGAATGGTCAGAAATAAATAGTTTTTCAGGAAAACAAGTTTTTTGCAAAACTCTTTCTACTAAATCTGTTAAGTGTTTTTTGTGTGTGTTGAAATATTGCTTCTGAAAGAAAGCTTAGAAAAGCATATTAGGAGACTGCTTTATGAAAGCAAGATGATCACTAAAAGTATTACGGTAATAAAAAAAAGGCATGATGAAAATTGAAAATCCTTTAAAAAAGTATTCAAACCGCTTAATCTAGACTTTTGAAGGATTAGGAATGGAGAATAAGAAGCACATGAAGTTTAAAAATCAATTTTTTTATTAGAGACATACTGACTGTAACATCATCTGGACCTTTATAGTTAAATAAAAGTGAGAAGATTCTAGTTTCTGCTAAACTGAGGTAGAGATAGACTACTATCTTTGTAGCTATGCTGCTAGAGCCTTAGGCTGCCGGAGGACATACTGATTACTTCCCCTTTCTGGTCTCCAGTTATTTATTATCTGCTTTTAACTCTACTAATAACCCTGCGTTCCCTGCTTTCTGTGCGTGTAGAAGTTAAATCTGCCCCAGTGTCCCTCGGCTGAGCTACTGCTGTCAACACCTTTGTGTTCTCTTCAAAGATGATACATACTCTATGTCTCTGTTTATTCTATTTAACTTAGTCTCTCTACTAAAAAACATCTGAAAGAGCTACTAATTCAACTAACTGTGCTCGGCTTCATCCTATTTGCATTAGATGCTCGCCCAGTGGGAGTCATGGCTACAAGTTATTCACTCGTTTCAATCTGCTTGGGTTACCTTAGATTACAAAAACTAAACAAAAAACAAAAAAACAGTCTGAACGAAAAACTGAGCATTTTGCTGCATAATTTGATTAATAGGATAGATTTTTATATGTCTGAATTACTAGATAGAACTGACTTTGTGTAGAATTGAGCCATGTCAATAAACCACATATACTTGCAAATAAATTAGGTTTGCAGAAAGTATAAAAAAAAAAAAGATCACCAGGCTGGTGGGGCAGTGTACCAATAAAAACATGGGCATTAGCACCTCTATGACCAAAGAAAAGATTGCTGACCTCAGGGAGAGGAGGTCTGACTTGTAGCCTACTACCACTAGATGGGAATGTGTGAAGAGTGTGGCCAGCTTTAAGTTAATCCCTTGGTACTGTGCTGGTCAATTGTATATTTTTTTATTTGCAAGCTGCACCATAATGCACATTAACACGGCCCCAACAGATCCTCGAAAGGCCTCTTCTGAGCTTGCTGTTTGAAGAGAGTGTGCAGTATTCTGAGGGATTGCACAGACCTACACACTATTTCAGCACTCAGTCTAAACATCACTACAAAGTTTTGTTATTTTGCAATTTATGCATTGGTCAATGGACCGATCTGTTAAACTGAACCTCGTAGGATGGTAACATGACCAAAAAGCAGAGAAATCACAGCTTTTAAAGCCCAAACACCAACTGACTCACATTTATGCGGCGTCACAAGCAGGTCGACAGTCTTCTGCTGCAGGTTTGGCCACACTCGGTTGATTTCCCTCTTCAGGTCGGCGTCACACAAACGCTGCGCCAGGACACCTTGGAACAGACATCACATTAAATAAGCAGCAGAGCTCCTTCCTGTCAGAATGGCTAAAAAAATCAGCAGGGAACTCTAGATGTTGTATTTCCGAGCCTTACCGGATGCCAGCTTGATCTCGAGGGCGGTGCGGATCAGAGCCATCAGCGTGGAGGTGAAATGAACTGTGTTGTCATCAGCAATCGGCATGTTCATTCTCACCAGTCGCTACAATAGGTGGAAGCAAGGCTTAAGGGTTATGGTGTTGGAAAAGATCTTAAATGAAACTGTTCTGTCTGGTAAATGTATCCTAACTTTATTGAGCTTTAAACTCATGATTTTTTTTTCAGAAACAAGCTGCAAAAGTAACAAATAATTGTTTTTTTTCACCGTTCTGCCCAAGGCTAGGCAAGGAAAGTGCAGAAATAATTTAAGAATAAGAAATTTTCAATTATATGGTAGTGCAGAGAAATGTCATTTCTGACCTTTTTTTCCTGCAATAAATCATGAGGAAATGGTCAAAGACGCCTGTTGTAACAGAAAAACAGCAAATCCCTTCACCAGAAAAGCTGTAAGTAGCCAGTATTCAGCATCCGCTCTCCTCGGTTTTCCAATCAATGAGTGATTTAGATTTCGATCAATGTTCTGACCAGGAGGTTCAGCGATCGGTTCGTCAATAAAGCCTGGGGGAGAACAGGTCTCAGCATCTACTTTAGCCATTATTTATCGTAATTCAGAGGAAAACAGCTCTCATCATCAACATGATATGTTGACCATTAGGTACTTATTATGAGTTATACAATTCCAGAGGAGAATGATAATGAAATATAAAACTTAAACATTAATTAAAAATACATTTAAGACACGAATACTGGAAACAGATTTTAATTTTAGCTCCTTTTAATCCCATCCTGCTCAGTCTAGATCTGTTTGGTCTTACTGGTGATCTGAGATGAAATTTATGCAAATTTTTGGTTAAGGATGCCAACATCGGGAATCTTAAATATTTTTGCTAAACTGTTGTATAAATATAAATGAATATTGCACAGCAAAAAATGTATATCTAAGTAAGACTTTTGTTTTCTTAAAATAAGTGCATTTTTCTTGAATTGAGCAGGTATGTGAGACACTTTGCCAATAGGATAAGACAATTTACATTTAGAATAAGACAAAACAACTGCAGTCTCTTATCTCAAGTGCATAATATCTAATGTTCTTATTTTAAGGGTAAAAAAGCTAATTCCATTGGCAGATCATTGTATTTTAATTCAAATTTTTAGAATGTTTTTCCAGTGTGTGGATTTTGTTGAAACCTGGTCTTAGTCGTGCCATTTTAAACTAAATAATAACAGAACCCATTCTCCTGGTTAAACTCAAAACTGAAAAGTAAACTTCCACATGAGAGGAGGTGCCTTTTTTAATTGTGTATCTGGCAAAAATAACATATGAACACAAAGAGATGAAAATCTCATATTTAAGGTCCCACAAAACTAACATGCATAGTTATTAAAATCACTGGATCAAATATAACTGTGTGATCAAAATCTGGGCAGAGTTTCGAAAATCACTTTAATCTGTTTCCTGACAGCTATTTACTAAGCGTAAAGTTATTTTTATGAACAATATTTTTAGTTTGACTGGAAGAGGTTGTTGGTAATTTTTATAATGCAAACAAATGTGTTGAAGATTAAAAAATTAGGTTAATAAGGTTACAATATGTGTAGAATATATATTAGTTTAGTTTAAGCTCATCAGATGTGGAGATTTGCTGCTTACTTCTTCTTATTTTTTTAACACTTTTTATACTCCTAATGAACTTTAATTTGACTATTTCCTCACAATTTAATAAAAAAAAGACTGCAATTCCCAACAAATTTAATATATTATTAGATTATATTAACAGCTGTATCTGATAAATCTATCTATCCCCCCCCCAAAAAAACAAAAACATAAAAAAAAAAAAAAAAAAAAAAAAAAAAAAATATATATATATATATATATATATATATATATATATATATATATTTATTAGGTCAGATTTTTTTTCATTCCTATTTGTTTTGATGATTATGGCTTTCAGCTGATGAACAAAAGATAATGTTCAGTTGTGTAAATTAGAACAATCTTAACATTACATAACAACACAGTTGTTTTTATGTGGAGAGGAAACAAAAGTTAATTGTTTAAGAAGCTTACTTTTAATATGGTTCTGTATCCAAGCATGTTTAAAGAAAGTTTAGTGGAAGGAAAAAGTGTTGTTGAGAAGTCCAAGGAACGTTGACATCTAGAATACATATAATGTCTGGACTGCAGCTATGGTCAATGCTTAATGAGCCACCACATATTGATGTGTTTAAGAAAATGTCTTGCTCTAAAAAACCAAAGGTAAAATAAACATCAAAATGACTGCTACTCAGTGGCCTAAGGTCATCCTTTAAGATGGAAATAGAGGTGATATTTCATTTGAAAATGAAGAAATTGTACATTGGGGGATGAGTGAAAAAGCAGAGAATCCACACTGCTGAAGTCCAGGGGGTATTTCTAACACTTCATAGGTGCGTTTCCATTATAAAAGTGTGCAGAACTATGTCGATATTTTGATAAATGGGCAAAGTTTTGTAATTGCTGTTTTTTTTTTTTAATAATAAATACAGTTAGAATAGAACATGAATATGTTTGTTTATGTAATAACTCTAAAAACCAAAAACATGAGATATATCCATATTTAAGCCACGGCTCTAGTTGGCGCCATCATTCTTCAACAACTTCTAATCTTTATCTTTGTGATGTGATGTAAAAAAGGATTACTATTGCAGTTTTGAATTCAGATGACCCAAAAACAACCTCATAGAAGCATCAAAACTTTGTCGAAAAACTTTCAAAATGGTGTTTCAACTCAGCACATTTATTTTTGCAATTACAATCTGCGCATTATGATGGTTAACGGAAACGGAGCTAGTGGTGGCTTGTGTAACCATGCTGTCTACTGAAGTTTGTCCAGTGATTTTTCTGAATTCCTCTGTCGACTCAGATGTATGCTGGGAGATTCATTATTCCCTCTGCAATTTTTAAAGCCAGTGCCGCTGAGTTTTTTTAGCACCTCAGCAGAGCCACAGGCTGATTGCCTCCATATTAGAGACTGATGCATGATGCAAAAACTTACTTGAGTTCTTATTAAGAATATTTAATAAACAGCATATGGACATTCTCCACATTAAGCTAAAATAATTTTATTCCCCCATTAGATGTCTAAAATTCTAATTGAACCCATGACTTCACCTGTTTCTGTTGCTTCTGATGTTTTACAAACTTTTTTTTCCCACTAAACTCAAATAATCCAATAATACAGACATATTGTTATAAAAAAAATTGTCTATATTTTGAAAAATCTTAAACGTTACTTTAGATTAAATAAATAATAAAAAGAGTACCCATTTTATAAATTGGTTTTTATACAATATATTTGTGATTTCACTAACCGTATGCCATAATCAGCAAAACTAGGAAGAAATAGTGAAATACAATCAATCGCACTGGGTCTGATTAATTAATACACAAGTTTTACTATTTGAGTTGAATATTTAAGACAATTCAAATTTCAAATAATTATCTAAACTCATTCAGTGCACCTGGATATCTCAGACTTGTTGACAGAACAGATTAAATACTTGCAGACAAAAAGAGCAAAGCATTAAGAAAAGCATCCAGAAGCATTGATTGATTGAGATGGTCTGAAAGGACCTGGCACATGGAGCATAAATCAGGCAGCTATTCCAGGTGTTTTCACACTTTTATTAGTGTGTAGGCAAGAAAAAGAACAAAACAAATCAACCTTAAATTCACCAGAAAAATGTTTGTATAACAGCAAACTTATCAGTATGGCAGAGCAACGAGTCCTGCACACATGCATGTTTGGGTTAGTGCTTCACCCTCACAATGTGGCTGTATGTTTAAAGTAAAAGCAAGACCAGTAAGTGGTGGTTTGCTTCCACTTCCAGTCAGATTGATGCAGACATGCAGGATTAATGAAATGCAACAGTATGAAGTGCAATGAGGAGATGAAACAGATGAAATAAAGATAATCAGGGGAAACATGCTCTTTGACAGGCACATTACATCCTTCAGTGTGTTTATTCTAAAGGAAACAGGAGGGAAACGCCCTAAAGCAGCTCAAATAAATGTCATGAAGTGACACAAAGCTCAGCCTCAGGACAGATCATCAGAGAAGGAAACCCAAGGCTGCATGTCACAAACACGTTAACGTGCTGATTAGAAATCTGGTCCTGGTTAGTGTGGAGGCGGATCAGCAGGACGGTTTAAAAAACAAAAGGGGAAACAAAAAAATAAAAAAGAGGTGAATATGTATCTTTGTCCGTTTCTTTGTACCCTTCCCTGTCGATTCACAATAATAAGAGTTATATTTGGAGATGCGGTCATGTCAGACCCGGGCAATTTTTAACTGGGGCAAGGGCAGGGCCGCTTCAGGTTTGATTCAATTTCACAGCTGTGCACATGCTGGAAACACTCACATTAAGTCTGCATGTTGGGAGGTGAGCAGCTGGATCTCAGGCTACCTGAGGATTGCTGAGGTGGAGACTCGACTTAAAACCTTAAAACTGCACAGGACAGGGGCCTCTGCTGTCCAAGTAGAACAAGTCACCATTCAAACTAATGGTAATACTCTCCTTCTACAGATTTCAGCATTTAGAAATATTTCTTCTATTTTATTTTTATTTTTTTGTATACTTCTGACAGCCTCTCTTGTCAATAGAGTATTTTTCTTTCACTTAGATGGGGGCCTCTGATCACTCTAAGCTGTTTTTCTTTGGGGTCCCCCTTTCATCCCTGCAGAGAAATTACTTTCATCACAGCTGAATTATTTCCACCGTATTTTTCTTCAAACCATCTTCATTTGCCATGTGTTCCCTAAAGCTTGGATAAAACAGACCCACAGTATTGTAGATCTGCTGTAATACTGTGGGCAGAAGGCTGTTTGCTTCATATTCATTCTTTTATTTTCATAGCACACCTGCCTGCCTGGAGTGTTTGCTGTTCAAAGGTTTATTCTTACTCTCTTCTCAGCATCACATCAAGTAAAAGACCAGCAGGATTTCTCCAATTCTGCATGTTAATGCTTGTCATGGTGGGACTTGCCCTCCAAATTATTTACTAACACAAAGGTGGGAGCGGGCTGCTTAGTGACGCAGTGGGTAGCACTGCTACCTTTCAGCAAGAAGGTTCTGGGTTTGATTCCTGGCCTGGGGTCTTTCTGCATGGAGTTTGCATGTTCTCCCTGAGCATGTGTGGGTTCTCTCCGGGTACTCCAGCTTCCTCCCACAGTCCAAAAACATGATTGTTAAAGGGGATCACCGTTTTTTTTACATTGGCCCCATTGATTTTACATTATTACATCATGTTCTACTCACCCATAATAGTTTTGTGTCATTTGGAGCTGTTCCGAAGATATTCAGTTTTGTAATCCAAGTAATGTCTTTTAAAACAAAGCGGAGTGTGTATGATGTCATCCGTGCGCGCCGGCTACCATTCATTCATCCTGTCCGCTGAACTGCTGCTAGTTTTCCTCACATGCCTGGAAGATGTCTAGTGCTACTACCACAGATGATCTCGCTCTCGAAAATGGAATTGAATGATTCAGATTAGCTCGCCGAATGAATACAAGGGGTAGAGCGTAGCCGCCTGTGGCCCGGGCTGCCTGTCACAACTCCAGTCCGGCACACGGATGACGCAATACACACTCCGCTTTGTTTAAAAAAAAATAGAAATATAAAAAATATAACCGCAGATGTCTGGGGGACAGTGATTCAATATGTTATGAATGCTGGCGTACCATAAATGATACATTATGAACAGTTTAGTTTGCATTCAACTCGTTGCCCATAGGAAGACGTTACTTGGATTACAAAACCGAATATCTTCAGAACGCCTCCAAATTACACAAAACTAATATGGGTGAGTAGAACAAGATGTAATAACGTAAAATCAAGGGGCCAATGTAAAAAAAAGGTGTTCCCCTTTAAGTTAATTGGCTTATCTAACTTCTCCTTAGGTGTGAGTGTGTGCGTGAATGATTGTTTTCTCTGTGTTGCCCTACGATGGACTGGTGACCTGTCTAGGGTGTACCCTGCCTCTCGCCCGTAGACAGCTGGAGATAGGCACCGGCACCCCAGGTGACCCCGCTTGGGATAAGCGTGACAGAAAATGGATGGATGGACAAAGGTGGGATATGAGGGTCTGATGGTACTTTTTTTTCAATATATATTATTTTTGGGGCTTTTACGGCACTAATAGCTCATTTTTTGAACAGTAGGCTGACAGGAAAGGGGGTATGAGAGAGGGGGAGAGACATGCTACAAAGGACCACAGGTCGGATTCGAATTTGAGTCGGCCACATCGAGTACTAAGGCCTCCGTACATGGGTTGTATGCGCTAACCACTGCGCAACCGAAGCACGCCCTGGATGGTGCTTTTTGCTGCAGGGATTTTTTTCTTTACTTTGAGAAGCTAAGATTTATAGGATTTTTAATATGAAATTTTTCCGATGTTTCAACTTTGATGTTAGTTTTGGCAAATTTAATCCAGAAGCTACATTTCTGTTTTGTGTATTTTTTGAAATCCCACTTGTTCAAATTGAGTTTAAATTGCATTTTTGTATTTTGCTGTACAGTTCACATTCTCTTCTCATCAGGGCGTCGGCTCTCCTCAGGAGCCAAGATGCATTGCTGTTGTTCTGCATGGAAGTTAGCATCGATATTTACCTTTGGTCTTTGCGCGTGTCAAAAGTGTGCGTTTGTTTTGAGCTTGAAGTGTAGAGAATTATGGTCAAAATTCAACAATCACAGAAAAAATATAATGCAAATAGTAAAAACGAGATATTTGAAGAAAATGAAATTCAAAAGCACAATGTGTAGGGAAAAATACGGCAAAATTAAAAACATTTTAATAAAAGAACTGGAATGAATAAAATCTGAATAAACAGCAAAATACCAAAAAGTTTTTCCAAGTTTCTCTATTAGATTGCATTTGTTTTTTTGTTTTGTTTTTTCAAATCTCCATTTACAAAATGTGTTCTTTGCTTGCAACAATAATGGAACAAAGTACATTCCATACACAACTGTGGAGATGAGCTTTTGTCTTATTTTGTTGCTGAAATCTGAAGAACGAGAACCTGTCTGTTACCTCACTTCAATTCTGCAGTATCTGTTACACGCAGACCGACAGGAACTACAACAAACCCTGACAGAACGGGACGAAGCCAGAGTGCTTCACAGACAGAAAGACAGAGACAAGATCACAACAGCAGGCCAGAAGAAGCTGAGTGCATCAAACTGACAGAAGCCTGAAGGTGTTTGGCAGGTGGAAGCAGGGAACCAGCAGTGACTGAAAGGAAGCAGAGGAAGGAGGAGGAATAGAGGGGATTCTACCTTATAGGCGATTCGGGGAGGACATTTCTTTCCCAGACCTAGTGGAGGAGACATGTCTCGAAGCATCTCGTACATGTCACGGTAACTTATGCGGCCGCTTCCGAGAGGGAAGGAGAGGAAGTGAGGGTCAAGATATCCAAGGAGAGGATGAGAGGGGATTGGTTGAGGAGGTAGCAAAGAAAAATGTAAAAAAAAAAAAAAAAGAAGAAGATAACAGAAATGGGGAGAAGAAGGAAAACAGAAATCTTTGTTAATAAGATTTCCAGGTTTTTTTTTTTCTGGAATGCCATTGCTGTTGAATTTATTCACTCAAGAATGGATCCCAGGGTGGAAAAGGAGAAGAGATTCCCATAATAAAGATGTGATGGAAGGAACCTGGTGGAAGAAACATGTTGGGTAATAGGAGAGCTCCACTTAAAACCCATATTCTGAGTCAGGCTTCGTGCTTGAATGTTTGAACTGTGACTCTGAAAAAGCAGGTGAAACTAAAACCCACTTCTATATCAGTGTATAAAAGTAAACACTTCAAACTTTTCAACATTGCATATTCTGTCACAAATTAAACTGGAAATGTTAAAAGGGTGGAAGATGGTGCATGATCTAAAAAGTGTGGTGTACATTTGATTTCAGTCCAATTAACATACTAACATAATCCTCACATAAAATCAACTTAAAAGTAGCAAGGAAACAACCAGTGTTGAAAGAAAGTCATAAGAAGTCCTGTTTGCAGCTTCCATAAAGCATGGAGGGGAAAAAGTTGCTCTAAAGTAATGAGGGTATAATTCACCACTTTGGCCTTCAAGTAGAAAACTACCACTGCACATCACTCACCCATCTCCCGTACATAGTGATGCATGGTGGTGGCAGGATCATGTGGTGGGAATGGTCCTCTGCAGTAGGGGAGGAAAACTCGAACAAAATACGGATCAATCCTTAAGGTTAACCTTTAGAAGGCTGCAGACAGCTGTTTATAGAGCTGAACAGTGGCGGCAACAATGGTGTCAGTCAATTAATTCATGTGTTGGAACGGTCTAGTCAAAGTCCAGACTTGAAATCAATCTCTCGATCCAACCTGACTGAGCCGGAGCTACTTTGCGAAGAACCAGCAAAAATCTAAACTTGGAATCCAATTATAAATGCACACCACAATTTTTAGAGCTTTGTAGAAAAAAAAAAAATGATTTATGCACCATTCTTGAACTTTTTTTTGTTTTTGTTTTAGACAAAAACTATATAATGATCTTTTGTTTACATGGAGATCTGTGAAAAGTGAAGTGATGTGAATATTTCTGTAATGTGCTGCTAATGCTGGGTAGTTTTTGTGGAATAGGAGAAGAAAAACATTAATTACACAACAAGAAGATTTTGGTCATTGCCAATAATGAAGCTTGTTGTTTTATTTGAGGGGTCAATAATTATTCTGCTTCATATTTTTTCTAGTCTACCCTTTAATTAATTCAAAAGATGGATTTCCAGTGGAGCAATCCTTTAAGATTCCCTCGTTATTCTGCATGCTTACAGGTTCTCAGCAGTAACCACAGTGAAAACAAGGCATTCAATGCTCTTCCTTTATTTCCTACTCCTCTCACTCCTGTTTCTGTAAGAAGGTAAACATCTCAGACATCCCATCTGATGCCTTCTGCTTGAGCCTGACTTGCTGCTTTGTTTCCCCGCCACTTGACATGGTTATGTGCCAGCTGGGTTAGTAGAGGATGAGCGTTTGTATGCATGTGTGCTCTGGTGTTTCTCTGCCAAACGCAGAGAAGGAGGACAGACAGACACAGTCCAAAACCAGCACGGTCTCCTTCTTTAAAGCAAGGGGACCGTGTGGGAGTGCAAACCTTATAAGCCACCCTGTTGGGGCACTTCTTCCCCAGGCCCAGGGGAGGCGAGATTAAACGCAATAATTTGTACATGTCCCGATAGCATATCCTCCCACTGAAAAAGATGACACATGTTGAAGAGGTTAGATCACAGGCAAACTATAAACATCTGTTCAATATTTTACCTCATGACTTCTAAAGGATAGTTTTTTTTTTTTTTTTTTTTTGTGTAAATGGGGTTGTGGGTAGAAATGATGAGTAGTCAGTATCTTTAGTGAGGAGCAATCAGATGGATCTTGGTTTGGAGAATTATTAAAAATTGCAATCTTCCAAGGTTTGCTTAAAGCAATAACTTTTAACTGATAGTCTCAATTATTCAATTAAATTATCAGTGAAGCACCTTAAGATGAAATGTGTTGTAACTTGGTCCTGTAAGAATAAAACTTCCTACATATGGGGTGTCATTTTCTAAAAGGAAGCAAAAATTAGGAGCAATGTTTATGGTTAGTTAGCATATTTTCAGAGAAAATTAAGAGTCATTTTCTCACTGTGTCATTTATTCATTTATAAAAATCTTACTTTGTTAAATAAATATTTAGTTTGGAGCTAAATATTTTGTTTACAAATTAAATAATTAGTGTGTTAAATAAATATTTGCAATTTAAATATTTTGTTTTTTTAAATAATTATTCATCTCCAAACTAAATATTTTGTTTGTTAAATAGATATTTAGCTCCAAATGCAATATTTATTCAACAAACTAAGTATTTAGCTAATATTCAAATTTGCTACTTGAAAAGTTTAAGTAAACTACCAACGTAAAAGCTTGGGAATCTCTATATAACTCCTACTGCTCAAGAGGAGAGACTGATTTCTGTTTGGTCACTTTGTCTTTATCTAAATCCCAAACCACCTCCTATTCTCGTTTACACCTCGTTTACTTTGGTAGCGCACTTCCTCTTTTAGGCCAGTGGATTTTCACATTCGCTAAATATCTAGCTAGCCCCAAGCTAGCTAGATATTTAGTATATTAAATAGGTATTTTATTTGGAGCTAAACATTTATTGAAAAAAGGAAACATTTTACTTGAAAGCTAAATATTTAGTCTGGAGCCAAATATTAATTCAACAAATTAAATATTTCATTTGCAAACTAAATAGTTAGTATGGAGCTAAATATTTAGTTTACAAATTAAATAATTATTGTGTCAAATAAATAATTAGCAATTTAAATATTTAGTTTTTAAAATAAATATTAATCTCCAAACTAAATATTTTGTTTGTTAAATAGATATTTAGCTCCAAATGCAATATTTATTCAACAAACTAAGTATTTAGCTAGCACCTAGCTAGCTAAATACTTAGCTAATATTCAAATTTGCTACTTGAAAAGTTTAAGTAAACTACCAACGTAAAAGCTTGGGAATCTCTATATAACTCCTACTGCTCAAGAGGAGAGACTGATTTCTGTTTGGTCACTTTGTCTTTGGCTAAATCCCAAACCACCTCCTATTCTCGTTTACACCTCGTTTACTTTGGTAGCGCACTTCCTCTTTTAGGCCAGTGGATTTTCACATTCGCTAAATATCTAGCTAGCCCCAAGCTAGCTAGATATTTAGTATATTAAATAGGTATTTTATTTGGAGCTAAACATTTATTGAAAAAAGGAAACATTTTACTTGAAAGCTAAATATTTAGTCTGGAGCCAAATATTAATTCAACAAATTAAATATTTCATTTGCAAACTAAATAGTTAGTATGGAGCTAAATATTTAGTTTACAAATTAAATAATTATTGTGTCAAATAAATAATTAGCAATTTAAATATTTAGTTTTTAAAATAAATATTAATCTCCAAACTAAATATTTTGTTTGTTAAATAGATATTTAGCTCCAAATGCAATATTTATTCAACAAACTAAGTATTTAGCTAGCACCTAGCTAGCTAAATACTTAGCTAATATTCAAATTTGCTACTTGAAAAGTTTAAGTAAACTACCAACGTAAAAGCTTGGGAATCTCTATATAACTCCTACTGCTCAAGAGGAGAGACTGATTTCTGTTTGGTCACTTTGTCTTTGGCTAAATCCCAAACCACCTCCTATTCTCGTTTACACCTCGTTTACTTTGGTAGCGCACTTCCTCTTTTAGGCCAGTGGATTTTCACATTCGCTAAATATCTAGCTAGCCCCAAGCTAGCTAGATATTTAGTATATTAAATAGGTATTTTATTTGGAGCTAAACATTTATTGAAAAAAGGAAACATTTTACTTGAAAGCTAAATATTTAGTCTGGAGCCAAATATTAATTCAACAAATTAAATATTTCATTTGCAAACTAAATAGTTAGTATGGAGCTAAATATTTAGTTTACAAATTAAATAATTATTGTGTCAAATAAATAATTAGCAATTTAAATATTTAGTTTTTAAAATAAATATTAATCTCCAAACTAAATATTTTGTTTGTTAAATAGATATTTAGCTCCAAATGCAATATTTATTCAACAAACTAAGTATTTAGCTAGCACCTAGCTAGCTAAATACTTAGCTAATATTCAAATTTGCTACTTGAAAAGTTTAAGTAAACTACCAACGTAAAAGCTTGGGAATCTCTATATAACTCCTACTGCTCAAGAGGAGAGACTGATTTCTGTTTAGTCACTTTGTCTTTATCTAAATCCCAAACCACCTCCTATTCTCGTTTACACCTCGTTTACTTTGGTAGCGCACTTCAGCTTTTAGGCCAGTGGATTTTCAAATTTGCTAAATATCTAGCTTGCCCCAAGCTAGCTAAATATTTAGTTTATTAAATAGATATTTTATTTGGAGCTAAACATTTTTTGAAAAAAACTAACATTTTATTTGAAAGCTAAATATCTAGTTTGCAGCTAAATATTTATTTAACAAATTCAATATTTTATTTGCAAACTAAATATTTAGTTTGGAGCTCAATATTTATTTAACAAATTAAATATTTTATTTGCACACTAAATATTTAGTTTGGAGCTCAATATTTATTTTTCAAATTAAATATTTAATTTGAAAACTAAATATTTTGCACCAAACTAAATATTTATTCAACAAATTAAGATGAATGACATAGTGAAAAAATGAGGGGGGTCACATGGGAATACATGGGAATAAGTCCTGCTTCCTGCTTCATCTGGAACTGACAGACTAAAAAGTTCCTAGAAGGGAGATAGTAATTTAAATACTATCCTGAATGTTATTCTCATAATTATTACCCATGCTGGGTAGGTTACTTAAAAAAGTAACAACTTAGAGCTACTACTCTGAAAAAATAACTGAGTTACTAACTCAGTGAAAGTAACTATGCAGTTACTTTTTTTTAATCTAAGTTGCCGAAGAATTTGGAAAACTTTCCTGTTAATGTCGTCGACGACATAGTTCAGCACCTGATTTTGCTGGGAGTTGAAGGGAAGTAGGCTGCCATTTGACTGGGAAGGGCCATTTTGAACGGCTGCTACTTTACACAGAAGAAAAACACAGAATGAAGTGACTTGTCTTTGATCAGACTGATGTCTGGTTGAAAGGTAAAAAAACATTTATTGAGGCCCCGTCCACACGAAGTCAAACCCTGGCCTAAACGCACACATTTTTCACCAAACCAGCCTCTCATCCATACGAAGCCGGCGTTTCGGGGGTCTGTAAACAATCTTTTTTTTTATTAAGCCTTCAGAGTGGGAAGATTTTGAAACACCGTTTTCGCGTTTCCATCTTTAAGCTCTAACCGCATTTTTTTTTTTACACGCATGCGTCATAGCGTCGCCTCTAAGCACGCATGCGCGACACAGTATCACAACAACAATGGCGCCGTACTGTGTTGAATGGTTGCTGCTCATGCTACTCACCCTGCTGTCGGGCTTACAACAGAATCTTCTTCTTCTGGAATATCTCCAGGAAGAACAGAGCAATATTGACGACATAGTTCAGCACCTGAATTTGACTGAACCATGAAAATGGACCCGCAGGGGTTTTTCGGTTTGGTTGTTGTATAAATATTACTGCGCATACCAACATTTCGTTGCCTGTTTTCGCCTGGTTTTGCTTTGGCACCACAGCGCCACTTAGAGGCCTGGCATACATTTTGCAGCGTTTTCATGCATTCGTGTGGTCGATCACATTTATTTTACGTCTCCGTCTTTACGATAAACGTTCTGGAAAATATTAGCGTTTCGTGTTCGTTTTGACTTCGTGTGGACGGAGCCTTAGTTAATATAATCTAAGCCTTACAGGCATCCACAAACTCGGTCCTCAAGGCCCCCTCTCCTGCAGGTTTTAGAGGTTTCTCTGCTTCAGCACAGCTGGTTATAATGATTACAGTAGACGAAAAGCCTGTTAATCAGCTTTCAATTAAAATCAGCTGTGCTGGAGCAAGGAAACCTCTAAAACCTGCAGGACAGGGGGCCTTGAGGACCAAGTTTGGGGATGCCTGATCTAAGCTAAGACATTTCTTGAGTTTTGAGTTTGTTGTGTTAATTCGTATTTCTTCAAAGGCTTCCCCAGTTCCAATACAAAGTAAGCTCTTTTTGTATCAGGTAAGATACTGACTGCTTATAGCTACTACCCAAAACCCCACTTTAAAAAGAAAAAATCCTTTCTTTCTTTTTAAATCCTTCATCTAATATTTAGATTTAAATATTTCATATTTAGCATAAAAGTTATTTAAACGGTTGTGTGTATTTCAAGGAAGAAACTTACCCCTGATCTCCAAAAGGTCCAAGAGTAAACACATTTTTTAGTCACTATTTGAATTTCATTTAGACTCCATCTTAAACCCAATAATATCTGAAAATAATAATCTGAAAAAATTATTAAATGTTGCTAGAGGCTGTTTTGAGAGCCACTCATTCATATTCAGAGGAATACATTTTAATACATCCCCATAACGTCTGTCAGGTGATGGTAAATTCTTCTTTTACTTCTCACACCTCTAAATGTCTCGATCAAAGGAAAGAAAGCTGTGAGGCTTCGTTAAAATTTTACGAGCTGAGCCTAATCTGAGACAGATTAGGCTTCACAGTGTCTCGCTCAGTATATGCTTTAGTCAAAGTAAACTGCATTAGGTGTGAGAAAAAAAAAGGTAGTCTAACATAAACCCGTGCTCTGCTTCTGGAGTGACAGAGGCAGTTTCACTTTATTTTAAAGAAACAGACAGGAAGGAGTCTGAGCCTGTCGGATCAAGGCTGGGTGGACGTGGAGCGGAACGCATCAATCCAGCCAACAGGGGCCTCGTCCCTGATCTCAGCCGACGCTCTCAGACTCAGGCTTACTGTCATTCATCCGTCGGCGCTAAGATGAAACCCTACCAGTTGAACATCGGAGGCATCCTGCCGGAACCCAGAAGCCACCGTGGGACTTTCCTGAGTTTCTTTTAAAAGCAAACCTCCTCTGTAACGCCAACACTTCTCTACACAGGGGAGCATGCTGGAGCTGCAGAAGACACCTACCAGGCAGCGGGGTCATATTCAGCCCACACACGGATGAACTCATCGAGGTGGTGAGGCCCGAGGATGGAGGCGTCCCGAGTAAGATACTCAAAGTTGTCCATGATGACGGCCACAAACAGATTTAACATCTAGGGGATAAAATAAAGTTTTAAAAAATGAATGAAGAACAAGACTTCTGCCATTGAGAACTTTTCGTTTCACCTGCTGAGATCAGGTACCCTTATATTTCTGCACAAATAAAAAAAAAATACTTTTCTATACACTGACAAAACAGTTGATTACATCTGGCTATTTTACTAAATTAATTCTAATTTGAAGTACATTGTTTTCCCTTTATGACTAAATTAAATGTAAATAGATCATATTTCACTTATAGACAGGATCAGGAAGGTGGTTAGTATGGAAAATTTTGATTGAGAAAAATCTAAAAACAAGAAAAGCTTACAGTTGATGTGATGGAGGGACCTTTTAGTGGGAGGTAAAGCCTAGAACAACACCACCATTTTTAAGCCTCCATCAAAATATAAATACTAAATCATTTAGGAAAAAAATCTGTATTATGCAGTAAACATGCATATACTGGAAATAATCTAGACTATTAGATTAGAGATTAAAGAAACTCCTAACTTCCATTTTGTGAGGAAAACTCAGAGCTCAAATATTCTTCAAGTGGGTTGCAGTTTAGCCTGATGAAGTCCAAACTCTACAGCCGTTTGACAGAAATATTCATTAAGTAACCAGCAGACACAGCAGGCAAAAAGACAGAAAAACATCTACATTTCAATGCACACCAGTTATATATGGAGGATAAAAAGTGCCAAAATTGAATAAATAAATACAGCATTAAATAAATAATTAAATGCGTCAATATTTAATTAAATGTGGAATTAAATACATAAATGTGTCATTCATTAATGAAAACCACGTCACTAATATAAAGTGCCACAATTAAATAAATAAATACAGTGATAAACAATTAATTAAATGTGTAATTCATTAAATAAATAAGGAATTAAATATATAAATGTGTCATTAATATAATAAAATATGTCTTCATTTTATTAAAAAATATATATATAATTATTTCAGTGTGCATTAAATTATTTCATGGTCCTGTGTCGCAGTGCATCGAAACCATTGAAAAAATCTGTCAAACTCACCCATCAAAGTTAGGGGGCGGGGTTAACGCGAATCGAGTGTCTGTAATCGATTTGCTTCGCCTTAATGTGCAGGGTGACCAATCAGGTGTTAGATAACCGCCCCCTAACTTTGATGGGTGAGTTTGACAGATTCTTTTAATGGTTTCGATGCACTGCGACACAGGACCATGAAATAATTAAATGCACACTGAAATAATTATATATATTTTTTTAATAAAATGAAGACGTATTTTATTAAATTAATGACACATTTATATATTTAATTCCCTATTTATTTAATGTATTACACATTTAATTAATTGTTTATCGCTATACTTATTTATTTAATTGTGGCACTTTATATTAGTGACGTGGTTTTAATTAATGAATGACACATTTATTTATCTATTCCACATTTAATTAATTATTGACACATTTAATTAGTTATTTAATGCTGTATTTATTTATTTATTTAATTTTGGCACTTTTTATCCTCCATAGTTATAGAGTATGAAACTAAAAGTTGTTTAACGTTACCCAAAAGCATGCTGGTGAAGATTCTGAAATGACACGACCGGATCCACTGCTTTGGACGACCCCCATTCCGAAGGGGTGGACCCGTTCATCTGTTTCAATTTGCATGTTTTTTAAAGGTTTTGTAGTGCTACTGTATAAATCCTAGAACTCAACACTAATTCTGATATTTTTAATTGAAAAGGCTTCCTGGATGGGAGGTGAAATGTCTTCAAACTTGGAAAAAAGTCCAGTGGATTTGTGTTTTTTAAAGCTACAGTGTGTAATTTTCAGCGACATCTAGCGTCCAGACTGCAGACCGCAGCAACATGAACATCTCCGCCCCACCGCTTCTCCCCCCCTACAGTACGGCGAGCGTTACGGGACAAAATGTCTTCCACGACGTCCGCATCACCTACCTTCTCAAGTGATGAGGTTTGTTTACATAGATAATTTTAATACTGCCATCTATTGTTCAGTACCGTCTCAGTTCATCTCTCTCAACTTGCCGTAGTTACTTTCGAGCGTAATGGGCGATCTCGCAATCGCTAGTTTGTTGGCTCTGCGCTGCCGTAGCGCAAAGATGTCTGCCTCCATGGCTGCGAGACCCGCTCCTATGTAATTATAAATAACGAATTCTAAGGCAACGCAAATATTAAGGTTAAGAGGCTGAGCTCGTAGATGATGATAAATAACACAGTTATGTATAATATATTACATTTCTGACTGTATATCCCTGTAATTATTACACACTGTAGCTTTAACTTTTTTGGAGTTAACAAAAGCTTAAAATAATTTTCATGCAAAACGTGCGGTATTGTTAATGTAACACATTGATGCCTTCATAATTGATGCATGTTACATAGCCCTGCCCTGCACATTTCCTTTTCTTCAGTTCTTCATTCGTATTTGTTGATGTGTTTTATTCTTTTATTCTTAAAGGCTTTCATCGCATCGCTTGGTGATAATTTTAGTTTAGGTTTTGAGGGCGGGCCCCTCTGACTGAAGGTACCAACCAGGAAGGAGCAGAGGAAGATGAAGGACACAAAGTAGAAGTAAGCAAAATCACTGCCACAGTCCTTTCCTGAATTTCCTGAGAGTTTATCACATGGTCGGTTACTGAGGCACGATAGCATGATCTCATGCCACGCCTCGCCTGTTGCACTCCTGATAAAAGACACAAAGAAAACCACAGGGAAGAACTGTTGATTCATATGGATGTTAACGTTAACAGCAGCTTCAGAGTAACCTGGATAAAGGGCTTAGATTACCTGAACAGGAGAGTCAAAGCCTGGAAAAAGGTCTGGAAATTGTTGTGATGATTTATGGAGGTCTCTTCATTCAACTCAATGTTACCAAACACCTGAGGAGAACATGAGGGAGTTAGAGTAAAAAAAAAGTCGGACTTCTGATTAAGGCCTCACTGTCTGTTATCAAAAATCCCATTACAGCGATGTTAATAAGAAACATTATTGGAATTTACACTTTTGAATTCTCATTGGAAATGAACATCAATTAACCATACATCAATTCGTAGAGAATTAACCTTAAACTTGTTTTAAATTCTGACACTAAAGATGATGTAAAATAAATGAATAAATCCTTTCAGCAGTTCTTCACATCACAGCTACAGATTTTGATGCAGATTTTATGTGACTAACCCAAACATGAATGTTTGGGATAGTCACATGAATGCTCACCAGATCTATATTACATGTAATATTAATCTGTAAGTTGAATAAAAAAAAAATAATTTGTTGACAAGGATTATGATATGGAAAAATTTGAGCAATAACTAGTATTGGACAATAAAACTGATGTAGAACATCAGTCAGATCATCTGTTTTAAGCTAATCTCTTAACAGTCACCTCATTTTGGGAAATTCTCGCCTATTTTGCATACCCAAATGGAAAAGCAAATACTTAGGAGCATTTTTTGTGGTTGTTTTTTTTTGGTATATACCAGTAAATGTGTTGGATTCAGGAAAAATAACTTTGCAAATAAAAAGAAATTGAGTCTGCACAGGAAAGAGGTTCAAGCAGCTTCTGCAGGAGCGGAAGGAAATGCCCAACCCAACTTCAAGCTTTCCTTCTCCGAATCCCCTCCTGCACCCGTCTTTTATTAACAGAGCATAGCACATGATTACAAAACAGTATTTGTTCTGACAGAACAATTGATCAGTTCATAAAGACAAGATGCTCCATCAGAATCACGAGGCAGGATGGTCTCCTGACTGCATCACAAGACACAGTGCAGCAGGCAGGATGGTCTCCTGACTGCACACATGTTTCAAAAGCACACATTAATTTTATAATCATCATTGATTAAACCTGACAAAATGATCTTGCCAATTCCTCTTTGCCATTCATCTCATTTAGACTGGGTGGTGAAACTATGTAGATTATTGTCAAATGAAGTGAGATCAGCTTTGTTGAAGTTGGTTTATGGTTCATAAAATTATTAGAAGGTCTTTAAAGGTTCCCTGTAGTCAAACTTAAAACAACCTTAGGGGCTTTTCAGCCACTAAGATCTTAATGTCCCCAAAAAACAAGTGCTGTTGTATGAGAGTGGTAGCCACTAACTAGACGCGGACGGTGAGTAACAGATGTCCTCGGGCTACCACGTTGTTTGCTACAAAAGGGCGTGGCCCAAGGCTGTGGGTGTGCAGGGGTCAGAGAGTACTGCCCGTCCAGCCAAATAAATCTCATGCAGGCCCTACATGGGGTAATACTTGTTAAGATGTAAAAGCTCAGGATGGTTTGAGCACTAGTCCAGAGTGAGTCGGACAGAAGGAGGGGTTTGGCTCAATTGTAAGACTTTTCTCCGCAAGATTGAAAAAATGGCTCCAAGACAATCAAGAGTGTGAATACTAAACTGGCTTGTACTGTTTTTTTTTTTTTTAACTATCTTGGTTTTTTGTTTTTTTATGCATCTGTGTGTCGTTACTAACCTCCCTCCCCCTTAATGCTAACACCTTTTAAAAGCCTAACCAGGGACGAAGGCTGCAAATTAGCCCATGGCTACAAGCCTTATGTACTTGGACATCGGCCACCTGTTTGGTTGCAATGTTTAATTGTACTGTCCCTGTCAAATAAACAAAAAGAAGAAAAAAAAAGAAGAGAAGAACAACACTGTACATAAATAAATAAATCTGGATGATACCCGAGCCTTTATAACACTACCTTACCCTTTAAATAAAACAGCTGTATGTTTTAGCATGTGTTCCTTTTGGATAGTGATCCCCTGTCCCAGACTTAATTATTTTGCAGCCTTGTATAATATTTCTTTGAAGTACTATATATCTTTATTCCCATATTAACTGTGGAACTTTCCTGTCATTGCTAAAGGAAAGCATCCCCACTGCATGATACTACATGATTTACTAGCCAACAAATCAAAAGTTTGGTCTCATTTGACCAGACCTCCTTTTCATCCTGCTTGTTGTGTCCTGAGATCATCCCAGAAGCATCTTTATCTGACATATTGTGATATTCTTTTTTACAAAAAGAAGGCATTTGACAATAGATCTATTTGCTCACAGCATGCAGCATGAGTACATAAACCTTAGAACAAGTGAAACACTTTAATATTTTCCATTTTTCTATCTTTGTTGAAGGTTAAAATTGTGACGATATCCAAATTTTGCTTCACGGTAGAGTGGCTGAATACTCCCACTGCAAGATTATTACTGCGTTTATCGGAGAGATACTCTCTTCATAGTGGCCTATTTTTACAAAAAGCTCTATATTGTACCAACCTGAAGGGAAAAGTCTAAACAGTTTGTGTCCAGAATGTGTGGCGTCTGCAAAGACAATCGCTGCCATTCTCTCGACTGCAGACCTATACACATCTTTATGAAAATGATTTGAAAATGATTTCTCATGGCTTTTGAGAACAGCTTTCTTCCTGCTAATATTCAATAAAGACCAGTTTTGCGGAGTGTATGACTTTCAGCTCTCCCTTTGGACCCACATAGACAAAATTGTTGGCATCCATGAGATTTTTCATGTTTGTATTAAGGGCCTGATCTTCCAATATTCCAGATAAGGGGCTCTAAATTGCAGGTGCATTTTCTTTATATGTGCAAAAAGTGGGCATGTTACAGGTGACCTTGAAAGGTTGTTGTGCAAATGTTAATGTGAAAACTAATTTGGTTCTGTCCATTAAAATGAGCAGATTGTGTGTTTTACAGACAGTTTGAGATTGGACATCAAACAAAGAGTTTCAAAGCTACAAAGTTAGATTAAAAAGATAAAAATTTATTCAAACAAATATATGTAATGATAAACAATAGGTAGCATAACTCAGAGTACTAAAGACAATGGTAAAAAATTTAATAAATGATGAAAATAACTAAAATTAGGTAACAAATCTTTCCTTTTTATCTGATGACAAATTGGATTTTGACATCACCTACCCCTGAGTAGTAAACAACAGTTTTTAACCATAGTTTTTTCAATTACTTTTCTAGTATTTTTTTTTTAGTTTATCAGAAAATTAAGTCAAATTTGCCCCTTTCCTCTGCTTGTTCAGGTGATCCACAAAAATAAAAAATAAAAAAAGATCTTTCCATGCATGAAAATACATGTTAACTTTCTGAGTATGTTGTTTCAATAAAATTAAGTTCTATTTTTTGATTTATTGTAGAGTCACTTATCCTCATTTTGGTTTTCTTACCTTTTACCCTTTGTTTTTACAGCATATTGCCACTTTTTGTGGGAAAATAAAGGATCTTTCTACTGTTTTCTGACCATTAAAAATGATTATTTGGAGTAAAATAAAAACAATATATGGTTAAAACATGTTATACAGCCCTATGGATATGTCACCCTTATGCAGGGTTCTTTGAAAGCAATTGAACATCCATTTTTTACACGAACCCAGACTGATTCAGGAGGTGCATGTCATTGACACCACTGACCTGCATCCCAATAATGGCGTAGATGAAAAACAACATGGCGATAAGCAGGCAGACATACGGCAGAGCCTGAAAACAAAGAAACATTTGAAATATACATATCATTATATGCAGACTTAAATCTCCTCTTCCTTCTTTTTTCATGTCTCCATCCCTCTGTAGTCTCAGGATCACTAAAACGATTTTCTACTGTGGACAAGATCCTTTTATCAAAGTTTCTGCTCTTATAGAGGAACTAGAGCTGTGAACTCAGCCGGCAGAGCTGAGTCCTTTGACCAGCTATTTATAACGGCGTGAGGAGGAGGCGAACAGTTGTAATTAAATAGCCACCTTTTAAGACTCCGCAGCTACTGTCTGCCTGTTGTCACCAGGCTTAGAGGCTCTCACCGCCAACATTAAACCTGCTATAAATTCCCTGAGCCAGGCGCTCCACATAACTCAACTTCTCCCAGAGGGATTTAGAGAGCAAATCTGTAGAAATCCCAACTGCTGTCCGTAGAGGGAATTTTTTAGCTAGAACTTAGAAGAAATGGCTTCTTTCTCCTAAAGGTGCATCTGTGTTGGTTCAACATTAAAACAATTGGAAAGGCAAATTAGCTGCTTTTCCAGAGAAAAAAAATTCTTTCATCTTTTCCTTTTAAAGAAATAAGATTATATCCTGTTCGTTCGTTAGCATATTTCAATCACCCATTTAAATTTAGTATATTTTTTTTGACCCACCTTGAAGGACTGAACAAAGGTCCACAGTAGGATACGGATGGTGTAGCCCTGTCGCAGCAGCTTGATGAGACGAGCTGCTCTGAACAGCCTCAAAAAACTCAAGTTTATCATCTTGTTCTAAAAAAAAAAAAAGAGAAATCAGTTTGAGGAATCAAGGTAAAAAAGTTTTAATAGTTTCTAACTTTTTACAAGAACTTGGGACAAAAAAATAACGAGTGTTGTATTAATTTCGGCTTTTAGGGATTTCTCTAAGCTTTTCTTGTAAAAGTGTCAGGTTTCTGTTATAGTATTCAGTCTTGCTTTACTCCTTGCTGTGTTCTTTGGTTTTTTCCAGTTACTGTCCTAGTCTGGGTTCTGTTATGTTTTCTTTTTAGTGTTTAGTTTTTCTTTTCTCAATGTTTTATTGTCCTAGTAATTTAACATTGTGTTATTTCCAGTCTTCCTGGTTTCTATTTGTTGCTCTCTGCTGCCCTCTTGTGTTCTCCTTCTTCCCTAGCTCTTTCCCTCTTGTTCTGTGCACACCTGCTCCCAGTTTCCTCATTAGCCCCCTCTTTGTCTCTGTCTCCTTTAAAAGCCCTCTCTCTTCAGTTCCCCTTTGCTGGGTCCTCGTCAAACGCTGCAAAACTTTGTCAAACTTCCTCCAACTCCGTCTTCCTGAGTCTTCCTCGTTGTGACAGTGGTTCCCCTGATGTCTCCACGGTTTCTGGTTTGTTTTGACTAGTTTTTATGTTTGATTCTTTTGGATTTTTGGACTCCTGATTTCATGCTTATTTGGACTTCGTTTTCAGTATTAGATTTTTGGATAACCTGCCTTTGTTTTCAGTTTCATTTTTAATTAAATCTAAAGAAATTCACCTCTGCCTTCCTGCCTCTGCTTTTGGGTCAACACTCCATAACCAAATCCTGACAAAAAGGATAATACGTCTCTCACATTACTGCAGTGACTATTAACTAAAATGATGATTTTCATTTATTCAGGTTTGTGGTGGATTTTCTTTACTTCAGACTCTCTACAGGGTCAAAATTAAAACAGAGAAAAAGAAAAAAATATATTTGATAAACTGAAGGGATCTTTGCCTGGAAATTGGATGTTTTAATGTTGAAATGTGATGTTTGGCTATAGATAAAAAAACTAATGGACAATCCATATTCTTGTGCATAGTAAGACAAGGATAAAGGATTATGAAAAGTTATCTGAATAATTTGTTTTGTTTTTTTAAAGGATTAGAGAACATTTTTTGACAATTTAAATAGGATGGCATTTGAGAAAATAACAGGTTATTTACTTTTCATAAAATATGGGTTTTGATTAGGTTTTAGGAAAGTATCAAACATTTCTGTATGGAAAATGTTTGTTATTGGTTGGGTATAATATTCTAATCCTAAATGTCTGTTTTTCATAGCTGTAAGCAGAAAAATTATCATAATTACAGGAAATGGGGTTTTAAATGCACCTACGTGCACATTACATAAAAGTCCCGTGTTTTAGTAAGAAGCAGCTGTTTCCCCCCTTCTTTAGTAGTGAAGATGTCTTGCAGATGAGGGTTGAGACATCCTTAATAAGTTGCTCTGAGCCTAGGATTAAGGTTGCTGATTTAAAGGGGATATTTACTTAATGTTTCCCGGGCTACTTATTTTATTATCAGTTTAGTTTTGTGTTTTGGATCAGTTTCCCTTTTTTGACTCTCAGTTACATCTTTAGTTTCAGCAATACATCTGTGGGATTAGAGAGTTTGGGGAAATCCTTTTTTCATCAGCTCACCATTCCACAATACAACAGTATCAGGGGTAGAAAAGCAATCCGGTTGGGCGCTTTGGGGAGACCATTTCAGCCAAATTCACATTTTCAAAATCGGTTACTATCATTTGGTTTTGGTTCTGTTTATTTTTTTTTTTAGCTTTCATTAGTTTTATTTCCATTTTGAGTTATTCAGGTTATTTTTGGTTGTATTTGAGTTCTTATGTATTTCTTGTTTACCCTCTGTTGCCGTCTTGTGTCAATCTCCTTCTCCTAGCTCCCTTCTAGATCTTTCTGTCCACACCTGCTCCCAATCTGCTGAGCTCCAATCTTTGTTCAGTTTGTCTGTTCCTCCTCTCTACTCTCCCCTTGTGTTTATCCCCTGATGTCTTCTGGTTCTCTGTATTTTGTTATTTTGGATTTTTGCCTCAGTTGCCACCTTTTGGATATTAAATTAGCAAGAAACCACTTCAGCTTCCGTCTCTGCATTTGGGTCCTCTAAAAACCTCACCGCATCCTGATAGTTTCTAAATTGGTTTTGGGATCCCCTTGGTTAAAACCCCCCAAAAATGCAATATGTCTCTGAAAGGAAGTAGGTGAAGTTATTTATGATTCACAGGGTAACGATAAATAATCATTAAAAGAATGCGGCTATTTTGACAAATATTTGCGAACAGCTCAAAGAAGAATTAACAGAAATCCCAACAACAATAAGTCATTCATGCTTGTATTGGGATTATTTACAAACCGTACTAATGCTGTAGCCAGAATCATTTCATTGTTATCAAAAAATGGAGTTAAGGTACATTTGTATTCTCTTGATTGACATTAGGTCTGTGCAGCAAATGGACAAGTTGCAGCTGCAGCCCTCAGTTTATCTCCACTTTAATATCATGTCACGGCGAGGAATTAGACAACACTTTAAAGTAAGGCTGCCATAGAGAACAACGCACACACTGACGCAGGAACTGGAAAGAAAAAAAAAAGAAGAACCAGCAAGCAACAAGAAAAGCCACTTACCGTCTAGAGGTGTCAGATGTGACAGAAGAGGCAGAGTGAGGGCACAGGCGCCAGGATAGACACAGCAGATGATGGAAACAGCCAAACAGAAATAAGAGAGGAGCGAGAAAGGAGACAGAAAAGAAGACTGATGTCCTCATGAAGAAAAAAAAAAACACAGCAGGCGTTGGCACACCAGTAACCACACCGGCCAGCCTCAGTCCTCAAATACGCAAAATCATATTCCTTTAAGTCATTTTGTTTCCATGACTTAAAGTCATATGTTTAAAGGAAAAATCTGGTCATATTCAGAATTCAAATTTCTTAAAGTAATTTAAATATACAATTATTACATACTGTTTAATAAATGATACGTGTTATTTAATTATGAGTAATTTTCTTTTGAATGTGCTTTACTGCAAGCATCCATGTTTGCCAAAGAACACTACTGCCACCTACTGGTTTGTGACGTCACAGAGCGGCATTGGATGTTGATCAAGTCCCAGTGCTATATATCGGGTGTTTGTCACAACGCGCTATTATCCAAGTCATCTTGAAAACATTATTCTTCGAAATATTGGCTACATATTAGGTGTTTTTTTTTCTCTGGCCTATAAAATCGATGGCAAATCCTCCCTCTTCAAATTGGCATTCCACTGTCAAATCCGTCCGTGGAGGATCAGGAATCGAAAAGGTGAAATAACTAATTTTTTTCACTTTTACCCGATGCATTTCAACATCCAGCCGCCATGCACGTGGGCATTGTCAGTTTCACTATAGCTCTGGTGATTTTCAATGGTGAAGTCCTCCGGAAATCTTCAATAATTGTTCCCATTGACTTTGCTAGTAAAGAAGGGAAAATGGCGCTAGGCTTACCGCACCGTGACGTCACTGCCGGAAGATGGCAGGAGTGAGGTGTTACTATATTTGGGCAAAAATGGCGTCTCCCAAATCACTGTCAACGTATTCGTTTTAGGTATAGATAATGATCCAATGACCATTCCTTGCTGACCGGATTTTTCCTTTAAATAAAATTAAAAAAGAATTTTTTCTTCTATGCTCTAATTTTTCAAAAAAAAAATTTTTCGCATATTGCTTTTGTATGATTTGATTTAAGGACTGAGACTACAAGAACACAACAAAGTATGGCTTATTTTTCTGCTCTAAGGATGAGAAGGTAATTAAAAAAATACCTAATCAATGTTGATGAAAAGCTGTAAGTTATCCTATTATTGTGAGAATTTATACTTTATTAAATACAAACATACATACAAGCCAATTAGATGTGTTTTTTTAATTTCACCAGAGAATCACATTGATTTTAATTAGCTGTGATTGTAAAGCTAATTTTTTTTTGTTTCTCATGTGTTTGATGCAGGAAAACTGATCACTGCACAGCGGTGGCTGCAGGTCTTACATTGATCTCTGTGAACAAAATGTCTGTGATGCTTCCGATCACAGTCACAAAGTCAAACACATTCCACGGTTCCTTCAGGTAGTTCTGAAAAATAGACAAAAATACATCTGTTAGCTCAGCTGTTTTTTTTTGTTTTTTTTTTGTTAACTGTATTCTGGTCTTTGGAAGAAGACAGAAAACATTTCAAAGAAATTATATTTTACAAATTCAATGCAAACTGATAGATAAATGTTGACAGCATCTCCTGCATAAATCATGAGGGACTGTCAGCACCCCTCAGACAGGTCCATCATCCAGGTCCTGAGGGTGGAGGTTTATGCCAGGCCCCCTTCGGCTGTTTTCTTTCAACTGCTACAGCATCATAGCGATTAAAAAGGCAGATGTCAGCCCAGCCGCTAAACAGGTGGAGGTAAGTGGTGTGTGAGAAAAGCAATTTATCAAATGGACCTTGTAAACGGAATTGAGCTGCAGATGAAACGCGTCACTGCAGACCAGACGGCCCCATGGCAGAAGATTTATGCTCCTTCCTGTAAGTTCATTCCTGGACTTACACTTCGAATCCCCTTTGGTGGATTTTGTTGGATGTTTCTGATTTGATGTGGTCATTTCAATGAAAATGTTGTTAGCATTAAAAAAAGATAAAGATGCACTGAAAAAAATGGAAATCTAAATAAGCAATTTTTGCTCAAATTAAGTGCATTTTTCTTGAATTGAGGAGGTAAGTGCGACATTTTGCTAATGGAACAAGACAATTTACATTTAAAATAAGAAAAAAACAATTTGTCTTATTTCAAGCATATATTATCTAATTATCTTATTTTAAGAGTAAAGATACTAATTCCTTTGGCAGATCATCTTATTTACCTGCTCAAATTAAGGCTAAATACACTTAATTTAAGACATTTTTTAATTATTTCTAGATGTTTTTTGCAGTGTGGGAATTTTATTTTTAAATCCACACTGCAAAAAACAATCTAGAAATAAATGAAAATGTCTTAAATTAATTAAACTTACTCTTAATTTGAGCAGATAAATAAGATAGTTTGCCAATGGAATTAGTATTTTTACTATTAAAATTAGATAATTAGACAATATGCACTTGAAATAAGACAATTCAGTTGTTTTTTTCTTATTTTAAATGTAAATTGTCTTGTATCATTGGCAAATGGTCTCACTTACCCCCTCAATTCAGGAAAAAATTTGCTTATTTTAAGAAAGAAATGACTTATTTAGATTTACATTTTTTTTACAGTGAAATTAAGAAAAAAAAAAAACAATTTAAAAATTCAGAGTTATTAAGGAGCAAACGAAAATCTACTTGCACTAAATCTAACGGTTCAAGCTAATCATGATTTAGAGCTGGGCTCAATTTATGAGAAATATTTCCCCTCTTAAAACAGATTAAAAGTTAATTGCAAGCATAAAAACACAGAAACAGAAGGAGTGTTTAGTGCAGAGCAGATTGTCTTCAACAGCTCACCAGTGGATTGAAAGCAATAATCTTGAGGATGCACTCTAGTGTGAAGAGGCCAGTGAAGACGATGTTTAGGTATTTCAGCATAGACTCGTACACCGTCGGAGCTCCGTAGAACTGAGGACAGAAGGTAGAACCAAATCTCAATAAGTCATATCAGCACAGTTTTCAGTTTTAATCTAACTGCATCTGCATACCATTCTGAACCTGAATGAGTAAATCCAGCTAATAGCCATTAGATTACTCACACCTGCTGACGAGCTATAGGTATAGTGGAAATGCATCCGTCAGCCCCAGGTGTTAGTTACACTTTAACCCCCTCAGATATCTGTGTGGGCTGTGTATCTTTCCACTGTGGGCTTCACAGATGATTATGACATGAGACTGCACCATTATCTCAGACTGAATGGGTTGTTGTGTTGGCTCGGCTGGAGCTGTTTTATTCTCACTGAGATGTCTCAATCGCACTTCATCTCTCTGTTTGACAGGTGATCATCTTTTGATACAAATCACTGAAAACTAAAGCTCAAGGATGGTAATTTATCCAACTTAAGCATCTAATATTTCAGATTTATTGGTTTTTTCCAACTTATTTGATACAGACAGGGGAAAAAGCCTCATCCAAAGGAACATAATGCTAGTAGTGATATCAAATAATATTCCTGAGTTGTTTGCTTTGATTGGAGTGGAGTCTGCTGTGAGGTGTTCACTGTACCGGTCCACTGTGGTGAAGAGAGAGCTGAGCTGGTAGGATCTACGTTCCTACCCTCATCTATGGTCATGAGCTTTGGGTCATAACCAAAAGAACGAGATCCTGGATACTAGAGACCGAAATTAGTTATATCCGTAGTTTGTCTGGGCTCTCCCTTAGAGATGGGGTGAGGAGCTCAGTGATCCAGGGAGAACTCAGAGTAGAGCCGCTGCTCCTCCACATCGAGAGGAGCCAGTTGAGAGTGGCTCATGCATTTGGTTAGGATGCCTCATGGTCAGTGGCACGGGAAGGGGGGTGCTGCGGGGGCTGCAGCCTCCCTCGTCATAGCATCAGCCCCCCATGGTGGGGGGCTGTGGAGTAACATAATATTGTACTTAAAAACATGAAATTATTTATGTATTTATTTTTTAAAAGACTGTGTTTGATATGGGATTAAAATGATGGGCTGTGTATAAGATATAAACTAATGATTCATTATTTTAATATTTCATAAAAAACTAGGCTACTCCCCCGGAAGTGCTTCCGCCACCTCACATTCGTTTAGGCATTGCTAGCAAAAGGCAGCAGAAACGTATTTCTGACTATTTCGAGGTAGGAAATGGTTTTAATTCCCCTATACTGCCGCCGAGCATTTATTTAGCGTTATTAATTTTGTTATTTATTTCTATATGCTGTGCCTATTCGCCGTAGTCCTGTGGCTGAAGAAGTCTACGCTAGAATAAGGCTGCATATCACTAAATATTATGTCTGTATTAAGCTATTTAGTGATAAAATATGAAATTAGTTATTTTTTGTGTGTGTGTTTTTTGTTTCAGATATGAAATCATTCCCCCATATCCATAGTCGAATGGACTTTCAAGACGTTCAATGCTCAGTTTAGGCTATATTTAGGCCATGTTTTATTCAAGTGTTCCTGATCCTGTTGATTGGGAGCTGTTGTTTGTTTTGAATTATTAAAAGAGAAGAAATAAAGTTTAAAATGTTCATGCTTTGTTCCGATGCATTTTAAATGGCAGTTTTTGGCGACAAATGTAGGCCTACGATATTATGTTAAAAACATCAGCCACAGCCCTCAACATACAGTAATGACGTCACGTGTTTTTTCCAACCCAGCCATCAGCCCCCCTCGCTTGAAACAGCTTCTAGCGCGCCTGCTCATGGTGCCTTCCTGGTGAGGTATTCCAGGCACGTACCACCAGGAGGAGGCCCAGAGGGAGACCCAGGAACCGCTGGCTGGGGAGAGGGACGTCTGGGCATGGATGGATGGATGGATGGATGTTTTGAAAATATATTTTCCCTAAACCTCGTAATTTTGGTGAAATATAAGTCAGACTTAAAGAAACTAGAGGCTTTTTTTGCTCTCTCTGTATCTTATTAATGGAAAAGATACAGCTGTCTTGTTGAGAACCTGTAACTGTAAATGTGAGCCCATTGGTATGAAGTGTAAAATCACGTCTCTTTTTGTATCTGGGATAATTAAAACTCACTGGTGCTTATTGATGTCATAGCATTTCTATCACGTTTTAATAAACACCAGCGGCTGTCTACCACAACCTACCTGCTGCTGATTGTAACAATTTCCATTTATTAACACAACAACCTCAGCTTCTGGTAATGTGTTGGGAGTGCAGGATAAGTCCTATTATAGAAATGTACCAGTCATTAACTGATGATTGCTAATTAGCAGGTTGCCCTCCAGGAATATGTGGCTAACAAGAGCATTGCAGCTGTTCTGAGAAGCAATAAATCATTCTTAAATAATGCACAGTCGTGCAGTGAGTCGACGTTTCAGGAAGGGTTTCATACTGTTTAGTTTCGCCTGTGGGGCCACGACCCACAATCATATGATAATCAGACGTTAAGTGAAACACAGCATTGGAATGATAGGTGCTTTGAGCATCACTGTTTCTGCTTTCTAAATGTGGTCTAGTCAGATATACCCAAACTCCAAATTTGAGAAAAAAATGTAGAAAAATGCAGCAGCAGTAGCCTTAAGCTAACAGTTGTAGCATCAGTTAGCCAAGCAGTCATTAGCGTTAATTAAAGGGTAGTTAGGGAACGCTGAGGCAGCTGCAGCTGTTGTTTATGAGCTTAGTTTTTTCTTTTCAAAGTGGGTAAAAGCTTTCTTCTACCATGTTTATCACTTTACTAAGCTTTCTCTATCAAAAACATCTGCTGCACCTTCTGCAGATTACTATTAAATAACGTGATACCCTTAAATGGTTTACTGGTTGCTTCAGTTATTTTTTTTTACTTGGTTAAAAAAATAAAACCCATAGAACTTTTTGTTTTTTTAGCAGTGATTTCTTTTTAACCTCGCAATAATACTTTTTGTTTTATAAACATATATACGGAAGAGGATTAGGGCCACTGAAAAAAGGTAACTGATTTTTTTTTATTTTATGTCAGTATAGTATGGGAAAAAAGTCAGAATTCTGACTTTTTTCTCTGAATTCTGATTATAATCTCAGAATTCTGACTTTTTTTATTGTCAGAATTCAGTGAGAATTCTGAGATTAAAGTCAGAATTCAGAGAAAAAAGTCAGAATTCTGACTTTAATCTCAGAATTCTGAGAAAAAAGTCAGAATTCTGACTTTTTTCCCATGTTAAACTGAAATAAAATTTAAAAATCAGTTAACTTCTTTTTTTTTTTTTTTTGTGGCCCTTCCGTACATATACCTTTTTAACGTTGATAGTTTTATGGCTGATATATCTGTTGAGAAAAACAATTAAGATAAAACTTTAAAAGGTTTATGTATTAAATCACTTGAAAATATGACAGCTTTTACAGAATGGTGATCTTACTCAGACTAGAGAGATTGCATGGTTACAGTGGGCCATGCCACATCATTAAATCCTGCATCATTGGTCCCATCCCATTTCCAAATCTTTGTTACGTACATAATGAAAATGATAACATTTAATCCAGAGCTGTCCTAATTTCATAAACTGTTTAGGAAAACATAAACCTTCACACTTAACAGGAAGGTAATATTAGGGAGTAACAAGCAGATAAATAATTCAATTTCAATTCAGTTTATTTATATAGCGCCAAATTCACAACTAATGTCATCTCAAGGCACTTTACAGTTCAACCAGATCATACAGTCAAATTGATACAAAGTTTTCTATCAAAGGAAAACCAGTTGATTGCATTGACTCATTGACTCAAATACAATCCCTCACACTAAGCATGCTTGTAGCGACAGTGGAGAGGAAAAACTCCCTTTTAACAGGAAGAAACCTCCAGCAGAACCAGGCTCAGTGTGAGCGGCCATCTGCTGAGGCCGACTGGGGTTCAAGGAGACAGAAGCAGAGATACAAAAAGCAGCTGTAAAAGGCGGCCCCGTCCAGGAAACACACAGCCAGGCAGACGAGCTCCAAGGCAGCTCCCATGCCAGAGGACGAAGAGAGCACATCCATAATAAAAAATAATCCTAACAACTTCCTCTGATTAGGTAATTTTTATTAAAACTACTTTAAAAACCCTGTAATCACCAGGATATCAACATAGAAGGAAAAACATGAAGAATGGTGACGTCAACTAATTTAGTAATAAATTAATCTTTAATTGGAGTATAGAGACTGTAAAATATGTTTTTATTGTAGCTGACAGAGCAACCCACTTAGAGCAGTAATTATACCAAAATTATAACATTTATAAACATTTTGCATTAGAGATTTTTTTTTAAAATGTCTACATGCTCTATCCAGAACTCCTCAGGTGGAAAAGTGTTAGTTTCACCTGGTTTACTTTCATAAAAAAATTTATTTTCTTTAAGGAATTTTTGGCTATCCGATTAATCAATTAAATGAAAAAAATAATAGACAGATTAAACGATTGGCCAAATAATCGTTAGTTGCAACCCTAGAATAAACAAACAAACAACAGCCCCCCTCATGTTGGAACATTAATCAGGGATTAGAACTAACGTTTCATCATTTTTAAAAATAAATATAATTTAATCTAAGTGGGACATCCTGTTAAAATAACAGATTAAGTAAATAATAAAGGATTAAGTAAATCAATAGATAAACACGTGTAACAATATTTTATACTCAAATATTTTCAGGATTAATAATGATGAATAATTTATGCCAAATCTCCTGCAGATTTTTCAAATATATTACTTTAGCAAAAATATTTAGGCAATTTTAGTATTTGTGAAGGCATGGGATACAAATATATATATATATACTTTTGTTATAATCTATATTTATGTCTGCAACAATACCAAACAGGAGAAGTATTAATGATATATAAAAGAAAAATATTCAAGTAAAGTCGACATGTCGACATTAAACTCAACATTTCGAGAATAAAGTTGAAATGTCATGTTGAGTTTAATCTCGACGTGTCGACTTTAAACTCGCCCTGTCGACTTTAAACTCGCCATTTCGAGAATAAAGTTGAAATGTCATGTTGAGTTTAATCTCGCGGTGTCGACAATAACGTTTAAATTAGTTCAAGAGAGCCAACCGCTGCACAGGATACATGCACAGAATCCTATACAGTTGCAGCACGTCAAAGACTACCTTCACTCTTAAAACGCAGACTGCAGCTGTGGAGCACGGTTGCTCTTTTCTCCAAACTTTGGAATGTCGAGATTAAAGTCGCCACGATATATCAACTTTATTCTCGAAATGGCGAGTTTAAAGTCGACACGTCGAGATTAAACTCAACATGACATTTCAACTTTATTCTCAAAATGTTGAGTTTAATGTCGACATGTCGACTTTAAAGACGAGAGTTTAATCTCGTCATGGCAAAAATATTTTTTCTCTTCATGTGTGGCCCTAATACTCCGTCGTAGACAACAGATTTGATGTAAGATTGAAACAAGGAAAATAAAATTCCACAAGGGAAAATGTAATGCAGGGCTCCTTTAAATTGTTGCTAGAATAAGATTTATCTTCATGCCATTTTCACATGTTTTATCAGTTTGATACAAATCCTTCAAAACATCAGAAAGGTGTGACTTTAGAGAGAAAACTGCTCCATATTATAATGACAAATTCTGTTTTTATTGAAGATTCATCCTCAGTCTGTATAACTACTACATTTTATATCATTTCAAAATAACAGATTTTAACATTGACGTTAAGAGTAAATTATTTTTGAATTAGAAAAGATGAAGGATACCATGGGATCTTTTCCCATGTTGCTTCTTCATCAATTATTTTTCAATGTTTTTTTATTTACACAATTTTACAATTTTATTGTTGCTTCAACATCGAAATGTAGCTTTGATGCATTACTTTAAAATAAACAGTTAAAAACTCTAACGATTGGTCTGGTTTCTCTCTTCTGTGTGCCTCTTAGATGCACAGACCAGCTTTTAGCACGACTCTGAGGTTTGCACAGCTGGACTGAGCGATCCCAGTAGCAGAGGTGGGCAAGAGGCGGACAAATTAGACCTGTCTACCACACTGTTTACAAAAGCTTTAGCTGAAATTAGCTCCATAAAGTACATAACCATGTGTGTTAATCATGCATTAAAATAAATTACTGCCATTAAAATAAAAGTGAGCTTTGACAGCCCTGCTGGTGGGCACCATGAGACATACATGAGGGAGGTCTGGGTTTTTTGAGCAAATTCTTCATTTTTTTGTATTGCTTATACCTAAAAAGAAGCTTTACAGGTTTTTTATTTGAAATATATTATTTTTATTATTATTGCTCTGATGATTTTAAATGAGCCTGATTTTTTTGGTTCCACTCCAGTACTTGGTGTCCTATCCACAGTTCATAATATGCATGGGTGCAGCACTAGTACCGGCTGGCAGTTACAGAGCACTAAGCGGATGGTACTATACCCTATACGGAGCGCCTTTAAAACATATCCTGGTTAACCCGTACAAATGCACTACATGAAAAGCAGACAGAGGGGGAATAATTTATTTATTACATGGAGTCTCATGGATAGTGCTGAGGCCAGCCTGTGACCCTGCAAATAACAGTCATTCAGCTGGTGACCCCCTAAAAAGACATAAAATATAAAGGTAATTAGATCTATTTCAATCTGAAAAACTCACTTGGAGAGAAAAGACAATTAGAAGAAATTTATTGATACAATTACTTAGTCTTTGGCGCTCAGACATCGGCAGGAAACATACCGTTGAATTTTTATAGATATGCATGAACATGATTAAAGAACAGGGCTGTTTCCCTCAGGCCTGAAACTGGCGGTGAGGTGGAGCTTTATGGGGGGATACAGTGGATTGCGTGAGCTGATACTAGAGCTTCACTCAGGGACCTGGAAGATGAAAGTCCAGCTTGGATAACACAGGTTGAGAGAACCTGTCCATGATGAGCAAGCATGAAGAGACAGTGGACAGGAAAAACTCCCCATTGGGATGAAACCTCTGGCAGAATCAGGCTCAACATGGTGGTCTTCTGCCGGTTGAAATGAGACGCGGTATGCAGTAAGAGTCCGGTAGGAATGAAACTCTGATGAAGTTTTAGCTATGATGATGGAGGAGGGGCTGGAGGCAGGTTGAAACGGGGACGTCTAAATTAAGTCACACAGCGCAACCACCGCCTGCACACAGGAGCAGATGAGTTGCGGATCCGAGGCCTTTTAAGATGAACTTTGGATGCTGATTGGCTTTTGTGGAAGCGTGGTTCAAAGCTGATTGGCTGTGTTGTAGGCAGATGAAGGTGAATAATCAGTTTATTCAGTTGAACTTCCGCCTAGGCTCCATTCTTTTAAATAATTTTTTTTTATGATATTTACTTATTTAATTCTCATTTTGAAGGGAAATTTCTTTATTTAATGGGATATTTAATCGTTTAATAGTGAATTTATTAATTTTATTTTATATTTAATATTCAATACAAGTGTTAGATAAATAAATTAAAATCACATCTGCTTATTTCATGACATATTGATTTATTTCATGAGATATTTTCACCCTCTATATACCTGAGGGCTCACATCACAATGATTATGACAATCATTTGGGCAGCCCCAGCGGTCCTGACCCCCACTTTGAGAACCCCTGGCTTATGCCATATGAGCAGCGCCTTAGTCAGGATTATTTTAATAATATTGGTTCACCAATGTGATGCACTGCAGGCAACACGGGCTTAAAACAGCATTTATGATCTAACATAGGCTACAGGTTTATTGGGCATTAAAGTTGCTGCAGTTTCTGTGATTTCTACCTCATGAATGGATAATCACCTGAGAAACCTTCAGTTTCTTCAATTACTTTTAAACTGCAGTCTTGCTATCGCAGTGATGGATGATATGCACAACTGCAGCCTGCTGTTTTCCTCCACTTTGCACCAGTCTATCATCTGTCACGCTTTTACACATTTCTATGCAGGATTTTTTTTTGCCAAAAATCAAGAGTACACATTTTTTATTTGAGAGCAGGATTTCCTCTACTTGCAGTCAAAACTTTCAACTTAAAACTTAAAGCTAAATGTTTAATTTGCAACTAAGTATTTATTTGATGCACAAATCCTCTCGCCTATTTTGCATACCCAAATGGAAAAACAAATAACTTAGGAACTGTAATCCCAAATTACATGTGTGATACATTATTTGAAAGCTAACACCTTCTAGTTTCTAAATATATACAGGAAAATTGGGTGAGTAAAGCACAACCCAAGCTGCATCAGTTCAAACATGACTCAAAGTTGCTTTCCTCATTCTCAAAAATAATAGGTATTTTTTGAACAGCAGTAATAAAGACATGCTTGTTGTTGCTGCTTTCTCATGTTTATATTTTGACATGCTGCTATATCTGTGTTACTTATGCTTTGGTGCTCGCTATGTCCATAAAATTAACTTCATGGTTCAATTTCCAACAAAGTCTAAAATGTCTATATTTATCATTTTACCTGTGTAATTTTCATGCATTCTGAGTTATTAGTTATAAATGCTTTAGTGAGGTCAGACCACCCCGCCCAAAATCAAACTTAATATTAACACTCAGCTGTTAATTCTGCTTGAGAGTGGCCTATAGGAACACAGGTTCACCCATGACAGATTTTTCAAATTTGAGAGAAAAATCCTGAATTGAGAGCAAAGACTTAGGTTCGAGAGAAAGAACAAAAAGGCTTAGAGAGAAAAATATGTTTTTTTGAGAAACCATTTTCACTCTGATTGCAAAAAAAAGGATATATATACAATATTTGAGAATAAACATATATTTTTAAGAGAGCTTTTTTCCCCCTGAAAATCATTTTCCAAATGTTGATTTATCTTTCATTTATTTTATGACAAAATATTTAATATTTTCTACAGTCTCACATAACATCAGGTTTGCTATCAGTGTTAAAATTAGTTCTCTCCAATAGATTGATTTTATTATTAAAATGATTTTCCCCTTTCAGATTGCTTTTTTTTTTTATTAATAAAAATTCAAAAATAGCTCCATTGCTCCATTAAAATTGTGTCCCCGCTGGTCCTGCTTTAAGCGATTGAGGGATATCAGAGAGGAAATGGCACTTTGCTTCATAAGCAGAACTGAACACTGACCTTCATCATCAGCACGACTGTGTTGAGGGCAATTAAAGTCATGATGGCATACTCAAAAGGTGACGACACCACAAACTTCCACATCCTATACTGGAAAGACTGCTTGTTCTCTGGCATGTATCTTGTAAGCGGCCTGGCGTTGATGGCAAAGTCAATGCAAGCCCTCTGTTAAAGGAGAAGACAAAGCAAAAACAGTAATGATCTCTGGTAGAGGTGATGCTTATTTCAAACACATTGGGTTTCTACCACCGAGATCTTTTGATTTGCAACTGTTATTTTAAGTTAAGAAGTCGCAATAAGCAAGAGGTGAAGAAAAAATTACTTATTCTGTACATCACACTAAAACGGGGACGTCTGGAGTCTACAGTATTTACCAGGACCAGCTTGATCCAGATTTTAATAAGGTAAACATTTCTTGTGCAAACAAACGTTTACCACAATCTGTCATTTCTGCAGATTCTCTGTCTTTGCCGCAGATACGTGTCTGAATTATATCTGAGGGAGAAAATCACCTCATTTTTTTCCAAGCTGCACTCCGACATAGCCTTGTCTCCTTGTTCCTGGAAGGTGATGATGATCAAAGCTACAAAAATGTTGACAAAAAAGAAAGGAAAGACCACGAAGTAGACCACATAGAAGATGGACGTCTCCATGCGGAAGCCTGGGCTGGGGCCCTGGTCTTCATATGTGGCATCCACAGAGTGCTTCAGAACCCTGTAAGAAAAGCAGATAACTTACTAGAGATTATCCAACTTGCTCTTAGAAATAAAGCTCATTTATGGCCTGATTATACATATGCAAACACTAAAACATTCCCTCTGCTGTTTACTTTAGCTTTTATTTAGCTATGAAGGACATGTTCTTTAAGAACTCTACTCCAGTGAGATTAAAATGAAACACAAAAAATCAGAGCACGTCGAATGAATACTCAGTACAGAGATAATCATCTTCCTCAGTCGATAAATAAAGGATTACCCTGTCAGCAGAGTTTTTCTACCACAGCTAAAAAAAGGACTGAGGGACCAAATAACATATAAGGAGGTGAGAAATTTCTTCAGCATTCCTCATTTCCTCCCTTTATAGGATGTTGTTATTACTGTGAAACGCTTCTGGGGTAAGAGAGTTGGGAGGTGATGCAGGAGCATCTGAACGTAGATAAGAACTCCCATCAATAAATAACAACGCAGACTGGTTTTCCAGGCTCTGCAAGTCTTTTCAGTTTTTCTTTTGTGTTTAGTCAGGTGACTGATGATTTTAAAAGGTTCAATGTTCTTTCTGTTTTGGAGGTTTTTTTTTCCACATTTAAGGAAAACAACCTATATATTGTTAATAATGCAACTTTTTGTCTTAACGTTTGTCATGATCTGGCCTGTTTGCTCCTCCTTAATTAGTAATTCCTCTCACCTGCCGTTTTCCCTCCCTGCCTCAATTATAATTTATTCCTCTCACCTGTTTCCTCTGGTTTATATTCAGTTCAGCCTGAGCATTCAGTGCCAGATCATTACTTGTGTTTCTGTTAGCCTGTCTGTTAGTTTTGGTTCCTTGGTTCGTCTCCTGGATCCTAGCAGCCAGTGGAAAGAGGGTTTTTGTGTTTGTCTCGTCTCCTGATCGTCCACTGTTCCTCCCCCGCGGAGTCCTCTGGGTTTTCGCTCATTATATGGGGAGGTTCAGTTTTTATGCAGTAAGCCTGGCTCCAGGAAGGAGACCAGTTTAAAGTCCTGCTTCAAGTTCCGGTTCCACGTCCTGTCTCGGCTACCCTCTTCCACTGAGCCTGCCTATCTGCACCTGATCCTGTCTGCTCCTGTGCGTGACCACCTGGTCATGCTTCTGGTCCCAGTCAGACTCTGAACCCTCCTGGGAGCCTGTTAAAGCCTGGAAGCCTGGATCCTGCTACCTTTTCTGTTCCTGCCTGATCTGGATCCTGCCTGTTCCTGTCTGTTCTGGATCCTTGACCAGGATCGGCTTCCAGCTTGACCTCTGGAACTGCAGCACTGGGACATTCTTGGTCTGGACTGCTAAACCAGGTAAGTGACTCACTGAGAACATCATCTTCAGTCAGATGATCATGGTCACTCCCCTAGAGTGTGTGAGATTGGGCGGTAACCCGCCCCCACCGCCTGCAGTGTCCGCGAGCCACAGCTCCGCTTTTGTTTTGTTTTATTTAATAAACGTTTTGAACTTTCCTACTGACTGTCTCTCCTTGAATACTGGGTCCATCTGTCCGCTTTTCATGACAACGTTCCCCAACTCAGACACCAATAGCAACCCTTTTTCACTAATATTCCTCTAATCTATCTCAGGTTATAGGAATCCTGAGTAATTTGGGATGCTCTCTGTTCCATCTCTGAAATGCAGCTGATTATGTAAATCAATGTAGCCTAATGGTTTAGAGGGGAACTTGCGAAGAAAAGGAACAAGGTATAAAATAATATATTTTTCTCTTAGTAGAATAGTTTATTTTCTTTGTTAATATTAGAGCATTTAGTTTCTACTTCATTAGGTCTTGCTAATGAAAATCCAAGGTTTGCCCTTTCCTTTGTGGAGACATGACCTAGAAACCATTAGGCATGCTACTGGCTGGCTACTTGTACACATGATGAGACATTGCAGATGGTGCAAGAACTAAGTGATTACAGTAGTGTTTGCAGTTATGTAGCGTTATGTTAAAACTAAGGCTGAAATAAATAATCAGATTAATCAATTATTGAAAGTATCATCAACTAATTTAGGAATTGATTGTTAGCTTTTGTATACCCTAACACATGCCATTAGCTTAAAGAGAAGCCCACGCAAAGCAAATGTCAAAATCTAGAAATTATCAAAACATTTTTCAATTTTAGAGAGAAAAACATGTGTTCTATCCAGAACTCTTCAAGTGGCTCAGTTTTAGTGTCAACCAGTCAAAAATCAGTATAAAATCAAAATTTTTGCATCTCATTATTTATTAATTTAAAAAAAATCAAGAATCTATTTGCAAAATGATTTGACTAGTTAAACCACCTCCAACCAAAAGCAGGACAATAAAACCAAATGGTTTTAGTCCCACCAGTCTTTAACAAGGAGAAAAAAGACTTGTGTATAGCCACTTAGCAGCAGCAAAGCAAATACTTTGGTTAGCAGAATATGTTTTGGGTTAAGGTTTGCCCACTGCTGCATGTTAAACTATTAAAAACCCTAGAAAATAATAAATAACATCATGCTTTACTGAAGGCACCGTCATGATCTGGGCCCACCGTGGTCTCTGAATAAAAGTACTAAAGCTGCATATTTGACCTTGCCTTTGTGACAAGTCCATCTCACAACTGCTTAAAAAAATAAAAGGAAGCTTTAGAGTGGCCCAGTTAAAGACCTAATCTGTAAATAACAGTGGCCAACAAACAGACATCTAAATACTTTCCAGCTTCACTATATTTTAAAGCCTTCCTGAAACATCGTTCATCTATTTACTGTAAAAATAAATGAAAGTTCACTGTTTTGATTGCATGTACTGTACAGTAATATCTCTGCATCGGGTTATTCACATTAATCTGCTGCTATTTTAAAGCACACTTTGAATGCATTAAGCCTGAAAACTTGGACATTCAGAGACTCTTGGACACTTAAAACCCCTTTTTCCCTTTTGTTTGCTATTTTTGCATGAGCTTATTTTCAGTAGTGTCTGTGTAGTTATAAGATACAGTAATACTGTGTGATTATTAGCTAATAAAGATACAAATGTATTTTAACCTGTGGTCTTTGTTTTTTGTTTTCCACAGTGAAGAATGTATCACTCCGCCTGGATTCACTCTTCTTTCAGTAACCTCCAAATGAACAGACTAGTTCACTTCACTTACTGAATTGATGAAGACAACTAGATTTTGAACAGCCGGTCTTTATGTAAAAAACTAAAAACCCTGCTGAGTAAGCAAATTACAGTTTTAATCATTTAACTAATAATCAATGATTAGTTTTACCCTCAGTTTCAATTAACTATTCATTAGCTAAAACCTTAAGTTCCAGTTATTTAATATATTTATAATCTTCTGGTAAAATTACACATTATTATCATCAGGTACAAATACTAAATGAAAGATTGATGAATATCAGCTTAAAGAAAATGCCTTCAGAAAGGTTAGAGAAATGCTCCCAAAGCAAAAAAATAAAAAATCTGGTTTCCTAAACGTAAATAAAAATCAATGATAAAATGATTAGTAGTGCTGTTACAGTTTTTCACAGCTCAGTAATCAATTCAGTGTAAAGCCACATGCAGGATAAGGATCAAAGCTTTCTTCAAGACGTGTACATGTTAAATTAAATTATCTAATACTATATATAATATTCACAGATTACAGGTGTCTGCAGCGAGTCGACGTTGGCTCCAGTCCTCCTCCTGCGAGCGTTTAATAGCTTGTGCAAGCTTCATTTTTATCCCTATCTGCACATTCTCTCTAAGCTGCTGTATAATTAACTGCTACTTGCAAAGCTCTTTTAAGTTTTCCACCAGGAACAGCAGAAATTAAGATAGAGAAACGTAAATCTATAATTTTTTTTTCTTAGAGGTACAGAGACATAAAGACTATATAATTGGCCATGGTTAGTTGTTTTTAACAATTTCAGCAAAGATGATGTAGAAATGTTTGGTCCTTTTTTATTTACTAAACTAGACATCTTTCTATTCGTCACCTTCAATAACTAACCTTGTCTCAACAATTCATGAAAGTTTTAAGGTAATAACAATGAGAAGTTAACATCGGAAATTTTGCATTACAGGCAAAGAGACAAAAATGCACAGGACCCAAAACTACTGTATCTGCATCAAAATCAGGCTTACCTCTCTTTGCTTATCCCACAAACTATTCTGTTTGATTTAATACAATGTATTAAATTATTGTAGTATTGGCACTCCCTAATAATTTGCACATTTTCTTAACCCTTTATCTTAATGTGATGGACCATGTAAAGTGCATAATGTAAAATGAGGGCGAAAGTAAAAGTGCACTGTCGTAAATATGCTCAGCTGTTCTCCTGGTTTCTCCGTCAAACTAGGCACGGTTGTTTTTAGCTTAGCAGACAGGCAAACGCAACGAATCACCATGTCTACTGCGGTATGTGACTATTTTGTTCCAATTTTCGAGTTTGAAAATGTAGCATGTTTTCATACATTATTTGTTATGTATGTGTCTAAATAACAAAGATTGTAGTTAGCCAAGTTGGAGTTTCCCATATATTTATTCGACTGTCGTTGGGGGAAGGGGGTTCTGATTTCTGTGGTTTTGTACCTCGAGCACTGAATTAGTACATTACTCTTTCTTGCCTGCTCCGACATGGGCTTTCGCTGTTTCCTCGCTGGGTCCGCCATGATAACTGCACAATTATCGCCACTGTGCTAGCAACAAGCATGCTTTTAACTGGGGGCGTGTAGCAGTTCTCGCCGTAAAGCAAGACCGACTCTCGCGAGACTTCTGAGCCTGTGGGTGCGGGCCGAGGGCTCCTGCAATTGCCAGTGTGGTATTTCACCCACAGACCACCAGGGCGGCCGAGAATACCTTTGTTCAACCTGAAATGACTCATTTAATCATCCAAAACGTTATGGAACACATTAATTAACTGAAAAATGTTGCATAGTATGCCTTTAAATAAAAATAAAAAAACTGCTACAGTATAAGGTGCACTGGGCTATAAGCTGCTGGTATCTACTGAAATGTTCACCACCAAACCTGCAGGGGGAGCTCTACATAACACCACCAGATTAGGGACAAATAAGAATTCTAGCTCCTGTTAGCTTGAAAATTAGCCCATTCTTCTTGATTTCCAACATTGACTTCCACCCCTCGCAGTATGGAAAATAGCAACTGAAAAGCCTCCCCATCGTATAAGTCGCAGGGTTCAAAGGATGGAAAAATTGTAGCTGCTTATAGTCCAGAAAATACGGTAGTTTGAAAGTCTTATGAAGCCCATAGCAGGACCTTCTGTCCCATCTCATTTATTCCAACAACTCTGACCAGTTTCTCTCTATCTGCTACTAGTAAGCGTCCCCACAGCATAACACTGCTGCCAACTTGTTTCACGATTTTATGGTATTTTCCGGTTATAGATCTCTGACCATAATTTCTAATAATATTTCACTTAGGTCTCATCTGACCATGGCATATTCATCCATACTTTTAATAACATGCACTGTTGTGCTTATCTGTCAAACATTTCATGAATTAAAATGTTAAAAATGAAAATAGTCTAATTCAATATAGTGTAATCGCAGTAATAAAGTCACAGACGAAGTCAAGAGAAAAGTGTTTAAATTACTTACAGTGGCCAGCCCTCTCCGGTGGAGACGGTAAAGAGCGTGAGGAAAGCCCAGAGAACGTTATCATAATGAAACTCATACTTCTTCCACTCTCTGGGTTGAGCAGTCACTTCTTCATGATCATATTCCAAAAATTGACCCCTGAAATGAAAGTGAGGAAAAACAAGAGTAAAAACTAAAAATTTTTATCAACAGGTTACTAAATTGGAATGTGTTGCTGTTAGACTAGCTAAACTTTTATTTTTCCTGTTAATACTGATGCACCTGCAGTCTTTCTCTAGACCCTTCGACTCATCGGTGCAGTAGAAGAATTTGCCTTTGAAGAGCTGCACAGCGATAACAGCAAAGATGAACATGAAGAGGATGTAGACGATGAGGATGTTAAGAACGTTCTTCAGGGAGTTCACAACACAGTCGAATACAGCCTGTAAAATAAAACCAAACGTACAGGTCAGGTATAGGTGTCTATCGGTAGGTTACAGTTACGCCTGCTGACAGGGGGGGACAACCGGTTCAGTGGACCCAAGCCTAGGGTAAAGGTATATTAATGAACTTAAAACATGAGTCTTTCTCAACTCTACCTGTAGGGCAGGTTTTTAGGCCAAACTGGTAAAAATCAGTCATTACAGAGTTTCTTTGCAACTTGACATGTTTCACGGATAAAAAAATGGCAAAAACAGATTGTTGCTTGTTTTTGCATCACATGAATCTGATTGGTTCCAAACTGATAATGCTGGCACTGTTAATCCTGCCTTTGACCCTGTGAATCCTGCCTTTACCAGCCAGTGTGGCTAACCAGGCTGGTCCGTGATATATTTTGGAGCTAAGCCATTCAATGGTTTTTAAACTAACAAAAGTATTTAAAAGCCTTTTCCCTGAGGTTTGGGGAGCCATTTTAACAATTTTCATACTGGGCTCTTATGCTCCGTTTTGGTAGTTTTAGTGAGGAGGCAGGCAGCAGCATTCTGGATCAACTGCAACTGTCTGATTAACATTAAGGCAGACCTGTGAAGACACATTTGCAGTAATCAAATCTACTAACAGAGAACAAATTAATTAGTTTTTTAACGTCCTCGTAAGACATGCATGTATACAGATGTCATTGAGCACCTTCACAAGGGAAGACTGTACACTAGTGAACACAGAAACCTGACTGTTAAGAAGATGTTCAGCTGTTCAAACACAGCAAACATCTTATTGATGAAAAGGTTTGAGATGGGTCTGTAGTTCTGCAGGAGCAGCTTGAGCAAGTCACTCTTTTTCAACAGTGGTTTGATAAGGGAATCATAGCAGATGGGTGCATAGACGGACGAACAGGCAGACTGATAATGAAATGCCAAAACTCAACATGAATTAAAATTAAAACCATGATAAAATAAAATATATTATAAAGTTTCAAAATTTAACAAATAGAAGTAGTTTAAAAAGGAATAACTACATGAATCAAATACTAAGATTGATTTAGAGAAACTTTACAGCATCTATATTTTAATTATTTTTCATGCAGTCAACATGAATTTTAGATCTCTATACAGAGTGAAATCTATTTGTAACAATATATTAAACAATCTACAGATATCACTTGAGTACATAATGGTTACAAGAAGGAAGGGTTGTATTTCTGTGAATCCCTAGGTATCTCCTTCATCCGTCTTTCTCTTGGTTTTACCATCATGTGTTTGTTCAGGACGAAGTGGTTTGTTGATCTATTCTGACATGCAATCTAACCAATGAACATGGTGCTGCATGAGTGATCCCCATCAAAAGGTTGTTGTATTCTGCAAAGCATATTTTTCTTTTCGTCCAGCAGCAGAGATGTCGAACCGCTCTGTCCAAATATCCACAAAGAGCCAGGGACAAGCAGCTGTCTGCCAAGCATGATCTATCTCAATCATTTCCACTTTCATAAGCCCAGAAAGATTCCTGATCTTTCGTCAGAGGGATTACTCTGGAAGATAAACTCCCAATATTTAGGAAACAGAAGCTGTCATTTTTCCATCAGAAGAAACATAAATCATGCTAGGAGTTTTTTTTTGCTACCGCTGCTGCTGCTGCTGCTGCTTTTCCGTTTTTGTTGCTTTTGATTGTGATACTCTGTCATAATCCATATCGAATTTAATCAGTTTTTTAGGAATCTATTAACTTATTAAACATTTTAGGAATAACATAAAGTAGCCCATTTGCAATATTTAAGGAAACAATTCACCTTTAAAAAATAACTTTTGTAGTTATGTGCGTCAAAGCAGCTTTTGAAAGGTTAGTTTCATTAAGATTGTGGTGAGAAAGTGCTCCGACAGACTAAAACACATTAAAACACAAACATTCACATCAACTTCAGCATTTAGTTAAATAATTAGGTTAATAGAAATGTTGCAAAATCATTTTTCAGCATTTGGCAGTTTTGGTAAACAAAGTATAAGCAGCTAATTCAGACTAAAGCTAACAGAGTTTCACCTTTGATTTAGATAATTATCTATAAAAACATGGAAAATAGCTGATAACAATGCATTTAATATATTTATGTAAAATCCAGTTTTTTGCTCTTTTCACAAAAAGAAGACCTGGTAGATTTACATTTCAGGAGACGGACCCACATCCTGTTCTTCTAGCAAAAAGAGACCTCACCAAAAAAACTATACCTTCAGAAATGGACAATAATTGACATTGTTTGCCCTTTTTAACAAGGGAAACATGTAGGAAACAAGTATTCCTGTTTACATTTTTTACCCTCAAAAGATATATAGAAAACAATAATAATAATTTTTTTTCCCCGTGCAATAATTTTATTCTGTATTGCTCCTGTCCATAAGTTTGAACAAGATATTTGAATGACTCATTGGCTATGTAGTTCAAATGACAAAATTCAACCACTCAGGGAACATGTTCTTCATCTTTATATAGGTTTAAAATATGTGACTCATGATATAACAAAATAAATTTTTTATTTTCTTTCTGTAAATATTAGACCTTCTGGAACATTCATTCATAGTGATTGGCAGATTGAATTACCGTACCTTCAGCTTAGGCAGCCGTTTGATGGTCTTCAACGGCCGCAGGACTCGTAGGACCCTGAGGGATTTGATGGTGTTGATGTCCTTTCCCTTCGTTCCCCTGTGCACATTGAAAATGCAGTTAGTCTGGCAAAAGCGCGGAGATCGATTGTCTTTTAAACACTGTGCTAAAGATTCGAATGTAGTCCAACAGGTATGCTGATTATACCTGTTTGCATTCGCTTATTGGAGCACATGCATGTGAGTGAATTCTCTAATAATGAGGAAACATGCAAGAAAATGTGTTTTTCTCTTTCCTTTCCTATGCTACTCTGCACTCTTCCTGCCTCCTTTGCTTTTCACTTCCCTTTATTTATTCTTTTCACTTTGTCTTTTGTTTCTCCGTGTCCATCTGTATACTGTCCTGTATTTTCTTCTCCTTCTTTCTCTTTTACCTTAATATTTGAGATAAGCAATCTCTTTCCTATTGTTATCTGGATTTTTGTTGATGGATAAATGTTGTTTTGGTCAAACAGCCTCAGTTGACATTAAACAACATGACAGTTTCTTTTTTACTATACAGAAGTCAAATGGTAGACTATTGACACAGAATTACATAGGAAGGGTAATTAGCTGCTTAGTACCGGAGAGAGTCAGCAACTTTCAAATTATGTATGTTTATCAATGTACTACAGAGAGAAAAATCATGCTTTCATGGAAAAAAGATAACCCTAAACCTCTGTTTATCATTAAATAAAGAGAATCACAGTACATATAGTCTTTATTTGATATCCACGTGTGCACCCATCCCCTGGAAACATCTCCTCATCATAACAGGCATTGAGTGTATCAGAATATTAACTGCAGTGGCACTTAGTTCTTGCATTGTTTTGCCACCACTTAGCATCAAAACCAAAACAGAAGACAGTTAAGAAAGAAATGTTTTGACCTGCTAAAAAGCATAAGCCTGGTTGAGTCAAGAACCCTTTGCTGATTATGCAAGTTGAAGAAAATATTTGCTTTTAAAGGCCACAACAGATCATGATTTGAATGCTAATGCTTTTAATAATTTGAAATACATAACCTAAAAAAAAAAACATTTCCTCTCACAGTCCTCTGATTTTAATGTCCCCTCAAAAGACTAACAGTTTTATCAACAGCTTTTGATAAACCGTCTTTATTTGGAAGGACAGAGGAAGCCATGAAAACATTCTCCAACTGCACCAGAAAAACGTTTTTCTGGCCCCTACCACAACAGACAACGAAGACCAACCTTATTTAGTCACGATACACCGTCTGTGAAAAACACTGAAGCTAATAAAGAAAAGAAGACGTACTCAAAAACTGATCTTTAACAATAAAATGGCATGCAGCTGTCATGCTTCAACGGTTTGAATACCGTGACATGCAATCTCTAGAGTCTTTGTTCCATTCCAGCTATCCAAGGACTCTCGCTATATTTAAATGGCAGAAACAGTCTTCTAATAGCTTTCAGAAGCACCTGGTGCAAGAATGAACAGCCACCAAACTCAGGTGGACTGTTTTCTTCAGATATCCCTATAGAGTGGCTCGTGTTCAGGGTGCTAAGGAAATATCTTACAGGTGTCTAGATAGACAGTTATTTTAATCTTTAAAAGTGGTCTTCATAAGTCTTTCTTAAGGCTGTCTGAAGGCCGATTAAGTGTTTTTTTGTTTGCTTTATTTGCATTTCTCCCTCTTGGAGCAGTACCTTATCATCCCATGGAATTATTTTTGCAGGTACAAGCGGTTCCTAAAAAGTTAGGGATGAACCGCTGTTGTGTTTGAACATGATTAATTACTAAAGAATCTTCATCTTTAATGAGAGAGCTTAAAGGAATAGTACACCCAAAACATGATTAGCCTTCATTTTCTACTCACCCCCATGCTGAACAACACTCTGGAGTACTTTTTTGATATCTCAAATGCATCTGGAGATCTGGGAAGCTTCTTGCTGTCTGCTGACATTCAAATAATGGAGGTCTATGGCGCCCGAGGCAGAAAGGTCCATAAAAGTCCACAAAAAACGTGTCAATATTCCTCCATACTGCTCGTCCAATGTATTCCAAGTGTCCTGAGTGGGTAGCGTCCACAATTTACTCGAAACGAAGTCATTTAGAATGTTTTTAGAGCATAAACAGTAGTGTATAGAATTTCCTAAAAGCGCGTTCACGAGTCTACGGAAACCGCGGCAGACCAAACCAGACGAAAGTGTGCATTCAGCGTCTGCTCTGCCGATAATGCAAGCGTAGAAGAAGAAATGTGCTGTTTACCTGTGCAAAGAAAGAAACAACGGAAGAAAAATGTCTGAGGACTTCAGTGTTGAGGAAGAGCATGAGTTCTTTGCCGAGCTGAATGCGCACTTTCGTCTGGTTTGGTCTGCCAAGGTTTCCATAAACTCGTGAACGCGCTTTTAGGAAATCCTATACACTACTGTTTATGCTCTAAAAACATTCTAAATGACTTCGTTTCGAGTAAATTATGGACGCTACCCACTCAGGACACTTGGAATACATTGGACGAGCAGTATGGAGGAATATTGACACGTTTTTTGTGGACTTTTATGGACCTTTCTGCCTCGGGCACCATAGACCTCCATTATTTGAATGTCAGCAGACAGCAAGAAGCCTCCCAGATCTCCAGATGCAATTGAGATATCAAAAAAGTACTCCAGAGTGTTGTTCAGCATGGGGGTGAGTAGAAAATTAAGGCTAATCATGTTTTTGGTGTACTATTCCTTGAAGTTTTCTATTCTACACAGTCCACAAATAACACCAATCACTTAAAAATGCTTTATTTTAGGATGTGTGAGAATTCTGGGAGTTTTGTTGACATTCTGGTTAAGTTGCTTTAGGTAGCAGACAGATAATAAAGATAAAGATTTTAAGATTCAGCTTGATTCAGTAGGAATATATAAAAAATCTATTAAAATTACTGCATCTTTGTTATTAGTTTGGATCAGTGACCAATTTGCCAATTATATTCAAGAATCAGGTCAGATTCAATTACAGATGTTACTCTTCTTAATTTGTGGGATATAATATTCATATAGTAAAAGGGTTTTTATTTTGGCTGATTGGTTCAGCACCACAGACAGTTCCGGATCAGCAGGAACTGATTTACATACAGATCTAGGAGCCAAGGGTGGAAGATGGGAAAACCTTTACGCCACGGTGAAGTGCTGAGCCCCATGAGGCGAATGGAGGGAAAAAAAATGCATAAATATATTCCAAAATGTATTTTTTTTAACCTTCAAAAAAACACAATGCTTTAACCAGCTTGACTCCAGTTATAAGCACAGGGGCTTCTGCCAATGGCTGATTTCATGTGTTTATAATTTTGTCTTAATTCTAAATAAATATCTTTAAACCTCCCCTCAGGTGGATGTCCTCCATTGCTTTGGCTGCTTTGTGCTTCTCAGATTCAAAAAGTATGTTTAACGCATTAAGACACTGGTTCAGGAATCCCTGACAGAATACAAAAATACAGCAGGTCCACCACTGATGCTTTCTCCTTTCAAATAATGCAATTTTCTTAATCATTTTATGCTATTTTATTCAATTTTATACCATCATACCATACCATTATTGTCTATTCTTAATATTTGGCATGTTGCAAGAAATTCTAGCATTTTTTGTTATCTTCATTATAACCTTTAACAATTTGTTTATTTCACATAATACATTTCCAAATGTATTTATATCCACCGTATGTTTGCCAATGTGTAGCAGCTTATCACCAAAGCACATTCCCTCTACCTGTTAAACACTACTTGGCAATAAAGCTGTTTTCCATTCTGGCTCTTTTTAAGGGTGTAATTATAATTAACAGTGTATTTTACAATTGAAAGTAGAAGATATTGGATAGAAAAAAAGCTAAAAAAAAAAAAAGCTTCAGTCTGGAGTAAACAAATCCCAAAACATTCAGAATGCCTGGAGAAACACAGATGGAGACCATTTCGAAGAATTGCAAAAAGGGCTTGAAGAGAAAATCAACAGAAAACCTGGTTTATATGAAAATCTTCATAGAATGCTGTAAATGCAGATAGATTCGTTTTTTAAATGATTGATGGCTAATTTTTCTAAAATAAAAATTGAAATCTAATTTTGAAATCATTTGTAAAGAAAAGGTTTTATATGTCAGGTAGTTTCCAAAAAAGGTGGAAAGTTTGTAAGTAATTCTTACAACAAAAATAAGGCTGTTTATGGTCAGTTTTCATGCATACATGGAAGCCTGGGAAATAAAAGTCAACACGAGTTGGAATTGAAACAAGAGTCTGCACTATTTTTATTGACTCTCCTCTAAGCCCAATGCGTACAGGAGAGATGTTAGGTGAAGGCTGTAATCTCCTCAAATTGACCAATTAAAGCTTCTTAAATTGCGATTGTAGGATTCGGATAAAGAACGGCTTTGATGGCCTTGATTGTGGAAAGAAAAGCAAAAAGATTTTCACTGCTTATCAGGAGATTGGGCTTCTGAAACCTATTTAATGGATTTTCCCAATATTGTCTTGTGACTTTGGTGTTTCAATATTGGCACAGATAGGGATGAGCAAGGAAGGGTTTGAGGTTTGGTCACACTGCAGGCACCTTAGGACCAGTGGTGAAAGGTTTATTAGGGGGCTGGGAATGGGAGAGTTCTACTCTCTAACTATCAGAACCGTATGGTTTCAAAGGAGGGTGGAGATAGGGGCAAGTTCCCACCTGGCAACACTTTGTTGTGATCTGATGAGGAAAAGAAACGATAAGCAAGCAGACAACACAGAAAAAAATCACCAGCATAGAAAGAACTAAATAAACACTTAAAGCAGAGATTAAACAGGCGCAAAGACGTTATTAACCTTAGACAGATAAAAGACATGAAAAGAGACCACTTGTTGCAATTAAACGAAGCAGCATAAAAAGGCAACAGACAGGTCTAATAAAATCTCATCTAAAAGGAATGAATCAAATTCACAAACCAAGGCTGGATAAAAGACACTGATGATGATCATTTGGTTTGTTACTGCTCTCACATTGCAAGGACTCAACATTAAATCACAATATTCATTATTTTAGTCTCTCATCTGACTGCATTCTTCTTATTATTTTTTAACACTGACTGCCCATAACCAGCCTCATACAGCTAGCATGATGGTTCCCTGCCACTCTGACACTGATCATGAACTAATTACTTGGCAGCTCATCTGAAATCATCTTCTGTGCCTCTAGAGACACTCAAAACACCAACGAAGCATCTAACAAAGCTCAAATATATTAGCCTGGGTGCCATTCCCAAATTAGTCCCGCCCACAACGTTTGAGGTCGGGAAGTTCGGTCTGGCATTGCTCAACAGTAGCGCGAGTATGCTCGCACAATATCTGGCGGGCCAATCAAATTGTCAGGACGGGCTTTATACGATGATGGACAGATGATCAACAGTAACGTAATCAACCACGTGACCAAAGCGCGCTTGGGCGACAACAACAATGGCTGCCGCCGGAGAGTTGAGGTGAGTAGATTCTGCTATTAGGTCTGTTCTAGAGGATATCGACAGCAAATTAATTTTAAAAGAGGAACAGAGAAACGCGATCAAGGCTCATCCTCTTATTCTAGGCGTGCAACTGCACGCTTTGATTTTTGTTGACAACAACTATGCGTCGCTTAACATACGTCACGCACTCTGTTGCTCTTATTGGTTGTAGGTCTATCCAATTGAGTGCAGAGGCATTTTTTTTCCTGGTTCGTTCGAAACACGCCCCATAGTCACAGCTCTATGGAGCAGTATCAGACTCATATTCTGACTAGAATTGAGTAGGACTACGTCAGGCTACAAATATATCCTAAATCCTTAGGATTTAGAGCTTGGAATCCTCAGGTTCTGAGTTCCAGCCCCACTCCATCAGACTGCCACTCTGGGTCTCTGAGCAAGACCCTTAACCCCTGATTGCTCCCCGGACACAGCAGGATGGCAGCCCACTTCTCTCTAAGTGGATGGGTTAAATGCAAAGGTAAATTTCTCCAATGTGACATCAATAAAGTTCAATTATTATTATTATTATTATTTCCCAGGAATTGGGGGAAATCAAGTTGGACTGAAACAGATTAATGTTTTTGAAGTTATTGGTGTCAGCTTTAGTTTTTTTAATGTACAAAGCCTATTTGGGATATGAGAGAAAAATAAACAAAAACAGACACTGCTGATCCTTCCACAAGCAGTACTTTAATTTAGATTAGTTCAACCTCCCTCAACTTTTAACTCCTTTTGTTTGCTACCAAACAACCGATCCAGGATCATCCTTGCATTGTGAACACAGCCTGTTAGCAATGTCTATGAGAGCAAAGAAGAAATTAATGACAAAGAAAAATTGACGAATGGAAGGTCAATGTAAGAAACAAACGAATGGAATTTTTATTTATACGTTTATGTCAAACAACATTAAATGTTATTATTATTAATTTTCAAATAAATAAAAGTTATAGAGAAAAGCAGAATGAATAAATTAGCATAATAAAAGAAAAAAATCCAAGACTTTTGAGAGTATTTGGGTCGATAGCAGATCTGTGCCAAATGATTTCGAAGCAGGTAGTTATAGTTATGCAAGCTGAATGTTTGCTTATATAACAAAAAACGGAATAAATGCCAGTTTCCTCAATGATGACTCTGATGATAATGACAAAATATGACATTTAGCTGCGAGATGAAGACCGGCGCGGGACTGTAAACTCAAACGACACCGGGCTGATGGACGTGGAGGAAAGCAAGAGGACACAGACAGAAATGAAGCAAGAAAGAGCAGGCAATTACCCCATGAGGCTCCTGAAAGCAATCCAAGCCAGGAAACAAAGACAAAAGAGGACAGAAAAGTGGCAGAGGCAGACAGAGCGACAGAGAAAAGACAGAGAGAAGCCGCCAAAGCAATAAGAGAATCAGATCTCAGTGACAGGAAAGGCTTACAAAGCAGAATCTATATGTGAGAAATAGTATGAGGAAAGAGTAAACAAGTCATATACAAGAAAACATTAAAACAACAACCTGTTCAAATGCCTAAAGGCGCCTGTAAAATACAGCTCGATAAGATGCTGTTATTGTATGGAGTGAACTTCATTCCATTATTGTTGCAAACAAAGAACATATTTTGTAAAAAAATAAAAAATAAAATAAACACAAAAAAACATGTTGCATAAACAGAAATAAAACAAAAATAATTAAAAAAAATCACTTTGCAGAACTTATTAATCCTTAATTCTTAGTTTGCAGAATGACTTTGCTGTTTTCCTAGATTTATTAATTTTTTTTATTTCTTTTTCCACATTTTCTTTAAAATTTTATTTGGTCAAATTTCTCTTTTTCAGATTGAGTTTTATTAACTTTTTAAATTGTGTTTTACAGTTTACGTTCTTCTCTCGTCAAGCCCAACACAAATGCTCGCACTTGAACAATAAAAATGTTGTTAGCATCCATGCAGAACAATAAAAATTCGTGTTTGCTCCTCATTTCAAAGGAATAAAGTAAAGATAATGTAATTTGGAATCTGCAACCAGTCGAGAATGCAATTCGGAAAACTTATTCGGAATAACAGAAATTTGAAAATACGAAATCTGTTTAAAAAAAATAGAAAATATAAATTTGTAAAAGAAAAAATTGCACAAAAAAAATTATAAAATATTAAGAAAAGATTCAATCTGAAAAAAACAGCAAGTTACTTTCAAAATCTGTTTTAATTCTACTCTTTGCTTTTAACAATAATGGAACATTATTCACTCTATATTCTCAAACCATCTGAAACACATTCATATCCTGGTCTGTCTGTAAAGTGAGGGTGCATCGATCCATCCATCCAGCATTGAAATTGATCAAAATCAATCATTACTTAGCCGGTGATTTCCCCTGCTGAATACACATACTTCAATCGAAGGTCTAATTTTCCAGCATGGGTTGAGTTTTTCTGCTGCAATAAAATCTGTTTATTTAATGATTAATTACACATTTCCTCCATGGTGTTCCAATAAATATGTAAACAATGTGCCTTTAACTTCTCCAAATGTCTCCTACAAAAACAGCAGCTTTTACCTGACATTGTGGGAGCGATTGACTGCACAGCTGTAATTATGTACCAAACAGAGCCCTAATAATGCTAAGAACAAAGTCCTTCTGACCATCAAGCAAATAAGAAAGACTGTGTATAAAACAAGAGAAATCTGACTAGGTGGTGAACTCCAGGTTACATTTAAGTCTGAAGATAAAGAAAGCAAAGTGAATTTATGTGAAAAGCACCAGAAGAGGTTAAAACTGTTTCTGTAACTTAGTGTGGTTTGATCTGGTGTATCAGGAAGTTAAGTTGAATGTGCACGACTAAAGGTTATGATGAAAGAGACTTACGAGCAGGCGAAGGCCACCAGAGCTCCACTGACCACAATAAAATCAAGGATGTTCCAAAGGTCACGAAAATAAGAGCCGGGGTGGAGAAGCAGCCCGAGGTCGATCATCTGGAGTCAGATGTTAAACATAAAGAAAAATCAATAACAAAGCAAAGTCATCATGAAAATAATTATGAAAAAGCCAATACTGTAGCCCTCAAAGCTTTCTTCCAATGAGCCCTCTGCAATCACACACAGCTATGAAAGTAGCAGTGGCTTAAATTCACCAAGACTGCATCTGATTTGGTGTAAAATCTGCAGTTTTTTTGGAGGATTCTGCACATCAGTTCGTGTCTAACCAGGACTGGAGGAGCAGTTCTTTAATGTAAACCTGCCACGCCTGTATATTAATATCTCTATGCTAAATGTTTGATTGTGTTGAATATTAGCTTTAGGTTTGCAAAATTATGGAAACCAATCTGCTGCAGCTATTTTTCAACAGCTTTGTTTGTTTTTGATCTGACTGTACAGAATACAGATCCTTTTAAATAATTTATTGCAATCTCATGTTCGTACCTACAGTAGACAATAGCTATGGTCTATGCTTTAGAGCTTTTCAGCTGTGTTAGAATGTTATGTGCGTCGGGCACATTCTTATTTTTGTTTCCTTTTTTTTCCCTTTTAGTTCTCTATAGACTTTAGTTGAGTCACTTAAATTTTAGAGTTGATAATTATTTCTTTTGTAAATGATTCGATTACGTTAATCGGTTGTGTTATATTTGTCCGTCTATAAGTAGGCTGGGTTTTTCTCTCTCTCTCTCCCTTCGAACCTTCTGATCAAGCCACCGTCACAGAGAGAGCGTCCAGACGCGATGCGCACGTCTCCCGTCTTTGTAGGCCGCCGCTGACCTCTCCAGCCTGCCATGTGGTATTTTTGTTCGTTAGCCTTTGGTTTTTTGCTGATTTTTTTGTAACTTTGACCTGTTGGGACCAGTTGTCCTGTTTTCGTTCTTTTTTTATCTTTTTTAGGGTTTCAATAGTTAGTCTGTACTAGCAGAGGCTTCGACGGCCCTGTATAGGGTTGGCCCTCTGCTGTAACGTTTTGTTTCTTTGGATCGGCTCACCAGGTCCAACTTTCTGTTCATACTTTGGGTTTTTTTTTTCCTCTTAGAGTTTTTTTTGGACACGGGGAACTGGAGAAAAATCTGACTATTTTTTTTTTTGTCTCTTTGCAGAAAAACAAAACAGCTGATCTAAAAATAAGTTCCAGAGATTAAGAATAAAATAATTCTTTGAACCTCATGTTTGTCTCGTGTCCTCAAATATGTTGTGGCCTGGGTGGTCGTAACATAGAACAAAAATATCTAAATGCAGGATCTGCACGTGAGCAAAACTCCAGGTAAAGAGCGAGTCACTGTTTGCTTGACTGTTGGGTGTCCAAACTCTTTGTTTTGTCAGATTCTCAAATAAACCAGAGAATTTCTTCTTGCTTTTTTGCAGCTTATCACCATTGATGGGTTCTGGTATTGCTGCAGCAATAGTAATTTACTTCCTTCTCTTCTGTCCCCTCTGACTACAGCTAATTCTTCCACAGGTTTCCAGTCGTATGGCTTTAACATAAACCAGGACTGTTTATGGGTTTCTTTCCACAGTGACTTCCTTCTTGCCATTCTTCCGTCAAAGCCATTACTGTCGAAGAACGACTAATGGTTGACATTTTGACAGATTCTCTCACCACAACTGTGGATCTCTGCAGCTCTTCCAGAATTACTATGAGCCTCTATTGTTTATTAAATAACTCCTACTCTAACCTTCTCCTGTACTTCCTCCCTGAGCGGTCAGCTGTTCTCCTTGGTCTGTGATGCTGTGTGTTCTTCTATATTCTATTACAAACTGTACGAAATGGTTAAATTACATACAGTTTGTCTCCATTTACTTCTGAGGTGTCTTCTGAAGACAATTGTTTTCAGGGTTTGGATTTAATTAGCAATAGCTTTGTTAACTGCACACAATTTCATAACTAGTTTCATAAAAACATTCCAATTAAACTATAAAAGTGAAACATGAAACAATCTAATCATTACAAGTATTGACAGGAACCAGGCTTTATTCAAAGCGCCCAGAATGGATCAGTTCTAGGTTTGTCAGGTTTATTTGATGATGATTATAAAATTAATGTGTGCTTTTGAATCATTTGTGCAAGAGGGATGCTGCACTGTGTCTTGTGATGCAGTCAGGAGACCATCCTGCCTCGTGATTCTGATGGAGCATCTTGTCTTTATGAACTGATCAATTGTTCTTTCAGAACAAATACTGTTTTTTAATCATGTGCTATGCTCTGTTAATAAAAGACGGCTGCAGGAGGGGATTCGGAGGAGGAAAACTTGAAGTTGGGTTGGGCTTTTCCTTCCGCTCCTGCAGAAGCTGTTTGAACCTCTTTCCTGTGCAGACTCAATTTCTATTTATTTGCAAAGTTATTTTTCCCGAATCCAACAAGGTTCCAACATCATTAAACTACAGTTGTTTTCTTACAATCATGCATATTGCCACTAAATGCTATTTGTTGAAATATGGCACACTTATACAGTCTGGTTATATTTAGTTGTTTACAAACACACTCTTCAGATTCAGATTAGACATGAAGCAGCCATCTTATTCTGGATGTTGGTGCACTAAAGCAAAAATTAATTTAAAACATGTCAAAACAATGTGAAGCATATGCTATAGCAAAGTGAATATTTGCAAAGTTATTCTAATCATAATCAGACTGAGACAAAGTTTATTGACATTTTGTACACCCAGATTGTATACAAAAAGAAATTTCAAGGCATTTCCATTTCTATAGTGCAACAGTGATCAAATGTAAACAAAAACTAAACATAAGACTGGTATACTGTATGGTTTACAGTTTTTACAACATTCATGGCTTTTTTTTAATATGTATTTAGATTATAAATTTAATTTAATATAAAATGTAAAATATACTTTAAAAAACAAACACTATGAGCTTCTGTTTGTTTTGCTGTGAATTTGCCTAGCGTATAAAGCTAATAGGTGGCTACAGTGAGCTGCTCTGCTATCTGTGGGAAAGGAAGATTGAAAACAAAAATCCAGTATAACAAACTTTGCGACTTTGTCAAATTTGGAGACCTTTTTAGAAAAGTGACTATGACAGATTTTGGCTGTGTCCAAATGTCCACTCCAATCCCAATATAGGGCGCTATATACGGTCTACGCCATTTCAGATGAGTGTCCAAACGTCAAGTGGATAAAAAAAAGGAGTGGACTAAAAATTTCCCACAATGCACCTTGAAAAGTAGTGATCATTCATGTTTACTAGACGAGCAGATATATCCGGGAATGCTTTGCAACGAGAGCTCTCCCCACAAAGCATTATGGGATTTTTTTCAGAGTGGCCTGCTGTCGCTACTGGCACTACCAGATCCGTACCATCAGCTCAATTGCCATGCCCTTCAACATATACGTCGGAGTCGCCCTCAATTTTAATCCTTTAAAGAGACCGGATTTAGGCTTTTCCCTCCTTAAGAATAATTTGTAAGTATAACAATAACACATTATACTAAACTATAATGTGTTAAAGGTTAATATTATTTTTCCTGAGAAAATAAATGCATTAAAATCCCTCCTTTTTTATTACTCGTCTGTGCCCAATCTGTGCTGGAAATGGGAGCATACGCTACTTCCATACGCTAACATTTTCGGCTTTTGAATTAAGCATCAATAAAGATAAACATGGTTTAATCATGACCTTAAAACAGGCAATTTAACGGAGAAAATGTAAAAAGCATCAAAATTCTCAGAAAAGTCGTAAAAAATGTTTTTAATAATAGTATAAGGATTGTTTAGTGATTTAAGGATAGAAATAAGTAATTTTGGTGGCCATGATTGTATTATTTATAGTGACTTGGATGAATATCTGCTATATATTGCACATATGCAAATGAGCTGATGGTACGGATGGCGCAGGCACCGTGGGGGGAGGCGGAGTCACATGACCAACGGGGAGAGAAAAGTAGTGATCATCTGTCCAGTGTCCAAACAGTCAGTTAACTGAGTCTACCGTTAAGTCCACCATATACTCCCTGCTCTATATAGTGACTGAGGGATTTAGGGGTTAGGGCGGACATTCGGACACAGCAAATGTGACTTTTCTCTGTGATTTTGGTGAGTTTAGCTACTTCATGTGAAACGAGTAATTTTTCTGACGATAAGAAAACAGCTAAAGCCAATGAATGAATCTCTTTCTGCTGCTTCATTCAGAATATGAATATGAATACTGTCTTTTTGGCAAAATGAGAATGTGGATTTAGGCAATGTAAAAAAATTGACAAGGTTAGTTTAACATACACTCACCGGCCACTTTATTAGGTACACCTGTCCAACTGCTCGTAAACACTTAATCTCTAAGCCAATCACATGGCGGCAACTCAGTGCATTTAGGCATGTAGACATGGTCAAGACAATCTCCTGCAGTTCAAACCGAGCATCAGTATGGGGAAGAAAGGTGATTTGAGTGACTTTGAAGGTGGCATGATTGTTGGTGCCAGAAGGGCTGGTCTGAGTATTTCAGAAACTGCTGATCTACTGGGATTTTCACGCACAACCATCTCTAGGGTTTACAGAGAATGGTCCGAAAAAGAAAAAACATCCAGTGAGCGGCAGTTCTGTGGGCGGAAATGCCTTGTTGATGCCAGAGGTCAGAGGAGAATGGCCAGACTGGTTCGAGCTGATAGAAGGGCAACAGTGACTCAAATAACCACCCGTTAGAGCACCTCTGAACGCACATTATGTCGAACTTTGAGGCAGATGGGCTACAGCAGCAGAAGACCACACCGGGTGCCACTCCTTTCAGCTAAGAACAGGAAACTGAGGCTACAATTTGCACAAGCTCATCGAAATTGGACAATAGAAGATTGGAAAAACGTTGCCTGGTCTGATGAGTCTCGATTTCTGCTGCGACATTCGGATGGTAGGGTCAGAATTTGCCGTCTACAACATGAAAGCATGGATCCATCCTGCCTTGTATCAACGGTTCAGGCTGGTGGTGGTGGTGTCATGGTGTGGGGAATATTTTCTTGGCACTCTTTGGGCCCCTTGGTACCAATTGAGCATCGTTGCAACGCCACAGCCTACCTGAGTATTGTTGCTGACCATGTCCATCCCTTTATGACCACAATGTACCCAACTTCTGATGGCTACTTTCAGCAGGATAATGCGCCATGTCATAAAGCTGGAATAATCTCAGACTGGTTTCTTGAACATGACAATGAGTTCACTGTACTCAAATGGCCTCCACAGTCACCAGATCTCAATCCATTAGAGCATCTTTAGGATGTGGTGGAACGGGAGATTCCCATCATGGATGTGCAGCCGACAAATCTGCCGCAACTGTGTGATGTCATCATGTCAATATGGACCAAACTCCCTGAGGAATGCTTCCAGCACCTTGTTGAATCTATGCCACAAAGAATTGAGGCAGTTCTGAAGGCAAAAGGGGTCCAACCTGTTACTAGCATGGGGTACCTAATAAAGTGGCCGGTGAGTGTATGTCCCATTTATACAGCAATTTAGCTATAGCTTTAGTTTCACCACCACGGTTAAAAATATCTGAGAAAACTCTGTAAACATATCTTATTTTACATCGGGCTGATTTCAAAATAAAATTGTAAAATACATTGAAGTATGTCAGTACAATGTGAACAAAATGAAATAGGTTCAGATGGTTTATTCTTTTTAGAGAGAATCAATTAGTTAAATCCTCATAGAGCGCAGAAAGATTTCAGTTTCAGCTAAATCGAACATATTATTGCATTTCTGCACTGCATTAAAAAAAAAAAAAAAATAGACATTTCTCATGTTTTTAGCTCATCTCACCTTTATCACCATCTCAAACGTGAAGACTCCAGTAAAGACATAATCCAGATATTTAAGAACCTGCAAACAGCAAAAAAAGACTCATGATGACTCGTAAGCAGGAAGTTTTTCTTCATGGACTCCTTGGAGATAAAAGTGAATGGACTGGATACGCATGTTTCCCTATCAGAGGCTCTGTTTGACACACAGAACACGTCCAAGCACCTTCACCTCAGTTTGCCTCTGTGGTCCTGGCTGAAATGCTAATTAGCTGTGCTTGTCTTTCTAAAAGACAAAGCCAAGCTCACCTGTCTGCATGCATCTTTTCCTAGCATGGGCTAACATGTCAAGCATGGATATCAAGAGAAATAAAAAATCAAACCCGATGTGTGCCACACTGTGTCATTGTTTTATCAGCCCTTTAACCGCAGGGTCAGTTCAGGACAATCTACTACCTCCACACTACAGCCCTTTCAGTCCAAATGAATCAGGTACACATAATTCAACTTATATCTCCAGTTGCTTGGGTGAGCTGGCACATTTTTACATCTTCAAATACACGTCTGCCTGTATTTGTTGCACTTGTCCCAGCTGTTTATTCATAAGGCCCAGACGTCAGCTTGACTCACGTTGTTCCGGGGAGCGTTGGCCTGCACCGGGTCCTCGGCTGCTAGCGTGATGCTGCTCATGGTGATGACCATCAGGATGCACATTTCAAAGTAGCGCAGGTTGACCACATAGTGACACAGGCGTCGCACACTGCAAGACCATGTGGATAAACTCAGAGATATGAACAGAGTAGCAGCAGTTACCATTTATTGTGCTGGGCAGAAATATTTGCCCCTTGGAGATATTTTGCTGGTTTTGGGATTATATTCTCTGATTTAAATGTTTAAAAACATTAAACAAACATATCATGTAATTAAAGAGGCCCATATGAAACAGTAAACCTATAACTGATGGTGCCACACCTGGCAGCAACAATTGTCTTCAAGCATTTGTGCTAATTGATAAATCTTTAAATCAATGTGGAAGATTTGGTCAACATTCTGATCCAGAATAGATTTAACAGCTTGTTTCATACATTAAAGGGTTTAGCAGCATGAACAGGCTTTTCATGGTAACACCTCAATTGATTCTCAATTGAATCAAGATGCACTTTTTTTTTTTATCCATTGAGAGGAGAACCTTTTAATGAACCAATAAGTGCTCACTTTGTGTGTAGAAAGCAAATTGTATGGTTCAGTTAATCCTTCAATAACATGATGATAGTTATTATGGGACAGGCAACTTACATATGTCAACAGTTGGGTTTCCCAAATGTCTTAAAGACACCTAAGATTTATTTATTTTTTGTGTTCTTTATGCAAGCATCAGTTTTTGCTGACCAAAATATTCCACAGTGGATGCACCATTTTGCCCGGGCTCTTTTTTACATTTTTTTATCATGAGTTCTGACCAGAACTTCAGCACTGAGCCTGAGGTGTTTTCCTGGCTTCTTAGGGGACCTTATTGATGAGTTTCCATTGCTCTCTTGGAGTAATGTTGGAAAAACATCCACTCCTGTTTTCTCCATATGTGGAAAATGGCTCTACTGCGTTTTCTTGAGTCCCAAAGCCCAAGAAATGGGTTTGTAACCTTTTTCAGGTTGAGCAATATCGGTGAATTTGTTTTGATCTGTTATGGGAATTCATTAAGATTAAAAATATATATATATATTTTTTTTTAGACTTATTATAATTTGAAAATATATTTCTATTAAGGTAATTTATAGATTCATATCAAGCCCATGTCGTTTGTTGTCATTTAAAAGTTAGAATAAATAACAGTTTAAAAAATTTACATTTTCTTTTGTCTTGCCAGCACTAGACCTAAATCTGACCCTCTTATGGGATTTAAACAAGTCATATTGGGACTCCTACCTTTCTCAATTTTTATCAGAGATGGCAAAAATACTCACTTTCCGTACTTGAGTTAAAGTACAGATACTTGTGTTAAAAAATACTCTGGTAAAAGTGGAAGTACTGATTAAACTTCTTTACTCAAGTAAAAGTAACAAAGTACAGGCTTGTAAATTTATTTAAAGTATAAAAGTAAAAGTAGAAACCACTTTTTTCATGCCGTTGCCTACATTTTAAATGGATGTCTGCCAATTGAACTAGATCTCCGTTGTGTTCATTTTCAATCATCTCGTCAACCATACTACTATGCTAACGCCAACGCCACCAAGCTGCAATGATTTGCCGCAAATGAATACCGTCGATTCATCTTGTAGTGGTGCGTCAAATGCAACGTAGATTCCCATCCAATTAGATTGAATTTGGTATTGATGACGTGAAAAATAATAACGGTAACTCCATTGAAATGATTCAAAACTAAAGTAACGAGCCAATTTTTTAAAATGTAAGGAGTAGAAAGTGCAGATATTTGTGTAAAAATGTAAGGAGTAGAAGTAAAAAGTCGCCATAAAAATAAGTAGTAAAGTAAAGTAAAAAAATATCCGAAAAATCTACTTGAGTACAGTAACGAAGTATTTGTACTTTGTTACTTCCCATCTCTGCTTTTTATGAATAATTTTTTTAATACTAGTGTTGCACCGATACCGATACCAGTATCGGGCAGGGCCCAGATCCAGCACTAAAATGGTGGTATCGATAACAGCGAGTACTGACAAATAGCGCACCAATACCATTTTTAGAGCCAAAAGTTTATTCAACTATTGTCACCCATTCCAGGTAGGCAATAAAAAGTTCTACTGGATCCACTTTGTATTAGTTTTGTATTGTATTTCCTGCTTCACACAGGTAGGCAGCAGCTTGACAAAGCCATGATGGCAATTATTTTACATCTAAGTAGTATGCAGTTCTTCATTTATACACACACATCAATTAAAATAAAACAGATGGTATCGGTATCGGCCAATACTGCACAGCCAGGTATCGGGTATCAGTATCGGGGCCAATAAATGGCATTGGCGCAACACTATTAAATACCACACACATTTTTTATGCAGAGGACACAATTATTCAATAGTCCTCTCCTTTAGTTGTTTAAAAAACTTAATTTCACTGCTTACCTTTTAACCTAGTGTTCAGATTGATTCTAGAGAATTTAAATGTGAGGTATTGCAAAAACAATGCTTTTTAAAACTACTTATCAGCTACTTAGATTTGAAATTAGATTCCATTTCAGAAACGAATCTTCTTTTTCAATCAATGAGAGGATATAAAAAATATCTGCCTTTGCTAGATTAGAATATTGTTTATTTCTATATAGTTAGTATCTAAATACATTGGATCAAAGAGATCGGATACTGTTTATCAATATGCATTATGTTTTATGGCTGGATGTGGAAATTATGCATATCACTTTTCTCTACGTGCTGCTGTGAAATTGCAGCAGTCCCCATGGGATGATTTGCAAAGCATGAATCTCTATTACCCTCTATGTGTGTGCATATGTAAATACCAAACACAGTGCTTACAAACTGATAATATTTCACTAATATCTGTACAAGAGTCTGAACATAATTAGGAGAAATGATATGTAAATAAGCAGCTTCTGTTTCTAGGAAAAATAAAAAGGACACAAGCGTTTTAGAACTGGTACAGCTGCTCATTGTTTTTGCACAATGTTTGTCGTTTTTCCTTTGCTTGTTTTATCAGAAATTACCTTTTCTGTTGTTTTTTTTTACTTAATGTGAACATATTTTTGTTTTACCTGGATGTTTATCCTCTTTCAAGTAATTATGTACATGTATTTATGATGTTGTATATTGAGCTAAAAAAAACTTTTTTTTCTTTTCTTTTTTGCATCAACAGTCTGTAGGTGTAAATGTTTTCTTAGCAGTGAATCTGATCCCAATTTTGTAAGAATGCTGAAAATCGTGTACCTATAGTAAAAGTATCTCTATAGTAAAACTGTTTCCCCTTTGAAAAAGTGTCTGCAGCTATTATCTTTTCATTTACCTCAGGACTTTTTTGAAAGCCTCAAAATATAAAATGTGCTTTCTCAAGATAAAGCACAAGTGAACTTTCTTTTTGGAGGACAAATTCGTGATGGGGGAGGAAAAATAAGTGGCTTTGCTGTTACATGATTTTGTTTTCTTTTTCTACGAATCCCAGAATCCAAGAAGGGCTCTCCTAGAGGTGGGAGTTGAACGTGTCCCTGAATGAGTGCTCAAGTAACATTTCAGTCACACCCTAACTACTCACTTGGACCTTCCAAGTCTGTCCAGCTTGCTCCTCTTCTAAAAGACCACCAGATGATGACTGGTGGATCTCTCCACCCCTCTTTTCACCGAAGTGTCAAAGACATGCAGCTGAAGGTCAAGACAATTTGGACCATTTATGCCCAGTATAGGATGTGCTGGTGTCCAGAACAATTTAAACCCCATTAAGCTTTAAAATGGTTTTCATTGAGGACAATCCATGGTTTTCACAGAAGTCTGTTTGTCCTGATCGCTCCTCATCCCTGTGTTGCTGTTGCTTCCAATGTGGATGTTAAAGTCCCCCAAGTACGATGAGCGAGTTGCCATCTAACATCACTGCCAAAGATGCCGAGGAGGTGGTTACTCTGTGCTGAGGTTGAGACAACATTCAGCACCCTCTCCCCTACCTTAAGGCACAGGGATAACATCCCTTCATCCACAAGCAAATTCCATCCCAACCATCTCTTCACACTTTAAGGCAGAAGACAGTTCAGACTTTCCAAAGTAACTTGGAAGTCGAGTTCAACTATTTCTAGTTTCACACTCAAGCACAAGCTGAGGCCCCTTTTCCCCCATTGAGGTGACAATCCATATGCCCAGAGCCAGTTTATAGTAGTAGCCATTCAAAATGGCCCTCCCCAGCCAAGTGCAATCCAATGGTGGCCCACTCCCAGCAAAATCCTGTACAACTTCCATCCATTGGATTGACCCCTTCTTGCATATTTCTTTAATCTGACTCCACCCTTTCATTGAATTACACGGTCTGACCAGATGATGCTTCTCTTTAGATCTTAATGTCCACAAATCATGACAGAAAGAATATTTTAGTACAAATATTGATGTTTAGAAAGGATTTGTAGTGGACCAACCAAGGACCCATCAAGGAAAGTAGGTAAATGTTTAAGGGCTACTACTGTGTCAGAGGATTCTTTTACTTCTGCTGGATCATCTTTGCACCTGTCCCTCATGGATCCCTGTGAAGGTAGGAGGCCCATTTGGGAATGGCCTCACGTTTCTTATTTGTGCCGCATCCCCTGGGAAGTAATCTAACCTCAAAGCGCTTACCAATAAGCCCCAAACCCCTGTCCTGGCTTAAAGGGGAGGTCTTGGCTCCCCTGTACTTGGCAAAGTCGCAAGCATTGACTTTTTTTCCTCACCACGAAGGTTTGAACTGCTTTTTGTCTGACTTGTTACCCTGAGCCTGTTTATCTAGGAAGACCTTACCGGGGGAATATTAATTCCCAAACAACATAGCCTTTGGGATCATCCACACACTCATGTCCCTCCACCATAGTATGATGGCAGTTTAACAAAACAATGTTTTATCTTTATAAAAAGTTAAAGCAAGGCAAGGTTTTTATATGCTTTAACTGTGGAAATAGGTGAATATTGTATACCAAATAAGGAAGGAAAATTATAAAAGGTAATCTCTAAAAAGGTGAGAAACAATTAATCTCACAAATGTTTGTGTTACTGAAGCAGTAATGCTGAAAAGTTCTTGACCATTTCTGCATAAAGTTGAATCTTACGGGTTTGTTTGTCCAAAGATAAACATTGAGCTGTAGGGAAGGATCTGCCGAGGCCCGTTAGCCGCCTCCTCCTCTTCCAGATCTTTTTTCTCCTCACTGAGCCGGAAGTTGTCACAATCGATGTTGTTCACTGGGGCAAAGCAAAAATAATATATGAATGTTATTCATTTCCAGCAATTTAAGAATATAACAACAGTTAAGAGAAGTGCAAGCTGTTTGTTTTTTTAGCTTTTGCTTCACTTGAACTAATATTCATTAAGAATCCAATTGTGTCAATGATGACTTTGGATCTGGACCAAAGATTTTATTAAGACTCTAGTGGGACTTATTTTTGAAAGTTGGTAGACAGGAAATGTGATCAGAGAAAGGGTGAAGACCAGACCTGTGACCCAACCAATACACCCAAAACCAGTCTATTAAAGGTCGTTGATGTTAAATACCACAAGTTTTCTATGCAATCTGATATTATGTAAAATACAGAATGGATTTGGTGAAACTGATCCAATGCCTGGTTCAAATACACATATTGTGTCTGCTAAATGCACAAAAAATGTCAATTTCTTTTATAAAAAAGAGTTGGTCTAGTTTAAGCTGCCAGTTAAATATTTATTCAAATGAATACATATCACAATTACAACCCAAAATTCTCAATACCTACATTTTAAAATATGACTTGAACAATTACAGCAAATTGGACTGTAATTATATTACATAATATTGTATAAAGTGTTCTTTTTAAACCATTAACTACATTTTTTTGTTTTAACATTGATTGGTTAACCCTATAATGCCAAATGTATCATATTTAATACATACTGTTTCTGAAATGTTTTGCGTCTGACACCTTTTGCATAATTTTATGGTAAAAACTTTGCTCAAAATCCTATTGTACCCAATCAGATATACCTGATAACAGCCAGTAGAAGACTACACAAAAAATTATCTTGACTTATCGCATAGTAATAAATTATTAATATAAAAAATGTATTTCTGTTTTTTCTTTTTACATATTTTGTTAAAAGGGCAAATAAGGAATTCAAACCAAAAAAAAGTATTGAATCAGGCTTTAAAGGGTTAATTTAATTAAATCTAACTGAATCTAACTGAAATCTGGCCTATGTTCCGGAGTAAGATGTCCACTGGTAAACACTGTATTTCAAGAAGAGCTTCTGCATCTGTTTGTTAAAGCATGTAGCCTACTTTTTTTTAAATCATTTTTGGTCTCTTTTTTATAACTACTTTTAACATGAACAAGTCCAACAGGAACAGTGTTTAAGGTGGTTTAAAGCTCCACATTTTCTCCTTCTGCAGCTGGATGTACAGTATGTGCATTTAGGCATTTTTATTGCATGACCTCTCATGGCTGTAGTATCAAAAATATCGATATCTGGATCTTAAAACCCTAAATTTATGGTTTCTATGGAAGCCCATTTCTGCCACATGAAAATCAAAAAATGCCAAATAGAAAGTCATAATTATCAAAGTCGAAATTATGACTTTGTATCTCAAAACTTTGACTTTGAAAGTGAAAATTACGACTTTGAACCTCATAATTATGACTTTCTATTTGGTAATTTTTTACTTACATGTTTCGATAACGGGCTTCCATATATTCCCACAATAAGATTGATATCTTAGTATTTACTTAAAGGTAAATAGTCTTGAATTGTTTTTGCAACCACTGTTACAAATGCAAAGGGTAAAAGGTAAAAACATTGTTATTTTAGAAAAGGAAGATAATATTCAAGCTAATAATGGACTGCCTTTTACAAAACTAGGTTTACATAACTAAATTCAACTCAGGTAACTTTATTAAAAACTCTAAATAGTCTGTAGAAAATACAGCAATGCTTTAATGTCTACAGTAAATGTTAACTAAAAAAGGAAAAGAAAGAGAAATGCGGTACTCACTGGGAATGATGGTGGTTTCTCCAGGTGGGGCGGTCACAGTCACAGGGATGTGGACAGCGTTGCTGTTGAGGCCAGCCTGGCTGGCCCTGGTGGAGTTCTTCTGGTTGTCAGCATCCTCTTGCTTTTCACTTGGAGTTAAACTACTCCGCTTCAGCTGGAAAGGACTTCCAGCAAGGCTGCCCTCCTCAGTATCCGCCTGTCTATCCCTGGGAAGAAGGTGTTTTGGATAAAAACAATTATACTGCTGCTTTCAATACATCCAAATGTAATGGAATATTATTCAGCCGACTAAAATGGAGTCTGAAACCAATACTTCAAATTAGTAATTTTCTCCTCTTGTTAAATTCAGTGTGTAGGTCAAACTTGTTGCATACAATATTTACTCATCTAATTAGCATCAGACCAGGCATACAAAGATATACATATATTTCTTCTTCACAGGCTCATCAGAACAGAAATTAATTTGGAGGCCGGGACATTTGTTCTTTAAATTTGCAAATCATTCTAAAGCTAAAAGGGAATAACAGCACTACTTTATTAGATGCCGAAATTAATGGATTTTGCTTTTAACCCCTTGAACCCTACGGACCCACCGGCGGGTCCAGCTGCTACGTGACCTCGTAATTTTACCAAACCCCCAGTATTGATGTAAAAAACATATTTGGCAGTTTGGTGACATTTATGGATAAATGTGCCAAAATGGCCTCTCCGCCTAAGAAATTTCTCACTAATACCATTCTAAAATAAATATGATTCATCTGATTGAGTCCAAATTTGGTATATTTTTACACAAAGTTTAGATTTGAAAGTCTGTACTACTTTTTTGTGCTATAAATAATATTTTTGTAGTGTTTTGCAATGTTTATTTCTAAGAAAATTTTGGCGAGGTTCAAAAAATGCTAAATATTTTGTATTTTGTCCCTAATATTTCAGGCAGGGTCAAAGCTACAATGGTGCTGACACCAGAAAACCATTCTATGACATCTTACCTTTACAGACGTACCAAAAGTTTCTTCTTAAATCTAATAGCTTTGAGGCTATAAGTTATTTACTTTTGTGTGTTTTTGTCAGGGCAGAAATTTATTTATACCCCCTTAGGGTGTAAGAGGTTAAAGTGATTACAGAAATATATTTTTATCAATAAGAAAATTTTGTAAGGCATCATACGATTTCTTTATGGAGCGATCAATATTTTTTTCTTGGCTCTCCAGCATTCTTTAATAATTTATCTTTAACCTGTGGAGTAAAAAATGTTGAGGTATGTCTGTTCTTAGCCTCAAAGGCTCCAAGCGAAGGTCATGAGAGATTAAAATGAGTAACACAGCCTCCTTCATGGCAGGAAGGGGAGGACTGTTGTTTTGAGAAGAACCCTAACCCTAACCCTAACCCTGGCCGCACAAAAAAAAGTATATATATATATATATATAATTTATTGACGATCAGAGTCTGAGTGATGTTTTATTTTGAAAAATATAAAAAATTGCGGTATTCTCTCGCAATTAGTCGGTTCATCTGTGCCTCTTGACACAGGTTAATTCAGTTCAAGACTCATCCTATCTATAACATCCTATCTTTGTGAAGCGGGATTTTCTGCGGTTACTGCGACCAAAACAAAGCTACGGAGCAGACTGGACATCAGGAGCACACTTCGTGTGTCATTGTCTCCGATTACGCCTAGATGGGACCGGCTTGTTGTTTTATTTTTATGCTGTTTGTATTTGATTTTATGCCAGTCGTATCATTTTACTTGATCGTATTTACCCCCCCTGCTCGACCGGTCCGTGAAAATATTGTCTGACATATTGCGGTCCGTGGTGCAAAAAAAGGTTTGGGGACCGCTGAGCTAATGGCCTTGATGAACTCAAGTTGTTTTTCCTCCAAATGTTTAAGTGTCAGAAAGTCCTTTATGCAGGGGGTGGGTTCGTTCCCCTGGGGGAAGTGTGTGTGGGTGATTTTGTAAGGTATAAATGTATGTAGTCAGAGACCTATCTCTCCGTTTGAGGATGTTAAATAAATTTGAACCTTTTTTCTTGAGCGTCTGAGCTTCCTAACTTAACAAACATCTCTCTTTTTTTTTGGTAATTTGAGGGTTGTTTTGGGTTTTTTTGTTTTTTGTTTAAAGAACACTGATCCTTCTGTCTTAATGTTTCACAGATTGCACAATATTTATATGCTGAGAAAAACTACTTCTGAATTGACTCACACTTTGAACTTTCACAGTTTGAAAATAAAAAAATCAGACTTCTGGATTTGATGAGAAAATGTTTATTTCAGTTCTAGAGATTTGTGACCTGACCAACTTTGGGCAAAAGACTTGAGTTCCTGCTTAGATATGGAAAAGAAAAAATAGGACCGGCCATTTCTGATGCTTACTCCTATGGAATGATTAACTTTTAGAACCAATGCAGCCTCATTGGTTTTTGGATTTGTTGATGAACAAATTGGGATTAATGTTTAAATTGTGACATTTTAGTTGGATTAGCTAATCTAGAACTCAATTCAGACTTGTGCATGAAAAGTGAATGCACCAATAGTCTCACCTGTGACTTTTGGACCCATTCTTGTTCCCCTTACATTCGTCCCCACTCAGAGTGAACTGAGCCTTAGACGTACGGGTGGAGCGCAGCCTCTTCTCCCCATTGCTGTCCCCTCTCCCTTTCCCCTCTTCTTGTGCTCCATTTGTCAAACGCCCGTTTCCTTCCTTCAGAGTCCGACGCGAGCGGTGGTGGCGATGCCCTCTTTCCTCTCCTCCTCCTCCTCCTCCTGGGCGTGCATCTTCCTCAGGCGAACCAGTTTGGTGGTGGTGTCTCTGTCCTTCATGGTTTCCGGACCTCTCTTTGTCCTGGGAACCATTTCCGTTATGTTCTCTGCTGCGGCTATGATGACTGTGGTGCCTACCTCCCTGGCTGTCGCCTCCTTCCCCATTTCTGTCTCGGTGGTGGTAATGCCTCCTGGAGTGAGTGTGGAAGCTGTCCCTCACAGTGCCTTGACGGGGCCCTCCTGCATCCTGCTGCACACCTGCTTTGGTCTGATCACCATTCTTGTCCTCCACAACCAGCGGTCGGTCGCTGTGAGTCGTCATGTCAGGATGCAGATGGAGGGTGCTGGAAATCCTCAGATTCTCCTCGGGATCCAGCTCATTGAACAGAGCCTCGGTGCTTGTCTTCATGTTGTGCTTCCTCAGCTGGTTGGTCCGCTGCTCCCACACAGACATGGTCTTTGCAGACCGCTGCTGCTCCTTACTGCAAGCATCAAACCAAATCAAAGCAGAAAGAATGAATAATGAATAAAACCAATGTTTAACAATGAGTTCTTGCTGGGGTTTGGGTGAAACAATGCAGGATCAGCCATAGCCATGACATCTGCTGCTAAGACATTCCCCAAGAAGCATCTGGATGATTAGAAACAGCAGATTTGGGTCTATGGATGGGTGACTAAAATGTTCACATGAAGTAGAAAAAGAAGAACCATTTTAGCAGATTAAATGTATCTGATGCTGAATATGTTCTGATCTATGGACCCGTGGACCCTTCAGTTAAAGTTGTGCACAAATTTATGTAAATCTATGCTTTAAGTTTATAAATCTTACTTCAAGTTTAGGAAAAAGCCCTCTAGTGTTTGCTGACATAGAGTTGATCTACAGATAACTATAAACAATCACTGAAAAGCTAAGTACTGCACTGCAAAAAATATAAATCTCAATAAGTTATTTTTTCTTAAAATAAGTGTGTTTTTCCTTGATTTGAGGAGATAAGTAAGACACTTTGCCAATGGAACAAGACAATTTCCTTTTAAAATAAGAAAAAACTATTTTATCGTCTTATTTCAAGTAAATATTATCTAACTATCTTATTTTAAGAGTGAAAATACTCATTCCATTGGCAAATCATCTTATTTACCTGCTCAAATTAAGGCTAAATATACTTAATTTAAGCCATTTTTTACTTCTTTCTGGATTGTTTTTGCAGTGTGCACATTGTTTAAGACTTGCAGAACCACCCACTGGAAAAAATCAAAATCTAGACGAGTAATTTTTTTCTTAAAATAAGTGCATTTGCTCTTGGATTAAGGTAGTAAAAGAGACATCTTGCCAATGGAACAAGGCAATTTACACTTATAATAACAAAACAGAATAGCATTGTTTAATTTCAAGTGCATATTATCTAATTATCTTATTTATCAGAGTAAAAATACTCATTCCATTGGCAAACTATCTCATTTACCTACTCAAATTAAGGGGAAATACACTTAATTTAAGACATTTTTTTACTTATTTCTAGATCGTTTTTCCAGTGAGCAGTTTTTCTTGAGGTTCTACTGTAGCATTTTAACCACTTTAAAGTCTGGGCTTTAACTAAACCATTGCAATAGCTTAATCCTACTGCCATATGGTTCTGAGGTTTTCTGTTTTAGATTTTATTGTTTGCCATATTTTCTTCTGTAATTATTATTAATATTGTTCATTTCATCATTAATTTATTGATTTATTTACTTTGAAACATTTCCATTGTATGTTAATTATAAATATATATATACTATAGGCAGGGAGTGGCTGCGGCTTACCCAGAGGAAGACGGCTTGACATTGGAGGAGCCACCAAGGATATAGAGCAGAAAGAGATGATGGCTGGCCAAGGCTAGGCTCTAGCCTTGTTCAAGATTATTGTTCAGTATTTATCTTAACAGTTGTCCGCACGGTTTACTTTCAAAACATCTGCTAATAGAGGTGGTTAAGGTTGCTAATAATCTGTTAATAATGTGCATTTCTTTACCAGCATCTATCTGCTGATTTCCCCTGTAAATGTTGATGTGACAATGAGGCTGCGCTTAATTTTTACCCACATCTACAGTAACATTCACTGCAGCCTTATTTCCCCCAAGACTGCATCCCTTTGAATTCAGGGGGGCGTTGATGATGTGTGAATGGGACAGGTGAGGCCAGCATGCTGCACTTAACGACTACTTTTTTAAACACATTGTTCCGTTGATTCCGGAGCAGAAAAGATGCTGGGACATGACATTTGATGGAAGAAATTAACAGTTTGCATACATGCATTTTTCATTTTTCCCCATAAAAGTAAAAATGAATAAAAATCTTATGATTAATGAATCAAATGTTTTATAACTTGCCAGTCCATACTGTTTCTGTTAAGTATGAGTTTATATGATAATTTATGGGATAATTGTCTTCTATATGGTCACCTGTATTTCAAGATATGTCGAGTGGGGGTGTAGTAAACTGTATAACTCCTAAAGGACACACAGACAGAAGACACAAAGGACACAGGACAGGAACCAGACACACGGGTGAAAAACACGCATACAAGTAGCTTTTGCAGGGTTGCAGAGAGAAAATGGAAAATATTTCACAGATAGAATTGTAGTGGTATTATGTGAGAAATAATAGCCATGTTTCACATAAAACTTGGACAGAATATGTTAAACAAGGTATGTTTCGAACTAATATAAGCTTTTTTACAGTTTAGTTACAGTAAATTTCAATATCAACAAAATTAGTTTCAGTAATTTAATAAAAAACAAAAACATCAATCAAGTTATATATAATATTTCTGAAAATTAAACAATATGTTTTAAAAAATCAGAATGTTGCATGAAAAAAATAGATATTCAGAAATGAAATAATGCATCCGTGCAGCAGTGTGGCATAAAGGAGATCAGCCGGTGGTTTTGCCTATACAACATATTAACTCTATGGGGTTCAGGTGAGACCAGTTTGTTGAATGGCGAAGCACTGTGGAATCATCAAAGCAGGCAGTGATACTTTTGCAGTGTTGGCAAATACCAAGTCTTGTGATGACATGGCTCCTCGAAGCATTATTAGCTTAAAGGAATAGTACACCCAAAACATGATTAGCCTTCATTTCCTACTCACCCCCATGCTGAACAACACTCTGGAGAACTTTTTTGATATCTCAAATGCATCTGGAGATCTGGGAGGCTTCTTGCTGTCTGCTGACATTCAAATAATGGAGGTCTATGGTGCCCGAGGCAGAAAGGTCCATAAAAGTCCACAAAAAATGTGTCAATATTCCTCCATACTGCTCGTCCAATGTATTCCAAGTGTCCTGAGTGGGTAGCGTCCATAATTTACTTGAAACAAAGTCATTTAGAATGTTTTTAGAGCATAAACAGTAGTGTATAGGATTTCCTAAAAGCGCGTTCACGAGTCTACGGAAACCGCGGCAGACCAAACCAGATGAAAATGCGCATTCAGCGTCTGCTCTGCCGATAATGCAAGCGTAGAAGAAGAAGTGTTCCTTTTTACCTGTGCAAAGAAAGAAACAACGAAAGAAAAATGTCTGAGGACTTCAGTGTTAAGGAAGAGCATGAGTTCTTTGCCGAGCTGAATGCGCACTTTCATCTGGTTTGGTCTGCCGCGGATTCCGTAGACTCGTGAACGCGCGTTTAGGAAATCCTATACACTACTGTTTATGCTCTAAAAACATTCTAAATGACTTCGTGTCGAGTAAATTATGGATGCTACCCACTCAGGACATTGGACGAGCAGTATGGAGGAATATTGAAACGTTTTTTGTGGACTTTTATGGACCTTTCTGCGTCGGGCACCATAGACCTCCACTATTGGAATGTCAGCAGACAGCAAGAAGCCTCCCAGATCTCCAGATGCATTTGAGATATCAAAAAAGTACTCCAGGGTGTTGTTCAGCATGGGGGTGAGTAGAAAATGAAGGCTAATCATGTTTTGGGTGTACTATTCCTTTAAAGCTTTGCACTGGATTTTAAGCAGTGTTGAATCTCTGCTCTCCACTCTTCATTTGGAATTTAGAGCCTTGATTTCTAAATTAAATGGAAACCTTCTTTCATCTGAAAAGTTTCTTTTTTACCAACTGAACCTCAGCCCAGTCCCTTTTTTCCTTCGGTGACATGAAAAGCATAGTTTTCCCCCTGTGGTTCATGGGCAGCTGAACAGAAGAAAAGCCACAACTGCAGCTATGTTCTGTATGTAGTGCTCCCACCAGCTGCAATCCAAGACTTCTGAATAGAACTTTGAAATGTGCCTTGCTTTTGATTTCTTTAAAGGGAGCTATCATTGGTTCCCTGTTAAATCCAAGGGAGAGTTTAAAACCCTCCTTCTTATGTATAAAGTCCTAAATAAGTATGCTCCATCTTACCTCAGAGATGTTGTTGTTGCTGACAGAGCATTTTGATCTCAATCGGTTGGTTTACCAGGGATTTTATCCTTTAAAACCAACTAGTTTTAGTCTAAGAGACAGACACCCTGTCTACTTTTATTAACTTCCTTTTTGATAAGGTAAGTTAGAGTGATTCAGCTTATCCTGTAGTTATGCTGCTATAGGTTTAAACTGCTGGAGGACATAGGGAACACTTCTCATAATTCCGCTTCCTCACTCTTCATGTTCTCTCTGCTTTTTCTCATCACAGTAACTTTATCTGACCTATTCCTGTTTGGCTTTGACTCTCTTCTGGAGAGTAATATTAGCTGATCTGCTGTCATCAATCGGTTTGATAGAGTTGGGGCTGTTGTGTAGTGCTAAGTCCTGTACCTCTCCTAGAAATAGCAATGGGCTCAGCTTTTACTTCTCCAACTGTATGTGCTCTTTGTCATCCCGTTTGCCATGAAAACTGGCTCAGAGCTCAGCTGCTTAACTGTTTTTATTTCCCAGATAGATGTTCTTCTCAAAGCCCCAGTTGGTCTCGGCAGAAGGCCATCATATTGGGCCTGGCTCAGCTGGAGGTTTCTTCCTTTTAAAAGGGAGTTTTTCCTCTCCACTGTTGCTGCATGCAGCCTGATGACAGTGGCCTGATTTTTAATTGCCTGATTTTGTATAATTGGATGAGGAAATCTACATCAATGACTTTCATCACTGAACAAATTCAACCTTGATGGTTTCTAATGCTTTAACTTGGCCCTGTGTCTGCAATGTAACCAATTGAGAGCAGATTAACCTACACTGAATTGACGTCTTTGTTACTATCTACCTCTGTCATGTCCTAAGGTCTACCCTGGTGAACAGAATGGGAATATCCTACTTATTCTACTTACAGCAACACCAAAAAAACAATAAATAAATCACGCCTACGGATCAGAGGACCTAATAATAAGCTGTATTATCAGATTAAACACTAGTTAAAGGTCAGTTATTTATATTTCACTTTTTACCTAAAATAACATCACATCCAGTAATCAGCTGAATTCATAAAGTTCCAACTTTTCCAGCATCATATATGCTCATATACTGCATTTTCTATCAAGTAAAATCATAAGTAAAGGTTAAATTTCTACAGTTTGGCTCTGAGAGGAATAAACAAAGAGACGACACAAAGTAGGAGAGTGGGAGATTAATCATAATGACAAGAAGAAAAGTCAATGGTGAAATGGGAGGAATCAGGCGTTGAAAATAGAGATTAAAGGAAGGAGAGAAAGGAGCAGGAAAATTGTATCAGAGAGAGCGATAACTCACGGTGACTGAATGCTGGTGACGGACGACCTGCGAGAGAGCGCATCTCGATTTTGCTTTACAAAACTGTACATGCAGAACACAAACAAAAGGAAAAAAAATGAGACAAATGTGGGAGGGACAGGTGGACGTAATGTTCGATGGCATCCACCTGTCCCCACTCCGTGTTTCACAGTGTTTCTACGAAGCTGCTTTTGAAAACACAACAACAACAACCTGAGTGACATCAGGAACGATGTGACAAAAAAAGATAAAAAAAATCAGGAGTTTCATTCTAAAGAAGAAGAAATAGAAAACTTAAAAATTAAGTGAGGGCACTCCGCACTTAACTGTTTTCGCTTTGCTATTAAAGCAAAGCTTTACTCAGAGGCTAAATGATAATTGACCTAACTCATCTCATATGTATGAAAATGTTCATATCAAAAGGTTTAGTATCAGACTAAGATATCAAGTGTGAAAAGAAATCTGTTTTTAGATAATAACTGTGGATAAATTAGTAGACATCTTGCAATCTAAAAGTCAAGCAATAAACGACACTTAATGGGGTTACTACTAGTGTTGCACCGATACCGATACCAGTATCGGACGGGGCCCCAATACTGCCCTAAAATGATGGTATCGGTATCGGCGAATACCAACAAATAGGGCACCGATTCTATTTTGAGAGCCATAAGTTTATTCAACTATTGTCACCCACTCCTGGTAGGCAATAAAAAGTTCTACTGGATTCACTTTGTATTCGATTTTTTCCTGCTTCACAAAGGTAGGCAGCAGCTCGACAAAGCCATGATGGCAATTATTTTACATTATTATGGTATCGGTATCGGCCGATACTGCACAGCCAGGTAACATCTATAGTCATTCCTGGGAAGGATCATCACCTTTCTATGTTGTTTCTCAATTTGTGGATAATTAGTCTGCTTAATATGATTAAATGTTTCATTCATTGAATAACTGATTTCAAATTAGCCAAATTTAATCAAAAATATGTATCTATATTGTAAAGACATTGGATTATTTCAAGATTTAAAAAAGGGATTAAAAATCAACATCTGTCTACCAAAAGCTTCTTCGATCCAACTGAGAAAAGGAATTATTTATGAGTGATGATCCATGGCGCAGTTAAAGCGCTCCTAATTCATGTCAAAGTATTGCTAAATTACATATTTTCATAAACCTAACTCTATCAGTTTGGGTGGTTGCAGATTGTTTTAGGTTTCGTTCACCAAGAGCAAAGGTCCAGCCCAAACGCCACCAGGTGTCTTGAAGATTTTTTGCAAAGAGGAGCGCTCTGAACTCTAGAAAAACTCTAAAACGGAGGACAGATTTACTGTTTTTATGTTTTGTTATGTATTGTCTTTTTTTTTTATTTAATCACGCCAACTAATATATCACTAAATGCCTACTTCAATCATTGAAACCAAAAAGAAGGGATGAAACCCTGAGTTTTTCTTTACAGCACAAAAAAAACAAACAAAACATGTTCATTTAAAACCAAACCAAGAGGCTTTTGTAACCAAATGAAAGTATTCTGACATGCTGAGACCGAACTCACACAAAGACAATAGTAACAACAACCACAAAGGAGATGACTGGGAAGCGGGCTGACTGGTGATATATGGCACTGATTAGCTGCTGGAGTTTAAATGACCTCATTCTCGGTGGGGAGTATGGCAATTAAGGAGCAAAGATGATCACTTTGTCAGATGAATAAACGGCTGTGAAAACTCCTCCTAACATAAAATCTGTGCAAGGATTCTGAATGGAAATTAGATCCAATACTGATGAGTTCATTTTGTTTCACTTCAGTGGATATACTAGTTTGTTTGGTGCAAACAGATTAGATTAAAAGAGCCCTATTCGCTTCTACTGTACAGTATATTTACAGTTGTTTTACATCCAAAGTCTGCCATCAGTTGCATAAAATTGCTCCTTCAGATGTAAAAATGTTTCTTTGTAAAGTCCATATATGTTCTTGTTTTGCTACATGCAACTCCACGGTCATAAAACTTTACTGACTATTATTTGACTCTACTTTTTCTCTCTAAAATATATTAAAAAGAAAAAAAAAATTAATCTGCAATATTAATCACTGACTGCACTATTAATACTGGATTCATATTAATTTATAACTTACAAAATCTACAATCAAAGGAATCTTATCCTGATATGTTGGAGATACTTTATCTACTGTATCAATAAAATCTAAAACAAAGATCATGCTCACTTGGTATATGGGCATAGCTGGGAGCAACGTATATTAGTCACACAGTTTAAATTACTCGCTTTTTCCCTTTTTGGCTAAAGTGTTAATTAAATGAAGCAATAAAACAAACAGTCAGGAGAAAACTGTCAGTAGAAACTCTGTGCTTCCTTAATTGCAGGTAAAGGTGGACAAGATGAAGAGTTGGGTGAGAGAAACACGACAACACAACTAGAGCAATCTCAGAACCAGGATAGAAGAGGAGAAATGAAAGACGGACACATATGCACATCAGACATAGAGGGAAGAACTTGGAGAGTGAACAAGCTGGAGGAAAAGAAAATACTTCTTTCCATTGGAAAATCCAATGAAAAGGTGCAAGACTAAGAAACTTACGCAGCGATGGAAATGTTAGCAGCTGACATCGGACTGACTTCTTTTACTTCCAGAGCTTTCTGCAGAGCTAGCTTCTTGTTGGCTGCCTCCTCCTGCTCCTCTTCATCCTTTAAATCAGTTTAATCAACATTTAAAGCTGGAGCACAGGTAAAAATGATACAACACACAGAGAGATACCTAAGGGATTCTCCAGAATAACACAGGGACACACTAACAGAGCCCACCTTAGTCAGTTCCTGGGCATTGGCGAGATTATCCACAGCAATGGCCAAGAAGACATTCAGGAGAGTATCTGAATGACGGCATTCAAGGAAAGGATAGTTTTAACAGTAAAAAAGAAAAAAATATAAACCCTTTAATCTATTATACTTAAAAAACAAATCCCACTATTGCAAACATTTTCCAACTTTAGTTTGCATACAGGTCTGAGAGATAGTCAGGTATTAGATTTCAGGGTATATTCACTGATTATTTAAAACAACGACTTGAACTTCAATGTGCCTCTTATATAACTTTAGCACCTCTTACTTCAGAATGACCTCCACAGTAGTAGCCTGGGTGCCATTCCGAACTTAGTCCCGCCCACAACTTTTGAGTTGGGGAAGTTCGGTCCGGCATTGCTCAACAGTAGCGTGAGTATGCTCGCACAAAATCTGGCGGGCCAATCAAATTGTCAGGGCGGGCTTTATACGATGATGGACAGATGATCAACAGTAACGTAATCAACCACGTCACCAAAGCGCGCTTGGGTGACAACAACAATGGCTGCCGCTGGAGAGTTGAGGTGTGTAGATTCTGCTATTAGGTCTGTTCTAGAAGATATCGACAGCAAATAAATTTTAAAAGAGGAAAAGAGAAACATGATCAAGGCTCCTCTTCTTATTCTAGGCGTGCAACTGCACGCTTTGATTTTTGCTGACAACAACTATGCGTCGCTTAACATACGCCACGCACTCCGTTGCTCTTATTGGTTGTAGGTCTATCCAATTGAGTGCAGAGGCATTTTTTTTCCTGGTTCATTCGAAACACGCCCCATAATCACAGCTCTATGGAGCAGTATCAGACTCAGATTCTGACTAGAATTGAGTAGGACTACGTCAGGCTACCACAGTAGTGCCACAAAGGCTAATACATCTAAATTAGGTTGTATGTTAAAAAACTGAGAAATTGCACCTTGATTTCAAGAAGTTTCTGTACCTTAAAAATTAGTTATGTTCTAGCTATTTTGGTGCAAATCCCTTCAGTTTTTTCAAGAATCTATCAGTAGCATAGGATAATGCTGGAAAAAATAAGAGAGAAGGAATTACGCAAATAAAATCAAAAAATGTGCAAAAACTTTTATCTTTTTCATGCTGTGGCTCTAGGATACTTGTATTGGAAATCTCAGCCAAGATTGAGATTATCATTATGCTGGTTTAGCCTGCTGTGGAAGTGGCCTAAACAGCTGATACGCCAATTCATTTATAGAAATACTAGGTCATATAACTGTCGAGTATGTCCCTGCTGACATTTTGCTTATTGCATACTTAAAAATGTGTAGAATTACAGGATTTGTAATAGTCACAATGCTAGTAGGAAAAAGAAAGCTGTTGCTTTCAATCAGCCAATTTAATATCTCCGACAAGGTAGGGAACCGGACTAGTTGTCCCAGGCCCACGGCAGAGGGGGGGGAAATCAATCAGCCCCTATATATTCTGCCGCAAATAGAATTTTTATTTAAAGATGTTTCCAAAATTTGAGCTTTATTCTTAAGTTTTATAGATTTTTTTCTTGTTATTACTTTCTTTTGATTAGCCACTGCAATATTGGAAAGTACCCCCACCAGCCTTCATGCCGCTGATGCAGTTTCTTTCAAATGTATTCATATTAATACACAGGGCTGGCTGTAATTAAAGCGGAGACAGGAAAATACAGAACCTGAATCTTCTGCTCTGCACACGGTCAGGCAGCAGCTCCTTCACTTTAACATGAAGGGTACAGCAGCTCTCATCTGAAGGAGCCTCCTCAAGCCACAGGAACAGCTTTAGATATAACTGAACTTTAGATCGACCTCACCTGCAAAAGCCTGAAAAAGCAGTCATAGCTTGTAAGCTCTCTGATTTTCAGTTTCTGTTTCTCAAATTTTCTGTCAAGGGTTTGTTCCCTATCTTTACTAGATTAAGTTTAGATTAAGATTAATTTATAATTAAGAATAGACCAATGGGTTTTGTTAAAAGGTTGAGAAGTTTTGAATTTGACTGAAGTACCGCGTCCTTGGCTGCAAAAATGCTGCAGTGGATGTGAATAAATAGAGAACATACATTATATATATATATATTTACAGATGTGTGTGTATGTATATATACTACATACAAAATATGAAATCATGGGCCCGACTCTTCAATTCTTCACAGATTTTAAGACAGGATTTTTTTTTAAATAGAAATTTCTAAATTTTGGGACAATATAATCTGATAAAAAGTACATTTATATACATGTTTAACCCAAAATGATTTGACATTTAAATGTGACTTCCCTACGACAAGAACAAGCGGCAACAATGACATTTCTTTTTGTGAAGAGATATGAAAAAGTGTCCTGATCTTTACCAGGATCTTTCCTTTTCTATTTAAAATGTAACAAAAACGAAGATATTTTGCAGCCACATTAGATACCAGGTGAAAGCTGGTCCAGTATAAATACCACTACAATACAGGCTTACCTCGTGTACATTTAACATGGTAACCTCTAAATTTTTTTCTCGAAAACAATAGATTTGTCGTTTTAAAGAGGATACAGTTTCCAAAAAGTGTGAGGACAATGAAGTAGATGGAGGAAAACATTCCACGTCGAACACCTCCTTGAGACTCAATGCCATGGTACATGACGGCGTTCCAGTCCTCACCAGTCAGAATCTGAGACAGAAAGGATTCGGGTTGACACGAAGGGACATGGGCTTGGTCGTAAACCACATTCACAGCTCACTGCTTGCAGAATTAAATTACTTTACAGAGCAAAAGGTAATGAGCACAAACTAATTGCAGGATTAGGACAGAGCTCATCTGGGGCAGGAGAAGCTCAGAGCGCCTATTCTAAACTAATTAAAATAAAGAGCTTCTTTGGTCAAAAAGTAAATCTTTTCCTCATGTTTTTCTGAAGTCTTTGGAGCTGAGGGTATTTTACCTGGAACACAGTGAGGATGGCTGCTGGGAAGGTATCAAAGTTTGTTGTTGGTGTCTCGTCTTCAAAGTTAAACCTGGAGAATCAAAATCACATCATTAAAAAGTCCACAAAGAAAATAAGCAGAGTTATAACTGTGTATGAGATTAAGAAGGTCAAGGTAAGTATTTAAATCAATAAAAGTAAAATCTTGTTAGCAAACATGCATGAGCTGTCTCAGCTGTTATGCTGGTTTTGTTTTAATTAAACGAACAAAACACAACAAAACTTAAAAGTATCCATAAATAGTTCAATTTATATAAGCTTCTCAGATACCAGAGGTGAGCAATAACTATATATATTGATTCAATTACATTTACTTAAAGCTGAAGTCTGTAAGTTTTTAAAAATCACTTTTTTGTCATATTGGCTAAAACTGTCCCTATGCCCAGACAGCAGTACATGTGATATGTAACCTGTGAAAAAAACTGCTTCAATTGGTACCGCCTACTGCCTGTATTTCAATCTGGAAAGAATAATTCGGGACGAGTCAAAACAACCAATCACAGCCAGAGGAGCGTCTGATGGAGTGTCCATCACAGCTCACACACGCTGAATCCCGCCCCCCCCCCCCCTCCGGTCGCATGCGGTAGCCGCGCAGATGCTGTGAGAGGGGTGGAGCTTGGAGGTGGGGCATGAGTGAGGCAGAGAGGGTGGGGGAGTGGCGTGAAACCTGTTTTTCTTCAAATTTTCAGTCGAAGTCTGCTCTCTTCTCAATGTTACAGACTGCAGCTTTAAGTAAAAACTAATCCTAAAAGTACTTTTTTCAATATTTTACTTAGGAAATGTTAGGAAAAATCAGTACTCTGAAGTTTCCAGCTACTTTACTCACTGTGAAGAACTTGATCTATTCAGAGATCAGGTGAATAAATGGTTGACAGTAAAAGTTCTTTACCTTGCCCTACCATATACACACTGCTAAAAAAGATTACTTTTAGACATTAATTGTTGAAAAATTTGATTTGGAAAAGTGTTTCTTTGCCATGAGTATTTTTTATGTTGTAATAATTTAATTTATTTGTATTTTTCACATATTTCAGTCTATAAAATACCAAAAGTTGTACATCTGACTGAAAATGGGCTATAAAAATTAAATTAGATTATAATAATCAAACAATTGCAAAGTACTCAAGTAAAATTTTTACAAATTAGTTTTTACTTTCACTTGAGTAATTTCTTGAAATATAACTTTTTACTTGAAAATAAAAATGGGGAATTAGTGTTAATTTTTCTTGAGTCCAATATTTGGTTACACTACCCATCTCTGTCAGATATCAACAGAAAAGCAAAACTTACTCAAAAGCATTTTTTTTCTCCTTAAAGGCATACTAGAGGATTTTCGTCAATTTTTGAAAAGACCTCCCCTCTCCATTAAAAAAAAAAAATGCACATGCACAACCCTCTACCTACTCCCAAGAGTGAACGCCTATTAAACGCATGTGAGAACATGCATAAGCCCTTTTCTTCTTGTGCACGCTCTGTAAAAGTCGCTGTTTGCATGGTTCATACAAGCTTACTTTCCAAAAGAAGATTTGGAATTTTTCCACTATGTCAGACTCACCACTGGTAAGCGAAAAAGGGGACGGCCACATAGGACTAGCCTCGTGAGACCATCCTGATCTCGCGAGCTTTCAAGGTTTCACTCGCAGATCAGTCTGGAGACTCTCCGTAAAAGAACATTTGGAGCCGTTCACCAAACGAACGTCCAATCAGCGTTGGCTTTGAGGCGGGTTGAGGTGTGACACAACGAGAAGCACGACAGTTCAGTCTAAAGAACATGGCGGCTTCAGCCGATGAAACTAGCGTTAGCGTGGCTATCGAGCAAGTTTTTCTTTCAGTGAAGTATTTCTTCACTGAAAGAAGAGCAAAACACTGCTCTGGAGGCTTTTCTCAGAGGAAAAGATGTTTTTGCTCTTCTCCCGACTGGTTTCGGCAAGAGTTTGATCCATCAATTGGCTCCTCTTTGTCGTCGCTTTGTTAGTACGCTTGATATGCAGAGCAAATCCATCTGGCGGAGTCAGGTTAACATAGGACAGCCTTATGTAACAATTAGGAAAACCACTTATTTTGATTATTCACAAGGGAAAAGAACATTCTCCTCTATACCTTAAAGTTAGTATGTGTTAATGAACAATTAACTCATAATTTATTTGTTTGTTTTTATAAGATATTCAAATGGGCTATGCTTTAAAGTTCTCTGAAAGCTGCAGCTATGCTTTTTTGTGTTTCGTCAGTCAAACATTTACCTACAACTTAACTCCCCATTAATATGCGTTGGACACAACAGTTTGATTTTGTGTCTTGCTCTTCTTATAATGAATATCAATTATTGTCTCCCATCCATACCAGTAATAATAATGAAACTAAAAACCATAAATGATAAAATGGAGGTCATTTAAAAACATGGAAATAGCTCTTTTATTTATTACTGACTTGGAAGTCATTTAAAAAAGCAGTTTACTTCGAGAAAAGTTGCATGCAATAAATTTTTTGAGTAACAATTAACCCCAGAGGTCATGCCCTCCCAGGTAAAGACCCATACTTCCCATACGTAGAACCGCTGGCATTTCTGTATAAAAAAAAAAAAAAGTTGTTTTAAAGGTATTATTTAATTGACTAGTTCATTGAGATAACTGCTTCTAATAAGCTCTGACCTATATCCATCATAATTAATACAAATGAAGCCTGGAATTAAGCTACTGTATATAATATGCATTTAACTTTAGGAGTTGAATACTAAAGGGAAAAAAATTATATAATATATATATATATATATATATATATATATATATATATATATATATATATATATATATATATATATATATATATATATATATATATATTTCTGTCAGGGCATAAAATTGACACAAGTAGAAAAAAGCCCACAAAACTCCCCCCTTTAGAAATATAAACCACCAATTTCAACATACACTAACGTAGAAAGTTGCAAAAGGTGTTGCAAAAATCCACCATAGTCTGTCAAAGATCCAGTAAGGATGTTATTTACATTAATGATGGTATGAATGTGTAAGGATAAAATAATTACATATGAATGAATTTGTTAGATAATTTAGGTTTGCAGGGGTGTTAGAAAAACTGTTGTGATTCCATCCTGAAAAACAAATAAGATCTGATGAGAAACATGAAGAAGTAAGGAATAAAGATGAGGACAGGATGCAGCTCACCGTTACCACAGCGACTGGCTTCAGAAAAAACAGCTGCCGTCTGCTTCTCATTGCTGATCCAACAAATACATGTAGGATCATTATGCATGTGTGCAGGTTTAGTAATGGCATGTTTGCTTGGTTTAGATTAAATCGTAGGTTTTGAGGCTCAAAGCCCATTTCAATAATCAGAAAAATCCATTTAAAGATATATATCAGGAAAAACAAACCTTTTTAGATTCTTATGTATCTGTGACAAAAAAGTGACTAAGTTACCTTTTAAAAGACTTTTCTCTGAGCTGGAAAATGTAAAATATTCTGAAAAAAAAGGTTTTTTTTTTTTTTTCAAGAACTTCAATAGTTTTAATTCTAGTGAAGAAGCTTTGGGTACATCCCAGATCTCCACTAAACATAAAGGGCATTTGGATGAAAAATGTTTGCCAGACGAGACAGTTTCCTCTTTAAGGCAAAGCCAAGCTTCTTCCCAGTGATGCAGAGCTGCAAAGATCTCTCTTAGCTCATAGTTTGTCTGTGTTCCAACCCTCCCCTGTGGTCAGGAGAAATTACCCATGACCCAAAGAAAGAGATCCTGGTTACAGGCAACTGAAAGGACTTTCCTCTGACGGCTGGGCTTGGTCTTAGTAATAAAGTCCATACAGTGAGAGCTCACCACATTATCTCCTTCACCTCAAGTGATCTAAGTCTTTTATATCAGATCAAAAACATCCAGCTCATCTTGAAAAACCTGCTGGGATTCAGTTTCTCTCATTAAAACTCACAAATTCACAAGTGAAACATTTTCACAGCAATGCTGGGTGATGGAAAATAAATGAAAGCTATAGGTAGGGATGGATTGGCAGCTACCTTTATGGCTGATAGCCTCCTTCTCTTCACCTAAAATTTTACTCTCCGATACATCCTCTCTTCATCAGTAACTTTCCACCTGTCAATCAGTTTTCTCTCTTTCTTTTCCCACCTTCACTTCCTTCCTCCTGATTCTCTGACTTTCTTCTTTAGGGATTAGACGATGCTGAGCAATGAACATATCGCTGCACCAATGTGTGCGGACTTCTGTTTAGTCTGATAATAGGGATTGGGAGCACACGTCTCAGCTTTCAGGAGAAATCCACAGAGACTTCATTAACTCTACCCTGGAAACAAGATTCACGTGACGCCCCACTCTCTACAAGTTTGTTCACACCGCCTCACTCTATCTAATCCTGAACACAATAGCAGCAGGTTTTTATCATAAACCATGTGCAAAAGCAAGTGTTGGGAGCTGGAGAAAATCCCATCTTTCTCCAGCAGAGTCCGCCTTGGATCCTCTGAGGGAGCCTCCTGCACAGCTGCAGCTCATCAAGATCATCAGAGGATCCACTATATAAGCTGTCTTCAGACCTTGCCTCAACGCCGCAGTGTTGTTCCAGTTGGTCAGCGCTAAAGCCTAGATCCTTGTTGTATCTCCATGACTTTGAATCCAGGTTGGATTCTAACCACTGTCTCTGTGTTTCCAGGAAAACCGTGTCTCCTCCGTGAAAGCTCAGGAAGAGCAAACCTGCCGAGCCGACCCTCAGAGCCAAACCCTGAAGATTCTCAGAGAACCTCCAAGCAGCTCAGGACAAGAGCTGGGAAACCTAAGCCAAGGTCTGTTCAAGCTAGACGTAAGACGCTGAAGCAGCTAACGGACTCTGCTGATAAACTCTTCTCCAGAACCAACAGTGACTCTCCCAAAGTAAACCTCAAGAACCCTCAAGGTACAATCTGTGAACCTTTGGAAATCAAACCCTGTCAACAGCCACTAACTGTGCTGTCTCTCACGCAGACTCCGGTGAACCTGAATCCAGACCAGAACCAGAATCAGTACATTCTG